TTGTGGGAACAAGCACAGCACAAGCTATCTCTCCAGTCTCAGTGGCAGCATCCCAGACAGCAACAGCTCCTCCAGTGTCTTTCTTCATGTAGTTCTTGACTGGCTGGAAAGTGTGGTCTTGACAGAAGATACCCTTGTTGCAGCTGACACTTTGGATCTCCCTTGTGTGCCTGGCATTGTCACTGATCCTCCATGGGTTTCTGTTGGATGCAGCAGCCCTATCAAAGAAGTCACGGATGGTCTCACCAAGAGGAGGATATTGTCTGATGTAAGTTCCATCCTTTGGAAGGAAGGGAGGAGGCTCCCTCTCATTACCTTGCCAGTAAGAATAGTAGGACATCATTGCTCTAATGTACTCTCTGTTGATAGCATTGTAGATGAGGCGGCTGCAGAGGTCACCATTTCCATAGGTAACCATTATAGTGTCGAACACTTCTGTTGCAGTCCTCTCCAAGTGATAGTCTGTTTTGGGAAAAGCATACTTTGGCTCTACTGGATACAGCAAGGAAGCATGCTCTGGGATTGACACCAGTACTTCAGATTGGTTGGCATCAAATCTTCTCTTGCAGCAGCTGCAGACCATGGACATGACCATACACCAAGATGGAGGGCCAGCAATGCCAAAGATTGGAAAGAGAGTCTTACTCCAGGACCATTGTGTTCTATGATTCTTGAGTTGGCCAGAGCATCTTCCATCGGGACAAGGTACAGTAATGCCACATCGATTCCAGTCCACTAGAAGCAGTTTCTGCCCAACAATAGAGTGGTAGTGAGGAGACTCGAATTGCTCCTTTGTGGATGGGACTGTCATGGTGAGTCCATCAAAGTGTTGCTGGAATAGGTCCTGGTTCTTTGACCTGGTAATGGATTCTGACACTGCTTCTGCCATTGCTATCATTGCCAGTGGTGCTATTTTGGTCTTGTGTTTCTCCACAAAGGTGGCATCCTCTACAAGAGCTGTGACTTTCTCGCAGAACACAGCTGGAGTAGCCATTGCCTTGTACTTTTGTTGAATTGCTTTGGCTTTTGCTTTGGCTGTATTTGTTCTGGGAGCAAAGAAAGCTTCTCCATTTTCTCTTGTCGAATGCCTCCAGCTTCCTCTCTCATTCAGTGGAAGGGGAGCACTGAATTGCCTTGTGAGTCTCCTGCTTTCTTTGATTGTCTCCATTGTCAGCGCATTCAAAGGTCCTTGTCCTTTTGTTATTGTATTCTTAATACAGAAGACAGAGTGTGATCTCTTGGGGACTCTGAGACCAAAATGTCTGGCCCTACAGACCTGACAGTGTCTGAGTGGATCAAAGACTGCTGCTATTCCTCCTTCCAGTGCTGTTTGGGCTCCTTCTTCTCTGGCTCTCTTTGATGATCTTGGGTTGTTGTTTTGGGCGAGTTGGAATGCTCTCTTCTGTTGTGGATTCCTATTCTGACTCTGGCAGCCCATCCCTCCATTTTGTGTTGTTGTTGCTGCTGCTGCTTCATCTGCTGCTGTTGCTGCTGTTGGTTGCTCCATCACGGTGGTTTTCGCTGTTCGAGTAAGCAGTAAAGAGTAATGACCGACGGAGCGAAGAGCACCATTGTGGATCGATCGATCGATCTTCAACGGAATCCTCTTCTTCTTTTCGAAAGAAGCGAAATTGCTAGATTGGTAGCACATTTGTCCTGTAAACTTTATAAATGGTACGTTAAGTATTTTTGAATTTTTGCGACATACTTCCTGATGTCATAGCTTGATTAACCAATCACATTTCTGCCATTCGCCCCTTTTCCGCTCACGGTGTCTGTCATGTCTTCATGTCTTTAGCTTCATGACAAAGTCGAAGAGGGGGAAATCAGAGATTTACAGTTTTGGTGGCAAATTGACCCGCACCATAAAGGATTTAGAGGACGCGCCAGTTGCCTGCCCTGCGTCCAGGTTGAAGGTTTTTAAGTTTAAAGGTGGTGTCATTCAGCCGTTCATTATTTTAACTCTTTCAGTCGTGGCTATTTCATTCAAGATTCGATCGATACTCCGCGGCCCGATCCGCAGGATTCTGCAGCCTCCGCAGCAGCAACGAGAGACAGCAATAATCTCAGACAACAAAACACCCCGTACCGTGACCAAGCCTCCAGTACCCCTGTCATCCGGACTACGGTACTCGGAGAGGCCCATGGAAGCGTGTTGTTGGGTGTTTTGGGTAGTCTAGCTAGAGCATGAAATCGGTGCTAATCAGTGGCTCAGTCTCGTCTCGTCACCTGTCATTTTCCATCTGGCAGAATCTGTCATCTGAAAATTGGGGTGGAAAAATGGGATGTCACCATGATGAGCTCACTTTTTTGTTCAACCGGATTGCTAGAGTTGCATACCCAACCGAACAAGGAAGATTTACGATTGTTGATAAGCCTAGGCCAGATCAACCCCCCAGACCTTATTCAAGTCTACTTTTACCTTTCTATCAATCTTCTATTCAATACCTATCAATTGCAAAATGAAGTTCTCTTCTTCTATCATCAAGCTGATCTCATGGTCATGGACCACCGACAACAACAACAGCAACACCAAGAAGACCCCCGTTCTCCAGGTCGCCAAGGAGATGACGGGCAACAACAACAACAAGGATGTTCCTGCTGCAGAGGAAGTCCCAACATTCCAACTGGACGAGTTGGACAAGACATTCGTCGAAACCGCGGCACTGTTGCACAGAGAGCATCCTGATGTGGAGTTCCAGCAGCACGGTCGCTGCCTAGGTGCCTACGACCTTTCCCTGGTTCCTGCAGATCAGCATGGTCACTACGGATACGACAAATACAACCAGCACCGGCCCAAAGGCTGTCGCATCCAACCCAGTCAATCAGCCAATTCTCGCTGGAAGGCCCATTACGGTCAAGACACCGAACGGAGCAATGGAAACCGTTTATCCTTTGCTCCTGTCAACACCGTAGTGGGGTACTCTTCTGACAAGAGTGAACAAGAGGAAAATAGCTGTGTCTATCGAGACATGAAGAAACATGTGCCACAGGCTCGATACGAATTCTGGCAGGAAGCCCAACAACAATTCATTTCCGTCGGCACACCCACACCCCACGAACGCGTCTTGGATCTCGTGCAGTTGATTCAAGAGTACGGATACCAACAAGTGACCAAATGGATCACCTACAACAAATGGTTCCAAAGCGACAAAGCATACCTACGACAAGCCCAACTGTACATTCAAATTGATGCCGTGCATCAAGACCTCGAGGGACTTGTCCGTTTCATCCAGGCGAAGAAAGGAAACGACAAGCAAGTCGCCCACTGGTTCATGGTCAACGAAAAGAACACTTACATGTTCGAACTCGCCATGTGCCACTTGCATCATGGAGGAATTCAGCGCAACGCTGACGATGAAATTGCACCTTGAATACGCGAGAACAGATTGCCAAGCGGCGATTTGTCTATCGCAAGGTCAAGGACGTCTGCATGGAAGATGCAGCACCCGTAGAAGTAGATCAACAACCAACAACAACTAAAGACGACGAGGCAATAGAAAAAGTCTCGACAATCGACGACAACAAGATGGCATCCGATTCCACAGTCACATCCGAAGCAGCGGTGGTGCCCACATGCACAGCAGTGGTCCCATACATTCAAAAGTGGTTTGTGCAACACTTCAAGATTCGTGTGGAGGGACAACAACCATTCGTATTGGAGATGCGAATGATGAATGGTGTGCTACTTGGAGTGGTACCCAACGACATTCTCGCAGCATTGATGAAGGATGGTGGAGACCTTGTCAAGGAATCCATGCGGCGTCACAAGACACTCCGATTGGAGACAGGCGTTGCCTCGGACGAGATGGATTACGAATTCGTGACTGGCCAAGTGGTAGCTGAAGAACCACTGGTCGAGGTCGAGGAACAACAACAAGTTGATGCTGAAGAACCACTGGTCGACAACCGAGTCGATGAGGAGGGCAATGTGGACGCAGCACAATCAACATTGCGGCGGTCAAAGAGACGCATGGCGGCGATTGCATCTCAGAGAATCGCAGAACAAATGAAGAAGCCACAGCGAGTGGCAGTGCAACCTAGAAATAATACACGTAGACGCGCGGTGGCCAAGAAGTCGACAAAGCCAAAGGCGAAGGGCAAGAAGAAGAAGACGACGGCACAACCTGTGACGGACACACAGCAGCAAACAACAGTTCAGACAACAACAACTCTTTCTGGACGTCGAGTACGAAAGCCTGACCGGTACATTCCAGTCTAGGACAACAACAGGTAAGTGGGGGCGGCAGCGACGGATTGCGGGGATTACTAACACATTATTACAATACACAATGAGCAAGCATCTGGTGGGGTGCAGGGCTATACAACAATTTTGCGGAGATGAATACAGTTGGTTCAATTGAAGGGTCACATAAAGGTAGCCAGGTTTGTGGTTCCTGTGCTAGGCAGCCTCTATTGCAGAGTGCTTGTCCGAACGTCCTCCACAAGACGAAAGTCCAAAGTTAATACCCGTGACACCTGACAACCAACCTCTATCATTGTTGATGCTATGCTACAATCTTAAGTACTACCAAACATAGACATAAAAACAATAACACATAGTAGACAATCTTTACAAACAAAAATCATGGCTTCATTCTTTACACATGTAGTAGTAGTTATAATAGTTGTAGTTGTACCGTACTAGCTAGTGGTAGCCCATAATTATGGTAGTATCCATCTTAGGGCAAGCTCTGGCATGTAAGTTGTTGTGGTGACCTGTGCAAACCTGTGCACGAAGAGGTTACTACGGGGGCGGGAATGCCCTCTCCAGCTAGGAGACAAGGTCGAGCAACCGGTACAGTAGGAGACAAGGTCCCGCTTGCTTCAAAAACAATATCTGGAAGCTTCGGCTGTGCAGAACATGCATTGTTGTCATTGGTGGGTGGCACTTCAGGTTTACGTCTCAATTTCAGGGAGGAATACTCTAGCTAGAGACGGCGCAAGATGCTGCGCCTTTCGTTTCGTTTCGCCCTCTTCCCGTACGAGAAAAGCAAACGTGGTCCTGCCAAGAGGACGGAAACAGCCACAGCGTCGTGCATTCCCAATTCCAGCTACTAGTTTTAAAAAGTTTCTCATGCAAGAAAGATTGAATTTGCGGTGTCCTATCAGGTCAGCCGTGACCATGATTCGATTCGGAGCTTGTTGGGCAATCGGTGGCCAGCCCATTTCCCGTGTGTCCACTGCCTCGTTGCTCCGTATCGAGGCAAGTCTACCGTTACATACTTCCTAGGTGGAGTCGAGTCGATCACAGTCTCACGGTATCTTCGGCATAGTAGGTACGTGTTGCGTCCTCGGGGAGCTCGTTGTATGGGTCAGTCGCCGCCGAAGAGACAAATTGAATCTGTGGCGGGCCAGACAAACTGCAAACTTCGCAATACGAGGAAGCACAGATGTGGGTGTCTCCGTGACAATTCATATGTACTTCTGCTTCTTTTTCCTTTGCCGTCTTCGCCGCTGTAGCGATGCTTCCTTTCAGAGCCATGTTCGAGAAACCCTCATCATCGGTACTTTCAGCATCGTCGTCGTTTAGCCAGGTCTTGGAACCAATTTTGTCGGGCATTTGCTCTCCCTCGTCCGGTCGTGGCATTGATTGGAAGTCTCGTCTTTCTCGGCAGCGTCGGCAGACAATGTAGAAGAGAATTGTGCCGAAAAAAGCACTGGCTGCAGACACACCAACTACCAGAATAGTTTTGGTCCACGGGGTGACACCTTCCTCCACCTCCGGCTGCTCTGCTGCGACGGCGGCGGCGTTGCTTTCAAACGTTGTGCCTGCATTGGAACCACTGCCGCCGCTACCACCCGAATTGCCAGCCCCAGTCGGCAGATTGGAGCCTCCTACTGGATTGCTGTCGCTGTCCAACACCACGAGATTCTTGACTGCGAGAAGGTCGTTCACATCGAAATTCCCTGCAGCCTGAAGGAATGCCAAGAGGCGCATGCCGATCCCTGAATCGACTCCATGGTAGTAGATTTCGGCCACTGTTTGGGTCGCATGGCAACTGTTGGGCGAGCTGGTGGAACACAAGCCTTCTCCTGCAAATAAGATAGTGGAAGCATACAGCTTGTCAGATACAATGCAGGTTCAAATGAAAGCCGGTACTTGTACTGTCAAATATCTTACCATCACGACTGGGACTTTCAAACAACACATTGGAGACTATGGATTGGGTACTGATGAACTGAAGACTTCGTCGGGTCAATTGGCGCCTTCTTCCTCGACGTCTACGGCGCTCGTCACAACCTGCAATGGGAGGAGCCACCTTGGTTTGCAGGTACTGTTTCACATCTGCCGCCACAGTCTCAAAGTCGGCTCCCTCGGCCAGTATCCAGTCGGCTTGGATGGTAAACGCTTCCATGCCGGGTGTATTCTTGTCGGCTTTTCCTTGCCGGATGGCATTGCAGTCTGCTTCCAAGGCACCGCCTCGGGTTGGAGGGTAGTCACTGTCACTACCAGTCGCTGCCGCAATGACGGGAGTGGGTGCTGCCTCGAATGAGCTCGAAACGACAGTAGTGCTGGTAGGGGCGGGCACTGGTGGAGTTGTGACGTTCTCTTCTTCGGGATTGAGTGAACTAGCCGACACAAGAGTTGTAGCGCTGTTGGAGAAACTCATCATGCCTCCTCCCTTGCCACCTTTTCCTCCACTTGCACCGAATACCCCGAATGCCGACATGGATTGGGCGCCAGCTGTAGATTTCATTTTGGACTTTTGACTCGCCGAAGAGAAAGCAGTAGCCTGCAATGATGACTTTTTGGCGGATCCCTTTACTTTGGCACTTTTGGAGTCGCCGCTGAAGGCAGTGGCCGATAAGGAAGAGCTCCCTTTTGCTCCTTTTGCTCCTTTGACACTGCCACCTGTCCTGGACTTCCCTCCAGCGGTTGCTTTGGCGCTATTCTTTCCGCTCATTTTCCCTTTCCGGCCAGCCGCCAAGCTTTCCTGGGCACTCGAGATAATGGTCGTTCCGGCCAATTGTGCCTCTTCGGCGGCTGACAAGACCACAGTACCGTCATCAGGGCCAATCAAAGGAGCGATCGATGGAGGATTAGGTCCAGTTTCTGTGAGGGATTTTGTACTCTCCAGATCAACTTCACCCATGGCAATGACACCGCCAATGGTCCAGTTCATGGAACGATCCACCATAGCAGTGCCGTTCCAAACATAGCTGCTGCTGCCATTCATATTTCCGACCGGTGTGGAAGGTGCATTCGGAGACGCAAGACGGTGATGATGCAAATCGTTATTGTCGGCTGCGTCCGATTCAAAAAAGGGATCTTCGGCGTCGGTTCCAATAGCACCTATTCGCGAATGATCTGTGTACAATTGTCGATGTTTCTTTGGAGTTTGTTTGTCTGTAGCACTCTTGCTGTCATCGGATTGATCCCATTCAATGACTGTGCTTGCTCTAATCTTCATTGCTGGACGTCCTCGCAATTGTTCCCCCCTGATGGCCCGATGATGATGGGCTCCAGAAACCCAAGATACCCAACATGCTGCCCATAACAGAAGAAGATACGGTATACGAACTTGGTTCCCTCGACTTGTCATCTTCATTATCGTTTTCTCCTTGGCCATTCCCTTGATCTTTAGCTTATTGAAAGTGGTTTTCTGAACGTTAGAATCAAAATGATCCCTGGACTGGGCCTCTTCGTACCACTTCTCTTGTCCATGGTCCATGGATGTGTGTCATTCGGCACAGTTTCGGCACTACAAAATGCGAGGCCGGAGTTTGGTGCCAATCGCTTGGCTTTTGCGCTCCCGCCAGGAGTTACATAGGTTTGGATTCTGGTATCTAACGTAAGTAAGTCTCAGCAGGTGAGCTAATTAAATTTATGATTTGCATTGAACATTCCAGTGTGACAACCGAGCATTGGTCCTTCAATCTTGCCACATGTTGTGTCGCAATGAAGCTACGTTACATGAGCTGTTGGTTGTTAGATGTTAGATGTATGCATAACGGTAGTGATAGCCGGTCGTACCAGCACCCTCATGCCATGGAGCCCGGGGGAGGCGGAGCTGGTACGATAGACTAGCTAGCAGCGATAAAACTACCAGGTAGCTATAGCTAGCAACCCAGTCATCGAACGGAATCGACTCTCCTCTGCACAACTAACCGAACATGTTCTACCCATACATGTACTGTACTGAAATGAAATGATGGATGGAGGACCACTTGAAGTTCAGACAGCATTTTGCTTGGTTTTCCGAGTTGCGATGGCTATCTTTGGGCCTGGACACTTCACTCTCCAATCCCACCATCTAAGGAACCGTACGTAAAAGGCTGTTTGGTTGCTTGGTTCGTCTTTCCATGCTACTGGGTACCGGTGCGGGCTATCGGCAGGACGCCACAACGCCACAACGGACGAAGGGCTCGGATCCTCGGCTTGTCGCCGCTCATCATGCGGCTAGGCCATCTCACGCAGGAGCCCTGGGGGTGGGGGTGCGATACAAGAGATGCTACAGGATCGAGGGCTTCTGGTGGTGGTTTCTTTAGCCAATCGACGTACCGTACCGGTACCATACACCATCTCCCCAAGACAGACAGCCAAGTTTTTCGGTTCGTCATGGTCAAGGAGGACGCGAAGTTGTCGCTTTTCCCAAATCCTGGAGAATGCAACCTGCAAAGCAGAAATTGTCCCTACTCTCGTGGTTTTATGATGTTGGTGGATGCCCTAGCCAGCTACGAGTACGGTACACTGTATGCATAATGCTTAGTTCTGACAGTACTAGCTAGCTATAGTAGTTGGCATAGTGAGGACGCGTCTCTACCATAGATAGCTAGCTATCATAGTAGCCGTCGGTACATGTATTAGGGCTCGGACGGTATGTACCATGCTGTCGTTCACCCGAACCCTGAACAGATGCGGGGCCGCATCGCCAGGATGTGCTTGGCGAACCGGAGCAGAAGCGACTACCTGTATCTCGGGCACACGTTTCGTCCATACAGGTAGACTGTGAGATCTTCACGCGATAAGTTCTTGAATCGATATCTTGTGGGCTACTCGAGAGCTACTTTCAGTGACCTACAACATCAGCTCATGTGGACTGGCCTGTGACTGTGCCTATGGTGCTAGAGCTAGAAGGCACACCAAGTTGGGCTTTGAAGCAGCATTACTAGTGTTATTGCTCTAAAGCTCACTTGGAGTGGATCAATTTGCATAAGCTTCTTCACAAAGATCGATCGATCCAAGAAAAGAACAAAAGTGAGGAATCGGGGCTGCACTGCAGAGGTGCATGCGCCCTTTTCGCGCGAAGCTTCACTACGTTAAGCTGTCCCCCCGTGACGACCTTTCGTGTTCAATTTCTTGTACAAGTTGTGGTACTTCGATGCTATCTATATATATATTTGATGTCCATCTCCCCACCATGTCATCTAGCCCCCCATCCACCTTTGTTAGGAGAGAAGGCGATTCTTCATCCAATGGCAATTCTCCACCCAAGAAGACCTCGAATAGAAACAGAGCAGGGTACGGAAAATACGCAAGCTGGAAGGACCGGTTTGAGCAGCTCAAGGAGTACAAGAAGGAGCATGGTCACTGTGGAGTTCCTGCAAGTGTTCCATTGCTTGGGCGCTGGGTAACCTGTCAGAGGCAAGAGAGAAGGAGAAACAGGCTCAGCAAGGAACGAATTGCTGCCCTTAATGCCATTGGATTCTTGTGGTGTGGTTTTCCAAGGGTCCGGACGGCACAAGAAATGGGTCTGCTTGGAAGCAAAAATTCTTCTGATAATGACGAGACTGAATCTGTGGCGGTCAGTTATGACGAGTATCAAGGGCTCTATGATAATGCTGGCACCACTGGTCAGGCAGGGAAGGCGGGGAAGCCAGCTGTAGTCAAGCTGAAGAACCGTTCCTACATTCAACAGCAGGAGGATGAATACCAGTATCTCCAAGGGAAATCCCAACGGAATAAGCGACTGGAGCGGGATAATTCTGATGAGAAGGAAGAAGATGAGGGAGCCGTTCCAAGCAAACTTCAGCTGCTCCACAAGCTGGTCATGACCCAGGAAAAAATGCAGCTACAGAGTGAGAAAATCCAGCAGCTACAGAATGAGAAAATCCAACAACTAGAGAGGGAGAAAATCCAACAGCTGCAGGGAAATGACAACCGGCGTCGCAAGAAAGTGCTTTACCGGCCCCGAAACAGACGCCACAGGAAGGATGATTCGGATGAGGAAGGGGAAGGGGATGATTCGGATGAGGATGAATACAAGGAGACAGTTCCTCCTAAGCGGAAAGAGAGAGAGCCGAGCCGTCTCAAGGAGCCCCACAGTAAGAAGCGCTGCAGGAGGGATGGTTCAGATGAGAAAATGGAACAAGAAATCAACGGGTCTGAAGGAAAAAATTCTGGCGATGATGGCCAAGACCAGCTGAGGACCGAGATTGAAATTGTCAAGGCTGCCAATACAGAGCAGGGGGCAACTATTGAAGAGAATCAGGCTACAATTGAGGAAGAAGACAATGGGACAGTTGTTCCAGCCCATAAAGAGGGTGAGCCGGGCCATCTGAAGGATCCCCACAGTAAGAAGCCCCATGGGAGGGATGATTCAGACGAAAAATTGGAACAAGAAATCAAAGGGTCTGAGGGAAAAAATGCTGGCGATGATGGCCAAGACCAGCTGAGGACCGAGGTTGAATTTGTCAAGGCTGCCAATACAGAGCAGGGGGCAACTATTGCAGAGAATCAGGCTACAATTGAGGAAGAATACAATGGGACAGTTGGAACAACTGAGAAAGAGAAAGAGCCGGGCCATATGAAGGAGCCCCCCAGTAAGAAGCCCCAAGGGAGGGATGATTCAGACAAGAAAATGGAACAAGAAATCAAAGGGTCTGAAGGAAGTGCTGGTGGCGCTGGTGGTGACGACAATCAAGACCAGATGAGGACTGAGACTGAGATTGAAATTGTCAAGGCTACCAATGCAGAGCACGAGGCCACTATTGCAGAGCATAAGGCTACAATTGCAGCGCTGAGAGCCAAAATCCAAGAGAATAATTCGCAAGGATCAGCTCCATGAATAGGTCTATGAACCTGGTACCAGTAGTAAAGTCTAGTTAGTTTTGTGTTGGAAAGAAGAGTGCTGTTCTGTAGTTGGGGGGGGGGGGAAGAACCGAACCTAGAATAATAGCTGTGGGAGTGAATACTTAGCTAGATTGTGTGGGAAGTGATGAGTACGTTCTGACTAGAGTAAAATGTAAGGAATGTTGCTTGTTTTGGCTTGCTATTGACAACTGTGATGCATCCTCCGTAGAAGATGGGACGTCGACGAAGGCAAATATTGGTGTACACTCGGTGATGGTGCAACCTGTATGCGGTGGAGCAGGATGATACCCGCAAAGCAAGAAGTGATCCTCAAGGTCAAACGAAAATTGCCGGATTTGTGGCTTCCAATGGTATTTTGGACCCCCCTCGGAACCATACATGTACCGTCGTAGTGCCGACACCTACAAGACGTGCCCGTACGGTACCGGTACCGGTGCCGGTATCGGTAGTGTGGCTCACAATCTAGCTAGCTAGTAGATACGCAGCTGGAGAATCGAATCGTCGCAAGCCAGTAGAGTTGGAAAGTAACTCAAAAATGAAGAACTCCCTCCATTTCAAAGGGCTTCTGGATTCTTCCCTCCGTTCAGCCTCCCCTCACATTCCACTCTCCCCACCAATGTCGACGGGTAGCTCCGCATCCACCTCTGTTCAGAGAGAAGGCGATTCTCCAGCCAAGGCCAGGAACACAAAGAGACCAGGGTTCGAAGAATACACAAGCTATAATGACCGGTGGAAGGCCCGGTACGAGCAGCTGAAGGAGTTCAAGAAGGAGCATGGTCACCTTCGAGTTCCTGCAAGTGTTCCAGGGCTTGGGCGCTGGGTAACCTGCCAGAGGCAGGAGAGAAGGAGAAAGAAGATCAGCAAGGACAGAATCAAGGCCCTTGACGCCATTGGATTTTTGTGGTGTGGTTTTCCAACTGTCCGAATGCCACAAGAGAGTGGTGGGAGTGGTTCTGAGACTGAAACTGTGGCTGTCAGCTTTGACGGGCACGATGATATTGCTGGCACTGCTGGTGGGTCAGCCAAGGCAAGGAAGCCAGCTGTTGCCAAGTTGAGGAACTGTTCCTACATTCAACAGCAGGAGGACGAATACTGGTATGTCCAAGAGAAATCCCATTGGAAGCGAGATGATTCTGATCAGAAGGAAGAAGAGGAGGGAGCCATTCCAAGCAAACTTCAGCTGCTTCACAAACTGGTCATGACCCAAGAAAAAATGCAGCTACAGAGTGAGAAAATCCAGCAGCTACAGAGTGAGAAAATCCAACAGCTACAGAGTGAGAAAATCCAACAGCTGCAGGGGAAAGAGGCCTGGCATATCAAAAAAATGCCTCGCCAGTCCCGAAGCAATCGCCACAGGAAGGATTATTTGGATGAGGAAGGGGACGATTCGGATGAGGACGCATACAACGAGACAGTTGCTCCAAACCACAAAGAGAGAAAGCTGCGCCATCTCAAGGAGCCCCACAACAAGAAACGCTGCAGGAGGGATGATTCAGACTAGAAAAAATTGAACAAGAATCAAAGGGTCTGAAGGAAAAAATGCTGGAATGGATGGAAAAGACCAGCTGAGGGCCAAGATTGAAATGGTCAAGGCCGTCAGTACAGAGCACAAGACTACTATTACAGAGCTGAGAGAGCCAGAATTCGAGGGGGGGATTCGCAAGGACCAACTCCATGAATGGGTCTATCATCATTGTTTAGTCAAGTCTATTTTTAAAGATTGACGTTCCATAGTTCGGGAGGAAGAACCTACAAGACCGAGAACACAAGCTAGAGATTGTGTGGGAAGTGATGAGCACCTTTTGGCTAGCTAGCGTAAAAGGAAAGAACGTTGCTTGTTTCGGCTTGCTAGTGACAACTGTGGTTCGTTTGCTATGCACGGAGGAGCAGTGTTGAGTTCCTGAAACTTTGCTGAACTGGTCCGAGTTGGCTTCTCATCGTCATGAATCTTGTGAGCATCGCACCAGGTCACCTAGCTAGATTTTGATTGCCAGGTCAAAGCCACCAAATGGCCTATCCTCGCTACTGGTAGCCACAGCATCTGGTGTATCAAACTCCTCCATTTTCTCCAGGAAGGCAGTGAAGCGGTCACCAATACCCAGCGGCTCATTGTTCCAGCAATCCAAAACCTTGTTGGATTCTGAGCTTCCTTGACTGAGGTCCCGTAGGTTTGCGACAATGCGCATGCATCGCATACGAATGCCTGATGGCTGTGCCCTCGAAAGAGCTGCGAGCACCGATACGAACGCTCGTAGCTCTGGTTTGACGTTGTTGCGTTGAACTTTGTAGTCGTCGCACATTCGCAGCAACAGCTCTTCGGCACGATCTAACCCGTCTGAACGAGCCCAAGCGCACACCACGTCCGAACAACAATGTGTTGCATGGACTTTCTTTGGCCCGAACAGTTTTGTCATTTCAAGCAGAATCTGTTCTGCGCGCTTACCGGAATCGTGTCGACGTGACCGAGCCCAGCAGCGTATCACACTAGCATAATTCGTCAAAACATCTGACCCCTTCTTCCCACGAAAGGTGTGGCTCATCCAACGCAGCATCTTGTCAGCACGGTCGGGTGCTTCAGCTTCGCTTGAAGACAGCCATGCTCTTAGCACAGAGCTACAGGTACGATGTCGCTGGTCTCGATCAGGTCGTCCACTCGTGATCAGCCTGTGCCTTTCAAACAACAGCTCTTCTGCTCTTTCCACTCGACCAGCATTCGCCAAACATTTGATCAGCCCATCGTAGCAACCCTCGATCGTCCTAGCGTTCATATCCCCAAATCGAAAGCGTTCCAGGAGCGTTAAGAAGGCGGCTTCAGCTGAATCAGCGGCTTCTTTGGTGCCTGCTTTTGCCAAGCAACTCAGAAAGGACGCATAACAGATTGGGTCCAATTGAACATTCGGCAACTGTCCCTTACCCATCAGCTTTTGAATCCTTTCAAAGAAAACCTCGGCCCTCAAGACCGCATCCTTGTTGCTAGACTTGGCCCACGCTGCCAACACGGTAGATACTGATATATCATCAGGTGCGATGCCAGTGTCCCCTGTTTCGGAAAAAGTCTTGAACATTTCCCAAAAGAGTGCTTCTGCACGTTCAGCGTTGGCTACCTTTCCCCAACTGTTCATGGCCATGTTGTAACATGTCGTGTCGGCCGCAATGGCACCATGGAACTCTTTGTGAATTTCCTTCATTTTGAGAAGGACTGCTTCAGCGCCTCCTTTTCTTATGTGCGGGTTGGAAGACTTACAACACGTATCCAAAAGGAGATAGTAAGTGTTTCGCTCAAGTTTGAGTGTCGCATTGTCCAACCGTTCAATATCCGCTATTCGATCAATCAACTCGAGTGTTCTCGGGATAGCATCTGGCGAGTCTGACATCAACCAACCCAACAGAAGGGCTCTGCAGGAGTCTACGCCTGGTTTCGCGCTTGCGTTGTCATCGAGATAATGTTGAAACATCAATGACCACACCTCTTCGGCAGCGTGAGGATTGTTGGTTCGAGCAAACGCATCAATGGCAACTTTGTAGTTGGATTCTCTCGGTCTCCAGGTTTCATCGCCTGCGGCATGTTTCTTTTGCATCTCCTGCAACAACGACAAGCACTTTTGACCTGACACCATGGGAAGCTCGGCACTCGCCCAACAGCCTTGCATCGCCGTATAACAGGCAGCCGTCGGATAAAAGTCAAACACACCTGCATGACAAAGCCCATTCAATTGATTAAAGATGGCCTCTGCCTGTCCAATTGCGTTTGGATCGCGAGATCGAGACAAAGCGGCAAGTGCTGTGCAGAAAGCTCTATCGTCGGCAATTTGCACGTTTCCCTTGTCATGCTGCACGATAAGCTCGTGAAGAAGGGGGAGGACTTTCTTTGCGTTCCCGACCGAGCTCCAGCAGTGCATTGCGACATTGTAGTTCATAGCATCTGGCTTGCATTCATGGTTTCCTTCTTTGTATCGTTGCAGCTGTTCCTTGAGGAGGGATTCTGCCTTCTCCCCTCTCTTGGGATCTTTGGAACGTGATAGGCCTACTAGCAGACTTCCAAAGGTCGCCGTCGTGGGAGGAATGTTCATGTACTTCATGTTTTCATAGAGCGAAAACGCTCTTTGTAGGGAGTCACGAGCCCCTGTTTTCGACCAGGCATGGATAGCTGCGTTGAAATGAACACTGTTGGCTTGGGCACGAATATTGTTGTTGTGTGATAAATCGTTGTGCATCCACCGCAGAATACGCTCGCTGTCTTCTCCACAGCCCAGCTGCGACCACCGATGAAGGACCAAACCATAAAATGCCTCGGTCGGTCTTGCACGGTCATTTCCATTCTGATAATCGTCGTGCATCCGCTGCAAGAACCGTTCTGCTTGTTGCAGACAGTGCTTGGTTCTCGGGGCACACCACGCCAACAACACCGAAAAGTAGCATTGAGAAACTGGAAATGCCAGTGACTCGTCCTTTTCGTTTCTTCCCAATGCAATCATATCATCCAAAAGAGCCTCGGCCCGCTCACCCGCATCGTCTCGACCAGATTCCTTCCATGCATGAAGAACCGTTCCAAACCCCACCGCATCTGGCCGGATAGTGGATTCCCCACTTTGATATTCGTTGCAAAGACGTCGTAACATTTGTTCCGCGTATTCCGCCTCTTTTACTTTGGCAAAGGCGTTCATAACAATATTGTATTCTCGTATGGTCGGTGCCAGTCCAGTCTGATTATTGTTGTTGTTGTTTTGCGACTCTTGAATCATTTTCAACAGCAGCGACTCTACGTAGTGAGCATCCGCACTATCTTGGAGACGGAAAACAATCGCCGCCATAATCAGAGACATGGTGGATGCGTGAAGCGACAATGCCGATCCAATGCTGCTCCATTGTTCAATTTTTGCCAAAAGAGTATCTGGGTCAGGGAGTGAATCGGTGTTGGGAATTTGCTTCCAACAATTGGCCCAATTTCGGACGACGGCATTCAAGAGGCTCACATTGATTCGCTGTTGGATGATATCTTCCGGCAGCTCCAAGTTGAGGTTTGGTTCCTTGACTAGCCGATCCAATACCCGAAAGGATTGATCGACGCTCCTGGGGCTGGCCACTTTTGTCCAAGCAAATAATAGCTCACGGGTTGCTTCAAAGGCTTGCATGTCCAAAGATCCTACCGGGTAGATTGTTTCATTGAGCATTTTTTCAGTGTTTTCCTCGAGACTGTCAATAGATGATAATGGAATATTTGTTGTTGCTGGAGTTGCTGCTGCTGGAGTTGCGACCTGATCCACTGGAATATCACCAGAGCTCGATTCAATGGCATGCAAAGGGCCATCAGCGGCTATCACTTGTTCGCTGTTTTCACCTTTGGTAGAAGAATCCGTTGAATATAAATGAAAAATGGCGTCATTCTTGGATTTCCATGGGGTCTTCTCTGGACACTGTGGCCTCTTGTGTTTTCTTGTTTTCACGGCCAGTAGTGAAACGTCCCTCTTCTGGAGATTAGTTCTGTCATTGCTGCCGTCTTGGGGATCCAAACAGACACATGCTCGAAGAGACGCAGCAGAGCGGTTTCGCTTGGTGTTTCGAGCTCCAACTTTCCGGACCAAGTCCATTCTTGTGGAGAGGGTAGCAATCTGGGAACAGCAGAGGAGCCGGATACCGTAGCTTAATTAATGGATGCGTTGCCGGGTTGTACTACTACTGCTGTTTAGAGAAAGCAATGGAGGCAATTCCAGTGGTAGCGACTTCTCTTGGCCATCGTGGGGTTTTGGCAAGCCGAAAAATGAGTGGATGCAGGACAGGGAGAATGGCCCAACAGAAAGAATCTTTTTCAGAAGGTTCAGCGCAGTTGAACCTCACCCGGAACCTCCGGAAACCAGGAAGGCCCGGTCATACGACTGAAAATCGCCAAAATCGGCATAAAGTCGCACAGGAGCACCAAAGTCGCATAAAAAGTCGTTCATAATGTCGCATGCGAGTCGCACCGAAGTCGCGTGCGACTTTCTCACATGACTTTGAAAGTCGCGCAAGTTAACTGTAAGTATGGCGATAAAGTCGCGTCGGATCGCTGAAAGTCGTTCGAAAAGTCGTACCAAAGTCGCCTGCGACTCGCACACGACTTTGTGAACAACTTTCAGCGATCCGACGTGACTTTGACCATAGCAAGAAGAATCCGGGACTAACAGTCGCATGACGAGGCCTTCCAGCTCGGAAACCTCACTTTTCATATTTTGAATGACGTTTTGACTGATCACTGTCGTTTCAGCCTCTACGTATCGGCTATCGCGTACAAACCTCCGTGGGACAGAAAATTTACAGATAACATAATGCTTATAGCGTTAATGGCTAGTTGTTTCATAAGTCTGGCAGTCCCAGATCGTTGGGTTCGATTCGATTCGGATCGATTTCAAGTCGATTTATCGGAGGCAGCGCCTAGTCCATTACTCGATTATAAAGGATGAAACTCGGTCACGATGGTGTTGTTGTGGACACCACGACGGCCCCTCAGACCGATTAACAAGCTGCTGCTTGTTGAATCAGTGGAGAGATGTGTCTACTTGCAGTTGCGAACTTTTCCAGCCACGCGGGCGTATTTCTGGAGAGGCTGGACCTGCTGTGAGAGGTACTGGTCTTCCTCGAAATCGTCGTCATCTTCATCTTGCTTCTTACGTTTGGCCTTGATGATGGGCCTGCAAGTGCGTGGGGGTTTGGCAATGTGCATGTCAAGCTTGTTGTGGCCAAAGAGGAGGATGGTGACAGCCATGTCTTCATCTGTCATCATGACAACGGCGTTGTTTGAAGAAGACGCAATGCGCTTGCAGGAAACATGATCAAGAAAGTTAGATACCCAACCCTTGAAATCATCGCGATCCCAGAAATACTTTCCACCAATTGTGACACAGAAAGTCACATCCTTGCCAAGCTGCAGAGCCTTTACCACTTCCACCTTGAGGGCTTCCATGGCCTTGGCCGAGAGCGGCTTGAGACGTTCGGTGACAAGTTCGTCCATCTCCTTGTTGCTCCCATCTTTCTCATCGAAATAGATGCTGCATAGCAGCTCACGGTTGAAGAATTCCTTTGGGTGGTATGGGTCGTCCGACATGATGGCTGATGGCTTTGGCGTCTGCTCAAATTGCAGGTTGTGAGCTCGAAAGACGACCGATCAATTTGCATTGCTGCGACAGCTTGGAGTTTCTTATCCTGAAAGCCCCGATTTGAATTCAAAGAATATTCTTTTGGCGGGCTATGTTTGAATGCAAGCAGACACGGAACAATCAGCAATGCATTCGAATCGGGCGCCGCGAGGATCACAACTTGAATACAACGAACGATTGAATACAAGGAACGAATCATGCCATCCTGGACGACTGTTGCGGCCACCAACATCGGGGATGCGAAAGCCGAGTCGGTAGCAACTGTGGATATTCGAGTCGGTACAACTGATTCAAGGTTTGTTGGGCCTGTCATCTTGCAACGTTTTGGAAATGAAGCTCTCTTTCGTATCGCAGTCCTCCAGGATGGTGCAGATAGAAACGCCCTTGCGATCTGTCTGCCTCCTGATGAGATTTGGACGGCCGAGCCTCCCAAGAAAGTGATCAGCCCACACTCCAAAACCAAAGCAATCAAGAGTATCATCAATCTACCAGAAAACAATGCGGAAGGATTCGACAAAGTTACAATAGTAATGCCCTGGAATGGAAATGATGGTCCTTCCTTCCTGTTTTCCGAAGCCGTGGTATTCGCCTCCCAGGTGGTCGTTGACGCTGTGTTGAGCACAAAGGAGGATGGTTGTGAAAACTCCAACAATGAGGGATCCAAGCACGAAGAATCCAACTACGCAGCATCCTCCGATGAAAGCGATTTCAGCGACCTTGACATCAGCGGTCTGCAAGTATCCTCCCCTTGAATGATTCCGCAACAGCAACTCACACCGTAACTATTTGACAGCTGCTGCAGACACTGAAGCAATGCGCGTATCTCTTCATAGCTATCAGATTTAGATAGATTAAGCTATAGACGTCCAGCTTCTGAAGCAACTTTGCACGATGGGTATAGTAGCACGGCTATAGCCCCGATAGTCTACGGTATAGTCGCATTACGATCCGCGTGATGTGGCTGGTTGGATATCGATGCCGTCTTAGAAATGTTAGCATCTCGCTGTCTTATATTGGTGGTAGCCACTACCTCATCGGCCACTCCGGAGCTCAAATACCAAATATACCACGGTAAAATATACCTATAATTGGGTTAGAGTTATTTTTCGAATTTCGCTGCTCAGTTCAAACCTCCTTTCAACACAATAAACAGCCTCCACCATGACCATTCCATCTATGTTTCGCCGTCCTCTTCGTCACAGCTTTCCATCGCTTCCATCGCCTCCATTGCATCTTCTACCAATTCGCCTCCTACAGTGAGACGACGATGGAGCCGGACTAATTCGGAGGGCGATGGGTATTCCTCTTTGAGGGGAGGCAATTTTGTAATGGATTTGAGGTAAGCCTTTCGCTCCACGGCGGCCTCTTTTTCATTCGTCTCCGCAAGCTTTCGTTTACGCCCCCTCCTTTTCTTTGCCTCCATAGTGTCTTCCATCATCTGCTTCACTTCTTTCAAATCGCCAGTGGCGTCGTGGCGAAGTACGTTGTGAGTTTTCTTTTGGTAATCTTTTACTCCCTTGAGCCGTGCGTCGTCTTTCTTTCCTTTCTGATGTCGCCTTTCGATTACCTCTTCGTTGTGATTCAGGAGCCCCCGGTACTGTTGCAGGTCTTCCCAAAGATGCTGCCATACATGCACCTTCATCGGAATGGTTGGCATCAGTCGGAGCCAAAGGTCTGTTGCCAAATCGATTGCCTTTTTGGCATCAGCCAAGTCCTCATCAGTCATCGAGCCGTACGGTTGATAGGAGTAGTGCGTGATGAGGTCCATGTACTGAAAGAGCCTTGCAAACGCACCGCAAAATTTCTCTATTTCATCTGGAGCGGCTCTCCTTGCCTTCTCATCTTGGTCCTCAATGGATGAAACATGATCCAAGAGAATTTCTTGAATGTCTCTCATAATCTTGACTGGATTCCGAAGAAGCTTTCTGCATTCATTGCCCTCCATCGCTCCACCATGGTACGTAGAGCTTCGAACTTTGTAATCTTGGTTGAGCTTCCGCTGGATTCGCATCCACAGATCCTGAGTGGATTTGTTGTAGTCTTTACTCTTCTCTAATTTCCCAAGTTCTCTCTTCACTTTCGTCAGGTTGGCTTTGGCCTTTGTGTGAGCTCTTGTCGCTGCTTCAAAGGATTGTTTCGCTGTTTTGACAACTCCGCATTGCTGATTGAACTCAGCTTCGTGTTCTTCGTCCTCAAACTGAATTTGAGCATCTCCAACGATTGCATCCAGTTCATGCACCATTTGATTGTGGTGTTCCTCAGCATCGACAACAGCTTCCCAAAGCGTCTGGACAACGATTTCAGCGTCAGCTTTTGCAAACCTGGCTTCCACCAACTCGACTGGAATATCTTCGGCTCGATTCCAGATCCACAAATGAAGATAGGTGAAGGGAGTGTTGGCTAGCAGCACAAGTCCATGAAGGGGGGGAGCCATGTAATTCCGTGGCTCGATGCAATCAATGATGGGTAAGTGAGTGATTCCTTTCTCATGGTTTGGGTCACCCCGCTTTAGCTCTTTTGCTTCCAACTTGTTGTATCTCTTCCTCATGAGCCGAATCGTCCACTTCTTCCCTTTCTTCCTTGGGTCCTTCTGAAACTGCAACCACCTTAGCTGGCACCGAAAGCAGTGAACCCCAGACATATTCTCTTTGCCGAGAAGCATCGAGCCCCAGACATATTCTCTTTGCCGAGAAGCATCGAGTACGCAGCCAAATCGCCGGTTACCTTCAGATGGACAGGTATGGGACTTGGTGTGTTTCGGATTTTTGTCAACGATTTATTCAGATTTGGACCAACGCCACTTGCTAACAGGACCTCTCGAGTGTCCTTCCTGCAGTCAATGTTTCCAATGTACAGATCTTTCACCTCCAAGACGATTCTGCCAAGGATGAAGACGACCGACATGTTGATTCGGAAAGATCCTTGGCCGTGGTCGGCCGAGATGATAAGGTGGACTTGGTCGGGCGTCTCGTTAACTTCTGATTGGAGCACCCTTGCAATCTCATCTTCAACCACTTTCTCCACAGGCAATATCCACGATTGTCGTGTCATCTTGTCCTCTTGGAACGTAGAGAAAATGGGATTATATTTGACAAGGGCTTCAAGCTTTCTCATTGTCCTCTCTCCGTTGAGAGGATTGCAGCCATCGGCATTGAAGAAGCTTCTCATCCCTCGCCCCTGTTCAAAGGTAAGATTAACTTTGTGGAACATTGCAATCTGTCGGTGCGGATCTAACTTTGGCATTACCTGTACATTGAGGATCCTCCAGGCATCATGGACAGCTGTCGGTTCAAAGTAATAGAGAATTTTGGTCAACAAGTTGACTCGATCATATCTACTCAAGGGCGAGTCGCCGTAGACGATGGCATCAAGGAAGGTAGGAAGGAATTTTTTGCCGTTCTGCAACAACGATTTTGCCGTCTCGGCTGGGACGACTGGTACTAGTCTCAAGCCAATGCCTTTGTTTCCACCGTGTTTCTTTAGCTCTAAGAGGCCACCGACCTGTGCATTGATCTGGAGAGCAACATGGATGAAGCTTTGCAATGAAGACTTTCGGGTGGGACAACAGAATCGATCAAGGAAAGAAGGTCTCCACTGCGTCACGTTGATTTGTTCTGTCAAGTCGTCGTCCTCATCAGCAAAGACTTGGTTCCTTCTGTCATTTGCCACTTTTTGTAGGCGGATCCCCATCAGTTGTATCTTTCCGCGAAAGTTTTGCAGGTCAATGTCATGCTTCAATAGATCCGGATTATCTTCCAGTTGCTTGGGATCGATGATGGTCTCGAGCAGCTCAAACAGATCTCTGTTGCTCTGATGATGAATGTCATTTTTGGTGGTCCGTGCAGTTGGTGTTACTATTGCTGGTGCTCCTCTTGCCCTTGGCTGTGAATTGGTTTCAACGAATAGAGTGTTCCGAAGAAAACTCTGTCGACGACAGTAGGCCTCCCATCTGTCGGCGAAGAAGCCATGTAAGTCTTTCTGATTTTTGGTATCTGGTATCTCTACACCTTTGACGTCTGTGGCAACGCAAATGAAGAAAACTGTCTTTCTTTTGCCTTCATTGAGCACCATCTTTCGATCATGTATGTCGATGTACACAATATTGCTGTATTTGATTTGGTCTTCTGGATCGGTAAAGTCTCTACGGATTGCATTCATTGTTTCGAGAGCACCTTTCAGCTTTCTCACTGTCAGCTTCCTCTCCAGGCGCCTTGAGATCTTGTGAGTCCAATAGCTCATTGGTATCCACTCTCCTGGACTGCAGACGCTTGTGGCCACAGCAATGAAAGCCCTCTCGATCTCACGTGCTGTTGACATTGTTGCCGTCCGATTCCAGCGGACCGACGTCGCGAGGGTGTCCTATAGATGTTGACTGAGCTTGCTTCTGAGTGGGTCCGCTAGTTTCCGACTACAACATACCCATTGGGCTGTCGGCATCAAGAGGTTGGATTTGAACATCCATCGCGCTTCCATCGAGGGTATACATCCGAAAACTCGAAGTGTGCATTTGAATCGAAAAAGTGAGCCTCAGATTTGCATACGTCAACTGTGAGAAAAAGAGTACATTCAACAATATACCAGCTCAACGCGGAAGTACTTGGTAACGACAGTGGATGGGGTGGACTACACGCACTGTACGTACTTGGATTGTAGCCCAACCAATGGACAATTCCACTTCTATTTATGACCTGTTGGACATCACTGTAAGAATGATTTCGCTAAACTGGCTGGCTAAAGCAAATTCGGAACATGGCGTCACTGAGGGCTGAGGGCGAAGAAGGTCATTCAGCTTTCAGAAGAGTCGAGTCGAGTCGAGTCGAGCCCATCCGCGGTACATCTATATTAGACTCGACTCTACCGGAGCATCAGGTTTTTGAGGCGCAAATCTTTCTTCCATTGTGGAAGATGGTGCGTTTATTGCAACAACAAAACAATCAGAAGAATGGAAAGCCAATCACACAGTTTGCATTGATAATCTTGGCGCTTTTCTTGAGTGTGGGGAATCTAGCAATCAGCCAAAGTAAGACAGACTTGGTTAGCGTGAAATCTATTATCCAGACTTACTATGATTGGGCATCTGATGTCTTGATGGGGGGATTTAATAAATCCTTCAATGAGAATAGTATTGGGGCTTTGCAGAACTATGAGGAAGTAGGAGAAGTAGAGCATACCAACACTACTCATTGGTGTGTCATATCCCCCTCAAAGATGCCAATTAAAGTTCAATGGTTTGATCATTTCCCACACTGCATGGAAATGACCCTGCCATGCTGGTCCTGGTTTCGGTCACAACATGCTACTAATGATTGTGGATTTGTCCTTGTGGGAGGTCTCAGATTTGATAAGCAGGGAAACAGCACATGGCAAAATCAGCTTGTTACAAAACACATGGGTTGTAAGGTTTGGCATGTACCCAATGAGCAATCCATATCCCGCGATGAAGGGGTTTTCCACAGCCCAAATTTGAAATTCTTGAGACCCACATTTGGACGTCGTGGTTACTTGCAGAATCCTGATGATGCACAAGCATTGAGAAGAGTTGTGGGGGTGTCGGATGCCTGGGTGGCATCCCAGAAGGGCAATGGGAAGCCACTTCAGATTGGTATCATTCAAAGAACTGAAAAGAGAGTCGTGACCAATATGAATGATGTCGCCAAGGGCCTGCAGCAAGCACTGCCTGAAGCCAATATTGCAATATCCACATTTGGTTACCCAACTGTACTTGAACAGGCCAAATGGTTTGCTTCCATGGATGTCATTGTGGCCGTCCATGGAGCTGCCCTTACCAATTCAGTTTTTGCAACCAAGGGAACGTTTATTCTTCAGCTGTATCCTCCTGGATTTCATTTTCAGTCCCTGGAACCCTTGATTGAACAGAGTGGGGCAATTGCCCTTGACTGGTACAAGGGGGATCATCCAGTGGAGGAATTTCTGACTGTCACAGCAAAGAATCCTGCTCTGAAGAATACTTTGCAGCATCAGGACTTTGAAGTTCCTGTTGATGAGATTGTTGACATCCTGCTTGTAGCATTGGATAAGAAGGAAGCCACTCCACTAATGATGAAGAAATCTTCAATCTACTGAGTGATAAGGGAAGAAATCCAGCTGAACCCCCCTGCCAACAGCAACACCTTGATCAACCACATGATCCTACAAGAAAAACAAGAAAAACAACAAACGATGAGCCAATGGCCACAAAATCTCCAGAAACAGAATAGGTACTTGCACTTTCTTCTCTGTCTTCGTCAAGGACGAATAGAGTTTCTCCCTATTTTGAGGAGCCGCATTGTCATCTATCAATCGTAGAACATGTCCCCAGATGACGTATTGGAAGACTTGCATGCAAGGAGTTGGCAATGAAGCGGACTTCCATCCTAGCTAGTGGATAATACACAAGAACTGCAAGCCGAAGTGTTATCGATAATACTCTCCCTGAATCGTCCAGTTTCTCTCTTTTTTCATTTTATTTTTTAAAAGATGGAAAGAAAACACTTGCAGCACAAGTACTAGTAGACTACAGTCGTACCGCAGATCTACAATCCAAGTAAAAATTTAATGACGTCATTCCACCAAAAGCCAATTTTTGATGGCACCCACCGTTCACCCACCTTGAAACCCCGCCACTGCATCCCACACAACCTCGTCTCTGCAACCATGAGGCATTGGAAGATTTGCACTGATCTGACACGATGCCTTTTGACGATTGCTATCATACAGCAGCTTTTGTTGCCATCCGTGTTGGCATCAGTGCCTCAGCTGCCTCCAACGGTGGTGATCCGCAATCTGGCCAGGGGATCGGCTTTGAAGATGATGGCAGACCTAAGTGGTGGCTTGCCCATGGAAATATGGAAGTCGTCCGTGGTCTTGCAGCATATTCGGACTAAGGACGGGAAGAATAGAAAAAACGACCTCCAGGTCCTGCAAACGTTGATTGAGGAGCGTGGATTTTCAAGTCTGTGGACGGGATGTTCAGCTCGCATGGTGGAGGGCTTTTTTAGTGGAGCCGTGTTGCTGACGGGGAAAGAAACCCTGAGGCGATCATTGCTAGCATCGCCCGTGGTCCGAAAAACAGTGCCTCCGGCAGTGATTGGATTCGTCGCCGGTGCCGGGGGAGGGGCTGCACAAGCCCTGATAATGGCACCAACCTCTCTTTTGGTGACGGCGTCCACTGCCAAAGGTGGTCAATCCGTCGTTGCCGCTGCCAAGGAAGTGTGGCAAAGAGATGGTCTAGCGGGAATCTACAAGGGATCTTCAGCAGTAGCTGCCCGCCAGGCTACCAATTGGGCATCACGGCAAGGATTTACCGAGCTTGTGCGTCCCCACATCAACATTGCGGGGGTATCAGGAGAGATTATTGCAGGGTGTTTGGGAGGGGCGCTAAGTTCGTGGAATACTCCTTTTGAGGTTGCTCGAATACATTCTCAGTCGAGGTTATACCTACCGGTTCAGAAGAAGAATGACTACAAAACACTACAGTCCGAGTCTCTGATAACTACGATGAGACAAATACTTGAAGAGGATGGGGTCAGTGGCCTTTACGTTGGGCTCACCCCAAGGATATTCCAAGCTTGCTATCAGACGGTTTTCTTGGTCTGCATTCCAAGGCTCATTGAGAGATGAAAACATATCTTTCTTTTGCGAACATTGTTCTATCTAGGCTACGAGCTAGGAATCACAGAGCATCATACCATAATCCACAAACATAAAGAGACTATTATTCAACAGATCTATCACCCGGCAATGGTAGTCTACTGTACAAACAGAATCCTAGCTGACCGGGATGTTGTACGCATGAAGAAAAGCATGACGTAATCTACACAGAGGAATGACGTAACATAGATCGGATATCGCCATTCCCTCCTTTCTTTGGAAGTCCAAATGCTGTAGTGCGGCGGTTGATGGTGTGTTTCCTCTTGGCTGTCGTCGACAAATGAAAGGCTGGAGCTTCGGTAGCCGATTCAGATGTTCGGTTCTTGTGATCCGAGGACGAGGCTGGTGCAGCAGCCTTGCTCCCCAATATGCTGTCAAGAGCAGATTGTTTCGCTTTGGGCTTCCTATTAGCCTGCAACGTAGCAGCATTGACCATCTGCCGAGCTCGTCCGGAAGCAACCTTCTGGATCCTTCGATCTGCTTGCAGCGTCTCGTCGCGTTGCACCTTTTGCGCATTCAAAGCCTCCTGTTTCTTGCTCATTTGTCTCAGCATTTCCACGGTTTTCTTCCTCTTCTTTCGCGAGTCCTGGCCCGTTTCCGCTTCCTCGGCAACTCTCATCAAGTCTTCCTTGTACTTGGGCTCTAGCTCCTGCAATTTGGCCAGAATTTTGGCGCAGAACTTTTCTTTGTGTTCCAATTTCCGTTTGGTCTCTTCTAATTGTACCCGAAGCTCCTTGTTGTCATTCATGATCTTTTTGGTTTCCACCGAGCGATGTTGTTGAGCCTGATGCAACCGTTGCGCATACTGACTTTTTTCTTTCTCAAAGGCATCTCTCATTTGGTGGAATTCCTCCTGAGCTTTCGCGAGTTGTCGTCTGGCATCGTCCCGCTCTCTCCGCAACCGTGTCACTTCATACGATTTATGGGAGAGTTCCATCTCTCTATCTGCACTAGCTTGCTTTATTTCTTTCACATCCTGCTGTGCCTTTTCTAGATCTTTCTTCATTGTCTGGTGGCGATCCAGAATCTCTTTTTGTTTTTTGGTGCACTCTTGGAAATTGGAGTGACACTGCTTGTATTGGAGTTTGTACTTTTTGAGTCGCCTCTTCAACGCTGTAGTTTGTTCATCGGAGCCTCCCCCTGAAGAACTGCTCTGCCTTCTCTCGATAATTTCTTTTGGTGGTGGTGAAGCCGTGAGATCCACAACCTTCTCGTCATCGTCGGATTTCTCCTCCTCTTCGGGTTTTTTGCTGTCATCTCCCGCTAACTTGTCGGCTTCGCCGCTACCCTCCTCCTCTCCCTCCATGTTTGTGTCCACGCTACTGTCGTCATCATCGTCGTCGTCTTCATCCAAGTTAAGAGAAGCGGGGAGACTGATAAAGACCTTCATAAAGCTAGCAGATCCTGCATTGCACGAGGGACATTTCACGTAGGATCGACCATACCCCTTGCCAAAAATGGATGCTTCCCAGCCTCGAAAGCAGTTCTCATGGATGGGATGGCCACAGGGGACAGTCACGCCCAAGGCATCACTCTCACTAAACAGAGACTCCAAACAAATGCAGCAGTTGCCTTCCGTCATCGTGAAGTCTCGAAAAATAAATTGTGTCGAAGATTGCCTCAAACTCAAGGCTCGCTCCCGTCCCAGTTTGAAATGGGCGCGAACCTCACTGGAGCAACGATAGAAATTCAACAGCTCTTCTGGCTACTAAAGGTTTTACCGGTGCCGGTGGGTTTTGGAGCCTACTGGTGCCGTATCACAGATGGATCATTGCGCCGTGGCCATGGAACCACAATCCAATCGACGTAGCAAAAAGTACATGGCACATTGTAGAAGGGGGCCGCACATCATTAAATATCAATGAAGCAGCAAACGTGGGCAAGCGAGATGGAAAACTTCCATAGATGCATGGGGGGGGGAATGCGGCTGCTACCGGTACCCAGACCTGGGCATCATTTCGAGGCAAATGCCTGAGGTGGCATACGGTAGAAGCCAAGAACTGGTACTTCGGCGTAGTATTGTAGCCTTGAGACAAGCATCATTCGCCAAAAGATAGAGTACAGGAAACTTGACACAGCTTCTGTGCGAGGATGAAAGCTCGTGTGGTCATCTTGTTTTCGTGTTCTCGAGCGCACTTTCATGATGAATAGAACAACAGCAACGCTACTACGGCACTGACTTGGTCTTTACTAGTACGTAAATGGGACGGGTGAGTGCTACTGGAAGCCGTATGTCTCGCTAACGGTACCTCCACTTTTGTTGGTTCAAGTTACTGGTTCTATTGGTTATGCCTGTTTTCAGCATGGCTGCTGTCAGAGTTGGTGGTGGATGCGGTTTCATTGCCCTCTTCAGTTTGCGCATAACGAGGGGTGGCAGCATTAGCAGTTTGGCAAAGAGGACATACATTTCGAAGAAGCAACCATTGCCGTAAGCAATCTACATGGAATTTGTGGTTGCAGGATAGGTTGCCCACTCTATCACCTTCTGCCAATGCTGCAAGGCAAATGGTACAACATGCATCCTCATCGAGATCTGACTTGGATTCAAAGGTTGTTGTTCTCAGAACAAGCTCTGTAGGCACTTGCTGCGGTTCTACTCCTTGTTGCTGCTGGATGTTGTCAGTGTCTGGGTTTGCACGGATGATTTCCAAGAATCGGTCCACGAGGCGTTCATTGATGTTTGGTTGGCAGGATATCAGGAGTATGTAGTGGCGAGCACGAGTCCCTTTTTCAGTGAAAAGGAAAGCAAAGACAATAGTGCACTGAAACACCAGAAAGAAAGGCCAGCCATTCCTCAAGAATGTTGTTTCATTAGAGTTGGCAAAACAACCAATCAGCTCGTGGTTGCTTGCAGCGACCCCGCAGGTGTCCAACTCAACCGGACAAAAATGGCCAAGGGCACAAGGGCACTGGTGAATCAAGACGGTATTGCTGCTTCCTTGGATGCTACTGCTGCTGCTGCTCCCTCCGCCATCAGCAGTGGTGTTGGGGTAGGATTCTTCTTCGTCGGAAACACGTCTTTGCTTTTGACCGGGGATGAAGATTGCTGGCATTGGATTCTTCGAGGATGGCAGTTGCCGCCGGACCCCACCAGAGGAGGAAGAAATTGTTTGTGTCGTCGTGAAGTTGATTTGTATGATCTCAGAAGCATCAACAATGACATTCCCGTCATCTCTTTCGTCGCCGTATCGACCAACGGCTATTCTGGGTGAATTCTCAGGTATGGGACAAACTCTGGCAATAGTTTGTGCTCCAACCGCCCTTAGCAAAGCTACCACACAAACAAGCCAGGCAGTTTTTGACATGTTATCTGATATCTCCCACCTTTGGGCTGATTGTGGGCGTATTGGGAAGAAAATAGGACAGATCAGATCCCGAGACAAGATGTGAGGCTGGACGCCTGGACAAGCCACAAAGGAGAAAAAAGTCTTGTGTCGTGAGGCATCGTTTATTTAATTTACCTCGGCAGGTAAACTGCCTGAGTTCTCAACCCCTTTAATGCTATTTCCTATTCCGGTGAAGCCAAAGTATAAGGATAGAGATAGTCATAAGCCAATAAAACTGGACATTGATGGTTCAATACAAGTTAGGGGTAGGAATAAATCATTAATATTAAAGGTTAGTGCAATCAGCACAACAGCACAATAAGCCAGCAGGAGCTGTAAAGGTTAGAGTTACAATAAGGGAATGTCAGCTGGTAAATTATAGAGTAGCGGGCGGCAACACACGACGTAGTCGGGTGTTGTCGCCAGGGCTAGCTTAATAAAGAGAAGGTTGCAATGAGGGAATGAATGATACCGGGCGGCAACACACGACGTAGTCGGGTGTTGTCGCCATGGCTGGTGCACTGGCTTGAAAGATGGGTGCAATCTCGAACATGATCCTCCTTCTTCTATCTGTCTTTCTGCCGAGGTATCGCAGCTCCCGCTGACTTAACCTCGGCAGGTAAACTGCCTGAGTTCTCAACCCCTTTAATGCTATTTCCTATTTCCTATTTCCTATTTCCTATTCCCGTGAAGCCAAAGTATAAGGATAGAGATAGTCATAAGCCAACAAAACTGAACATTGATGGCTCAATACAAGTTAGGAGTAGGAATAAATCATTAATATTTAAGGTTAGTGCACTCAGCACAAAAGCACAATAAGCCAGCAGGAGCTGTAAAGGTTAGAGTTACAATAAGGGAATGGCAGCTGGTAAATTATAGAGTTGCGGGCGGCAACACACGACGTAGTCGGGTGTTGTCGCCAGGGCTAGCTTAATAAAAGAAGGTTGCAATGAGGGAATGAATGATACCGGGCGGCAACACACGACGTAGTCGGGTGTTGTCGCCAGGGCTAGCTTGAAAGAAGAGTGCAATCTCAAACATGTCATCCTTCTTCTATCTGTCTTTCTGCCGAGGTATCGCAGCTCCCGCTGACTTAATCTCTCTTGTTTCCACAGTGTGCGCTGAAATCCGGTCCATTAAATCCGCATTCAAAAGGAGTCTTAAAAAGAGGCTATCCCTCTTAACTCTTCAGTTGCCGATACCCTTAACACTCATTAGAGCTAGAGCTAATCTCAAATGGGAACTTGGGAACTCAACAGCAGCGACCGTCAGCAGCGTCATCCAGATCCATTTTGGAAACGCATCGGCACTCGTCCTCACATCGATCGGAGCGAGACCATGGTGAGTGCTACGGTTGCGCTGTTAGTTAGTTGGTTGGAGTTATGTAGACATTTTCGCTAGAGTTGGAGAGACCAGTTCAGCGCGTTGTCAGAGGTGGTTAAGGTGTTATCTGGTGTTGGGTATCCAATCGGCATGGGTACACTGTGTATCCTATTCGCGGTGTTAATTTTCGTATTCCAAGCGTCTAATTTTTGTATTGCTATCCTCCCCTCTAGTCCACTGCCTTCCGTCTCGCCGCTCAACGGGCTCGTCCCATGGCCAATGTGGCCGCCCGAAACTCCCAAAGGCGCTCTGCTCAGACGGTCCCTCGTATGGGAACCGAAGAGCAGATGAAGGCCGAAGCTCTCGAGCAAATCAAGGCTCGAGTTGCCTACCAGAAGGAATTGATGAAAACCAAGGACCCCAAGCATCAGCTGGACGAAGAAATCCATGAGATGTACAAGTGGGTCAAGGTCAGTTTCATGGTCGGAGCCCCCATCTGCCTCGCATCCTTCATCTTTTCGTTCGCCATGGAAGCGCACCACACTCGCCCCGATGGAGAACTCCCGGAATACATGGCTGTCCGCCACAAGGAATTCCCCTGGGAATGCAGCGACTGTGCTCTTTTCGATCTCGGTTGCTGGAAGCAGTGCCGTGCCGAGAAGAAGTAATTCTGTTGGAACTCAGTCAACAAATTCCATTAGTTCGGTTGGGTTATCAAGAAATAATGTCTGGTGAGGCATCAGTGATAGTGACAGAAGAGCAACATCCATCCTCTTTCTTTTCAGTCTCTACTACGAGAAAGTTGAGGCCAAAATAATTCATGATTTAAACGAGATCATTATTTGTTTTGTTGGAGAGTCCTTCTATTGCTGGCCATCTCTATCTAGCTTGCTGGCTAGATTCGATACACCGATCCCACGTTTTTTTTTATTCAGTTTCCAACATTAGCTCGTAAATGTATTAGCTCTGTCGTCCTCGCATCAGGTGGTACTAGTAGAGCAGAGCTGGTAGAGTACGAGAGACGAACTAGGACGTTACGATATTTGAAAGATGTTGGCAAAAGTGATGACTTGATACTACCAGTTTTTACGGATCGCAGTGAGAGATTATGCCACTCGTCAACTCAGCCGCAAGGCGAAACGATTTTTTTCCGAAGCAAAGCCAGAAACGAAGCTGATTTCAATTAACAAAATCCAATCCATCGACAAGGTTGACTGACATTGCAGGGTTCTGCAGGTCGTCGCTGACAGAGCTCGAAAATTGCACTCTCAATTTCTCGTACCGTTGCAGGTCCGCCTGGCTGACACTGGGGACAAGATCTTTGGATGCTTCAATCATATCTTCTATCGTGACGACAGGAACCAGTCGGCTTTCGTCCCAATCGGTTAGGACTTCATCTAAAATCGCCAGCTCCTCCTCTTCGCCGATGCCTGTCGCAGTTTCCTCGATTCTCTTCTTCACCTCCTGGTCCGCCTCGGAGCAAAGACGTTGGGTAGCGCGAGACAGAGCGCCACTTCCAATGGATGACAAGTCTGCCCCTGTCAAGTTATCTGGAAGTCGATCCACGATGGATTGTGCTACCTCCAAGGCACTCAAACCTTGCTCAAACGTCAAGTGCCGAGTCTGCGCCGCGAGTATCCTAGCGCGATCTTCGGGGGTTGATGCTACCCCCAGATACACCATACGATCAAAACGACCTGGGCGCAGCAACGAGGGATCCAATAGGTCGGGCCGGTTGGTTGCCCCCAGTACAAAAATGTAGCAGTTGCCATCCTCGCCATCTTTGCGCTTACGTGATTGTTGCTGCTCTTGGCCCTTGTCCAACTCGGCTGCAAGAGTCGAAACCACCCGATCCATAACACCCCCTCCACTCCCACTGGCGGTATCATCTCGTCGCGGCGCGAGACTGTCCAACTCGTCAAAGAAGACTAAGCAGGCCTTTGGGTTGGCTGCCGTTGTAGCCTTTGACTTGGCCATCCCCTGATGGTTTTTCGGCATTGCAGATGAAGAAGACCCGACTCTTGTTCCTCGCCCCGACGACATCGCAGCCTCCCGGGCGCTGGCGAAGACACCACGGACATTGGCTTCACTTTCCCCAACGTAACTCCCCAATAACTCTGGCCCTTTGACCGACAAGAAAGGAATGTTGCATTCCGTCGCCACTGCTTTGGCAACCAGAGTCTTACCCGTGCCCGGGGGACCTACGCAATCAATGAAACGAACACCAGGACACGCACGTTTAGTCCACGAGAGCTGCATCCAAGGCGAACGAACGAACAACCATGTCACTTGCTCACCATACAACAGGATCCCCGTACGCCCTCCATGCGGAAAGAAGTGTGGATACTGAAGGGGCAGCTCAATAGTATCCATAATTTCTTGACGAACTTGAGTTAACCCGCCAACGTCGTCCCATTTGACGTTGGCAATCTTGGCCGCAGAAGAAGACGACGATTTTGAGGCCCGATCCAATGCTTGGCACATCTTGACGATCCCTTGACGCTGTTCCTCTATGGTTGTTTCCGTCGCCCTGCCGAGACATTGCTCGTGCAAGATGCAAATGTCCCGGACTGGTCTGTCTGCCAGCAAATCTTGAATGTGCTCTGGTCGCAGCGGATGTTGTTGTCGCTGTTGTTGTCGCGGACCGACGATGTGGTCGCATTCTTCCCACACAAACTTGGCAAACTCAGCATCGGGATACGTGAGCATCAAGGGATCACGAACAAGATTTCGTACCAGTGGACCCGCTTTGTTGTCGTTGCTGGAAAGTGGCTGTGTCGTGGATAAGACGATCAGCAATGATGGTGCCCACCGACAATCCATGTCTCTTCTTCTGGTAGAGGGATAATACACAGTCTCTTGTGGTTGTTGTTGGCTGGCATAATACAGATTCGGATCAACAAAGGCATCCATCAGTAAGGACCACACACGATCTTCCTGCTCCTCTCGTAGTGCGGCATCGGATGTCGAGTTGAATTCCAAGTCAACATCGACCAAATGCAATATACACGGAGCACACTTTTTGGCTTGATCCACTGCCAATTGCAACCCTTCCAATTGATCCGCCAAGGACCCTGTGGTGACGGGGCTTTGCCCATGGATAGAAGCAAAAGCTGCCAATCCCACTACCGAAATATATCGCATTCCCACGTTATGAGCGGCCACCTGGACCAATCGCCGAACATCGTGTTCCTGGTCCGTGCCCACAAGGAAAAGAATTCGTTCGGCTGGAGTGGTGGTGAATGTGGAGGATGTTGTGGAACGAATCATTCCATGCAGCACCTGATGCAGGGACGGCAAATCTGGGTGTGGGTAGTACTGTTGTGAATCATTGTTGTTGGATTGATTATTGTGGTTGGCTTCTCTGTCTGGTAGTAACAGATTCGATGTGGGAAGGGGTGGTAGCCGAGGACAACTACCGGGATGCTGGAAGTCATGCTGTAGGAAGGAATATTCCGTGTCGGTTGTGGTTCGGAAGGTTGAAGGATGGTGCTTGTTGTTGTTTTCTAACCCAATTCGGCTCGAAACAGCATGTACCACGTGGTAGTGAAAGAAGTGATTGGAGACTGGATCACGGACTTTTAGTAGCGAGGACTTGGACAAGAGGATTCCATCCAATGGCCTTGGACAGACGAGTGACTCTGCAGTGGCCAATGGCACTGGACATCCTAGGCAATGGAGCGTGACTTCTTTGGCAATGGGAATGGCATCCTCTTCCGATAAAAATTTATCTTCTACTTGCATTGACACTGTTGACGGAGGACCTTGGTACACGTATTCTTCCAACAAAAAGTCCTCTTCATTTTGGCTACAGGTGCTAGAGTCCCAAGCACAGCCTAGAGTAGCCGCAAGCGTGGAGGACACCAATAGCTGGATAACCGATCGATTCGCCGACAACACTTCTTCTTTATCCTTTTCTTCTTCTTCTCCTCCGTAAATGTCATCTTGATCCTCTTCTTGATCCTCTTCCTTCCTGAGACATGGAGGGTCGAGGTTCTGAGAGGCATTCTTCGGTCGATCGATGCAAACAACTATGGTTATCGACGGCCGCCGAGAGCTGCTCAACGTAGCCAGACCACCATTGAGAATTGATAACCGACGAAGGGCCGAAATTCCAGCCGTCGAGGGCACCACCAAGGCTGCATTGTGAACGTCATCTCTTCGTATGCTACCATCAGACCGATGACCAGCAAAAGTCGTGGCCTCTTTCAGTCTCTTACTCATGCAATCGTCTGGTAGGCTTTCAAGTTGCACCGGAACTCTTGTCGTCGAGCGACCAGAGGGTACATTGTTCAGACGCTGACATAGTCCACTCCAATAATTGTCGTCCATCACATTACATGTATCCGTATAATATGTACAAAGTCCAAGGGGTTGTGAGACCAATAATTCTGGTCGTTGCAGTGGTCTGATTCCAGAACCAGCAGCTACTAGTAGCTAGACTAGCTACCGTAGGCATTTGTCAGGGATGCTTCCTTGGATCCTCCGTGCCTCCATGGTCTGCTAACAGCAATAATATTTTATATTCTTGAGCCGAACGCTTTGCCACCACATGTGCAGATTTTGAAAGCATTATGGTGACCAACCATGCTTATATCCTTGAACAGGATCGATTACTCTGAGCTCTGAGTACAAGCTACTACCGTAGTGGCACTGTGCCTATGGGTTAGAGGGGACTATGGCGACATGGGTTTCAGAGGAGGAGGGCAGGTGCAAGAGCGCGAACCAAAACGAACAACCCTGTTGGCAGATCAATGGCAAAACCAAAGAGGGAATGTGTGGCAAGGGAGGAGGGCAGAGAGGATCAAAGAACTAAGACTGGCGGAACAGATCAAGAGGACCTCAATCATCCCAACACATACCTAGATATCTTGATAGCAGGAACAGAAGAACCTTGAAGGCACATCAAGAAAGGGCAATGCTCAAAGGAGCAGAAACAAAGGAGCCAACCACAGAGTATGGCTTGAACCACTTGTGAACCAAAAGCTGGGAGAGCTGTTTGAGAAAAGCAGAAACTTCAAGAGAAAAGAGGCTGACAGCAGAAACAAGCAACAAACGGGGTGCAGTGCCAGCCAGCATTGTGCAGTTTAGGGACACATTGCCACCATGCCTAAAGAGTCCTTACTTTAATAAGAACCCAGGATTGGTCCTGGATATTCCTACAGGAATGCTTTACATTGAACCTCACAAAGCCAGCCTAGCTAGCTATAAACAACTGAAAATACTTAGAAAGCCCTTGAGATTGTTGTTGTTTATCTTGTAGGTTCATGTTGTTGGCGGGGGTGGTTCAGCTAGATTTCTTCCATGATCACTCAGTAGTTTGAAGATTTCTTCATCATAAGTGGAGTTGCTTCCTTCTTATCCAATGCTACAAGAAGGATGTCAACAATCTCATCAACAGGAACTTCAAAGTCCTGATGCTGCATGTCATTCTTCCGAGCAGGATTCTTTCTGACAGTGATAGATTCCTCCACTGGATCATCCCCCTTGTACCAGTCAAGGGCAATTGCCCCACTCTGTTCAATCAAAGGGTCCAATGACTGCCAATAAAAGCCAGGAGGATACAGCTGAAGAATAAAGGTTCCCTTGGTTGCAAAAACTGAATTGGTAAGGGCAGCTCCATGGGCGGCCACAATGACATCCTTGGAAGCAAACCATTTGGCCTGTTCAAGTACAGTTGGGTAACCAAATGTGGATATTGTAATGTTGGCTTCAGGTAGTGCTTGTTGCAGGCCCTTTGCAACATCATTCATATTGGTCACAACTCTCTTTTCAGTTCTCTGAATGATACCAATCCGAAGTGGCTTCCCATTGCCCTTCTGGGATGCCACCCAAGCATCAGTCACCCCCACAACTCTTCTCAATGCTTGGGCATCATCAGGATTTTGCAAGTATCCACGGCGCCCAAAGGTGGGTCTCAAGAATTTCAAATTTGGGCTGTGGAAAACCCCTTCATTGCTTGATATGGATTGCTCATTGGGTACATGCAAAACCTTACAACCCATGTGTTTTGTAACAAGCTGATTTTGCCATGTGCTGTTTCCCTGCTTATCAAATCTGAGGCCCCCCACAAGGACAAATCCACAATCCTTAGTAGCATGTTGGGACCGAAACCAGGACCAGCATGGCAGAGCCATTTCCATGCAGTGTGGGAAATGCCAAAAGAATTTCACAGGAATTGGCATCTTTGAGGGGGATATGACACACCAATGAGTAGTGTTGGTATGCTCTATTTCTCCTACTTCCTCATAGTTCTGCAATGCCTCAGTTCTATTCTCATTGAAGGATTTGAATCCCCCGATCAAGACAGCAGATGCTCGATCATAGTGCTCCTGGATAATAGATTTCACACCAACCAAGCCTGTCCTTTGGCTGCTTATTAGATTCCCCGCACTCATCAAGAAAAGCGCCACGAATATCAGTGCATTCTTCTGATTGGAATGTTGTTGTTGTTGTTGCTGCTGCTGCAATAACCGCACCATCTTTCAAAAGTCCAAGAAGAAAGTTTGCGTCTGATGTGCTCAGTGCTCAGCTCTCGAAATCGCTGGTACTTCATGTACGAGCCATTTGCAAGCTTGTGGTCTTGGTTCAGCGATTGAATGACCAGTCATGCTTGCAGCAAGGAAAGAAACGTTATCTATCAGTTTTTGTTCAGACAATTGGCTTTGCTGGCTTAGTTTAGGTTTGCGGAGTGTGGGCCATGAAACTTGGCTGCTAGAGACTAGCCAGCTAGTACTGTAGTCTCACTGAGTACCTGTATCTACTCTGCTAAATTCCCTAACTTTGGAATCACAACACTTCCATAATTCTTCTCGCTGATCCTCGACTAGCAAAGGTAGCAACTTGCCTACTCGTATGGCCATACCGTATCAACTGCCAATTTTATGCTGCCAATTGGCAATGTTCGACTGGCCTGCTATTCGATGGGGCAAGGTTGTCCAATGGCTGGTGATCATAGTATTCTCATGTTTGCGCCGTTTCTGGTGGGTGAATAGCTAGCTAGTAGCGGGCTAATAGCTGGAGGAGTTGAGAAATCACAAACCAACCAAAGTCACAGTGACTGTTGCCTCCAATGATTTCACCATCAATATAGTGGTCTCTCTTTCCATGACATGATTTTGTGACTTGTGTGTGTGTCCGCTGCTATGCATCACTCATGCATCACTCATGCATCACTCACTTACTTTGGTCATGACCAGAGTGTAGTCTTGCAATGTGACGGCCCGTTTGCCGGCTTCAAAGTAGAGTTTGTCATTTTGGGCATTCAAGTATTCGGCAATCCGCAGTCGTCCTTGGACAATGGTGTCGCTCGTAGTTGTTGGTTGGAATTCCCAAATGAGTTCGGAATCGGTGGTAATGGGGGGTGCCGTATTTTGGTTGGTGAGGGCAAAGATGGATCGTTGCAATTCGTATCCCGACCAGACACTACTATCACTCAAAGAAGAAGTAGAAGAACTACCATGCGAGACAACAAATGTCTTTTGCGCCGCGGGTCCTTTGAATCGAATCATGGTGGTTTGCAGGGGATCCGTGTCTTGTCCTCCCATTGCCAAAACGGAAGCTCGATTGGATCCTCCCACATTGGCGTATTCGACCGATGCCACGACGGCTCGTCCGGCAAATGCATCCAATCGTTGTCGGGTATTAAAGAGTCGATCTTCGGCGACACCCCATTTGGTCGGGATGTAACGTAGTTGTAATTGCACGGGTTTGTCGAGTTGTTGTGTGATCATTTGATCGATGCTGGACTGGGCAATTTGAATGTCGCCATTGGGTCCACCGGCAAACTGGATGCCCAAAGGTGTCTTGACACTGACCAGTGTTTGTGTGACATTCCAAGTTCCTGCCAGGAAGGGTGGAAAGTAGGTATTGTCGACGCCATTGAGTTCCGAGGCGTAGGATGGTGCGGGAAGATTGAGTTTGTCTTGTTCGAGTCGTTCCGAATAGGAAGTACTGGTAGCGGCAGATGACGGAGATACTCCAGCAGTAGTAGCTATAATAGCCCAAAAAGGAACCGATGCCACAAACAAACGGCGGTTCAGGGATGGATTGGAGAGCAGGTCGTGTGGCTGTGACAGCGTCTTTTCATGTGATGGTGGTACCGATAACCCAGTACAGAAATAATGAGGCTTCACAACAAGGAAGGTCAAACAGTAGAAGATGAGCGGGTAGTTTGAGTAAACCAGTCGGATCATTGTTGCAGTCTTACAGATGTTGCATATGGTACGGTACAGATAGATGCTACTATGACATAAGCTTGATTGGTTTGTGGAAGGCATGCAACAGCGCTATCAACGGTGCAACGATGCCAACATCCATCGGTGGTACCGGTAGCCATACCATAGCGGTACCGGTAGCCATACTCGTACTCGTAGGGCCATGCAATGCATCTCAACACCGATTCATTAGTGAATGAATCAATCGCGAGGGTATCTTTTGTTGACACTTTGATGATGATGACAGTTCTCTTTTTTTAAGATTGAATTGCATTCTATTCTGGCATCTTGCTTGGACTCTCGCTCTTGCTCCCTTGCATGCATGGAATTGGCACCTTTATCATCATCTTTCTAATCAATCGGCTGCTACAACAGAGAAACTGCCAACGTTTGGTATTTGCAAGAAGCTACCGGTAGCTAGCTAGCTAGAGGACCATGAGAAGCATGAAGTTCAGTCGAATGGCAGGTGCCCTGCTGCAGAGAACCAGTCGCAATAATGGTACTGGTAGCCGCACTAGTACTTCCAGTGGGTCAAAATTGTTCCTGTCTACTGCCTCCACTCAGTCCGACCGAGCAACTAACTTCTGGGTAGCAGCGGTGGGAAGTTGTGTGGCATATCACCTATATGACAAGCAAAGCAGAACTAGTACCTTGATGGAAAAGAGACAAGACGACAATGATAATCCAGAGACTCGACCCTGGTACCGACGCTACCCCACTTTGACTTTGGAACGAATGCGAGGCAGTGTCAGCAGCAGCACTTCCAGCAACAGTTCCACAACAACAACAACAAACAACGCCGCACCTCTTGACAATCGGACTCAGTTTTATGGACAATGCCTCCAACGTCAGCTCTACCAACCGCCCGCCCCGTATCCAGCCTGGGTCTATGATTGGGATGGCAAAATGAATGACAGTTGTACCAAGGAAGCCCTGTCGACCGCCCAAGGATTGCAAAAATCCAGTTGCACCGGGACCACACGACACATACTACTGGTGCGACATGGACAATACGAAGAAGCACCCTTTGACGATCGCAAACGATGTCTCACGGCATTGGGGCGAAAACAGGCACAACTCACGGGAAAACGCTTGGCTACGTTGGTACAACAAATTGCGCAGAGTAAAAAAATCAAGGCTCATGTCCATGCCATTTATACCAGTGACATGCTACGGGCCAAACAAACTGCATGGATCATGGCACAAGCCATGCCCGATAATATACCCATTCGGGATCCCGATCCCGATCTGAATGAAGGATTACCGGCACCCATGATTCCACCGCGACCCGATTTGCCCGGGGTCGAGGAAGAAGTCGATGCTCAACAAGAACGTATGGAACGGGTCTTTCGCAAATACTTTTATCGGGCAGATCCCTCGCCACAATTCTTGCAAGCATGGAAGGATAATGCAGCAGCGGCACGCAATCAAAATCATACACAAGATTACAATATCAGTCCCTCTGGTACCGTCGTACCCATTGAAAAAGCACCCAAACAACAACAACCACCCAAACCAATGTCGCGATTGCCACCACCGGATCACGAATTTGATATTATTGTGTGCCATGGCAATGTCATTCGATACTTTTTGTGCCGGGCATTGCAATTGCCACCCGAAGCGTGGCTGCGGTTCTCCGTGTTCAATTGCTCCGTATCGTACATTATGATCAAACCCAATGGCTATGTGAGTTGTCGCATGATTGGAGATATCGGGCATTTGGGATATAAAGAGACCACCTTCTCCGGGGCTCATGGTTTGTTGTGGTCGTAACGAAACGGAACACAAGAGACGTGAGAAGAAGAGAGAAGAGTTGCAAAACAGAAAGAAGAAAAATGAACAGAAAAAGATGAGGAAACGGCAGCTTTCTAATGACTATGCATTTAGAGGATTAAAACCCATTTTGTACACCAATGTTATAGTCCTATCCACGTGGATAGTCTGTTGAAGGCCCCTTTGTTCCCGCCGTCGTAGGCACGTTCGCTATGGGCGGTCAAGGCCATCATCGTTTAGGTTGCGTTCTTGAAATCGAAAGAGGATTTTCCAGCGAGCAAGAAGAAATATGGTGAGAAGAATGGAACGCTGCCGACAATGGAAAAGATTGCAAGGAGAGTAGTTGCTACTGCTGCGAAGGAAGATTCACTACGCATCCTTCTACCAACTACATTGCTTTTATGGATTGATACTACTTCGGAAACCAGATGTTGTGTGTCTCGTCCTTATGGAATCACGCACGAGATGCTCTCGCTGTGAACAATCAGATCCAGAGACCACTGAGGCACTGAACCAAAGCCGACACTGCTCAAAACAGAGAAACGAAGAGACAGCGACAGACATTCGAGATCCCTCCTCTGGTTTGATGCATTCAGCAAGTCAACGTTCGCCTCGCCAGTCTCAAGTCAAAGTCCATGTCTATCCTTACACAGCAACCTTGTTCCTTGAACGAAAAAATTGTTGTCATCCGTACGTATCGTACCCTCCCATCCATGACTCTCCATGACTCTATACGTCATCTGCTTACTTACAAAAACGCTTTTGGAACCATTGACTAAGTAAAGGACATTGCAGTAGGGCGAGCTCACAATTGGCTGCTGCATCACATGATCGGTGGCCTTGGTGCCGATGACTGAATGTACCCGTAAACACCAGCAACATGCTCACCCAGAGCTGCGGCCCTTCCAAGCTGCAACTATGCTTTTTTTGTATGAGATTTGGACGGGATTGTTGTGATCATACAACATGGAAAAGTGAAAGGCCATCCCTACCATACCTCTGTTTGTTTTTCTACCCCTCATGCTTGCCATCAAGCACTGAAGGTCCTCGTGTGAGAGATTGACCAGAAGCAGGCAGGGCGTAAGCCCCATACGGGTAGCTAGCTAGACAAGCACTTTTGTCGGTATCTCTATCGTACCACATGGCTCAAAACTACATGTAGCATGTAGCATATCCCCGCATACTAACCACCAGCCAACGAGTCGCGGGGAAGAACGAGGGCATCTTTCCCTGAAAAAGGAAGCCACCTCCATTGAGTGGCAGCCGAAAGTAAACCTTAGCATAGGACTGTTCTTCCAAGGCTGAAACACATCCAAGGACTTCAAGGCATCAATAATACCGCAAGCTTTCAGCTCTTGGACCATGCTTCTTCGTGCCAGTGGATCGGTCGCTGTGGTTGAAATCGGAACCTAATCCATAATCGTCTGGCCTCCGTCTCACTGCACTAGGTAGTTTGATTTAGTTTATTCAGCAATGAAGACAAGATATATTAGTCATTTAAGGTCATTATTTAGATGCCATCGGTAGCTATGGGCTTTCATTATCGTCGTGTTATTATGCTACCCATTGATCAACATGAACGCTTGGGATTGGATCCAACAAAAAAGCTGAAGGACGCCGAATGGATTTAGCAGCTCGCGGCCGGCCACTCCCAGAGTCACGAAAGAGGCATCAAGGAGTGGTTGGTTGCTCGAAGGTCGCAGCAGCAACCCTCTTTGATATCCACAGCATCCCAACGATACCCTACAGTCGCCGAGCCAAGGAGCCGAAGAGCAGCGGATAACAAAAAGTAGCAAGAGAAGCCTTGTTTGGTGGATATTCGAGACCTTTACTTGACGAAGGAAGAGGTATTGATTGCATCAAATCTACCAGCCAGGATACCCCAGAGTTCAACGGATCACGAGGATAACGCGAATCTTTTCAGTTGAGCACAGTACTGACGGGCTTCTCGAGACACCACTGCTGCATCAGAGAGCCTTTTTCATCATACCCACACGAGAAGGCTAATGCCCAAAGGTTGAGTGGATACCCCATTAGTTGATCATCACAATGTCCGCTCCGCCGCCACCACCACCAGCTCCTCCCCTCGGGGAGTCCAAGATGCTCTATCTGACACCCATCTTGAAGAAGCGAAAGGACGGTCTCGCACCTACATTGCTGCGTGAGAGGCAAAGTGACAATGGATCGGCTGTCTCCAAAGCTTACAGGACCAGCTCTTTCTTGTTGCACTCGTTAAAGGGCTGTGCTGGAGATGAAGCTGCGGAATTGCAGGCCATTGTGGTATCAATTCAGGAGTGTCTCGAGGACAATGAAGGTCCCGATAAAGATTATGTCGGATTGGATTTCACTCCCCAGGGCTGCTCCTGGGTGCTCGGCCTTAGCCCTTCCATTGGATCTGGAGCTTCCCACAGCTACTATATAGAAGTCAACTGCGCAGCCCGGCAACTTCCAGGGGCCAACAACACCGCCTACGAGGTCACCACCAGTTTGGTGCCAAAGGTTAAGGGCGTTGATGCCAAGTCCCCCCAACTCAAAGGATTCCGAGAAGCCAAGGTTGCCTTTGACTTTATGGTTCTTCAGGTTAGGAAGACGGTGGTTAAGATTGAATTCCCTGAATTTCCCGAGGGATGCAAGGGCCGTCCTTTCCGAGAGGTGTATCAGTTGAACGCTCGAGTAAGATATCTCTGATGATCGACCGTGTTCATTGATGGTGCCAACCTACTTGCATGAATTGTATCGTGATGGCTCATTTTGTCACTTTTTATCTATCAATCAAAACTTGTTCTGTTCGATATCTTTTGTTTCGGATCCATCACACAATTCTTTTGTACCCTTAGCTCAAGTCAGGATCTTTTGCGACCGTGTGCCGTGGAACTCACAGATCAACAGGGAAAAAGGTTGCCATCAAGTGTGTCCTTCGTAAGGATTTGCCTCCCCCAGATGATGCAGCCATCTACGACGAAGTTGCTATTCTTGCATCCCTGAACCATCCACACATTGTCCCTCTAATTGACTTCTTTGACGAGAAGGATTGCTACTTCCTTGTTATGGAGCTCATGAGTGGAGGTGATCTTTTTGATCGTATTGGTAAAAAGAAGTCATACTCTGAGGCTGATGCTCGTGATCTCATTGTCAAGATGCTCAAGGCCGTTGGATATTGTCACGCGGCCAAGATTGCTCACTGTGACATGAAGCCGAAGAATCTTCTTTTGATGAGCGAAGACAATGACTCGTACATCAAGTTGGCCGATTTCGGATTTGCAGCGCGTTGTCATGATCCCAAGTCTCTCACCAAGCAGTGTGGTACCCCTTTCTTTGTATCGCCGGAGATTCTCATGCGAAAACCCTATGATCAGCAGTCGGATATGTGGAGTGTTGGATGCATCGTCTTTCTCTTGCTCAGTGGAAACCTACCGTTCATGGGACGGAGTCAGAAGGAGCTGTTTAGGAAAATTGTTGCTGGAAAATACGAATTTGAGGCCGATGATTGGGATGATATTTCCGAGGAGGCAAAGGATCTTGTCAAAAAGTTGCTGGTCTTGGATCCCGACCATCGAATGACCGCCATGGACGCTCTGAGACACCCATGGCTCAAGACTTCACGTGACCAGCTGGACCAGAGCAGGCTGGAGGGTACCGCGCAGAGATTGAAGACGTTCAATGCCAGAATGAAGCTGCGATCTGCTATGATTGCGGTCGATTGGGTCAGCAGTCTCAAGCGAAATTCGTTCATGACTGCCAAGAATATGTTGGCAAGCAACCCAGCCAAAGCTGGCGCGACAAGCAAATTAGCAAACCTGACGATAGAAGAGGGTTGAGTCGCTGGCTGGCCGAATGCTTCCGCACACACTATTCTTGCCATCCTTCTTGCCTTGTTTTGATGGTGTGCAATGCTGTGCATTACGTGGAGTATAGTAGATTGGGATATCGGAGCCATCTCTGAGTCACCTGGTGATGGAGTGGGCCTAGATTTGTGTTTGTGTTCAGAAACCATGGACAGGGTGGTAGATACCGTAATCACGTATCTTAACATAAGGCTGTTCCTTAGTTCTGTGCTTCTTCATCAAATGTCTCTAGCTTTCTTCTGATTTTTGCGTAAGATGAAACCAATGGATTTGCCAAAATGGTGTTCTCGTCTCCAGACAGTTCTACCGGTATCTAATCCCGATGGTGTCCTTTGCGAGTTCTATCCACAAGCTAGCTAGTAGTCAGGGTTGGCTTCGGCGTCCATCAGAAGCTACAAAGAGTTTTGCCGCAGACGAAGGTTTTATTTTACAAGCACTGCCAAATCATTTTTGTTTGGCAACTACGACCAATACAGGTTCCACACAGGGGACAAATCTGGAATGCTGCTTGCTATTCCAGACAAAGCACATCTCCCTATGACTTGTCTTTCTTCTTCTTCTTTTCCTTTTTCTTCTTCTTTTCCTTCTTGTCCTATGATAGCGAGTTAAAGAGCGCAAACATTGTGAGACTAGCTAGCAGTCCAACCAAAACCACTCCCCAGCTATCAAAAACAGAATCAGCCACTGCAACTCACCTTTTTCTTCTTCGGCTTATCTTCCTCTCCAGAAGATGTTTCTTCTACGGCACGTTTCTTCTCCTCGGGAGAGTCTTCTTCCATTGCTGCAGGAGACGATGCAGAAGCTGGAGATTCTGCTGCAGGGGCGGCACTCTCCTCCTCTTTGGCGGGTGTTTCTCCTTCTCCTTTCATCTTGGGTGGATTGGACATGGAGTAATCCTTGTACGACTGCATAAAGTCTGCTGGTGTACTGGCATTTGGTTTGCCGTGTTTGTCGAGCTTGCCTTGCTGGATGAGTGACTTCTTCCGCTGTGCCATGGGGCCAAGCCCCCATCGTCTCGGGTAGACGTCTCGTTCCATAATGACACGCTTAATCTTGGCCACAGCTCCATGATCTACTGTCGCCATGACGGACGTTGTCATTTGAGCAATGGCTACCGCCACGGCTTCTCCTTTAGTGGTCATCAAAACCACTTCATCATTGATTTCAATGCCATCAGCAAACCGCAACAATCCTGGAATCATGAGCTTGGCCCCATAGCAAATAGCATTGACCGCCGAATCCTTGACGACAATGCGTTTGTAGTTGATCAAAAGCACTTCCAGAGGCATGACGACACGTCGAAGATAGGATTCATCCTTGGTGGTATCATAGACATGCTGTGCATCCAAAATATCATGCATGGTAACCATTCGTTCGTCTTCACCCATGATACCGGATCGATTTCGTCGAAGCTCTTGCATGTGTCCACCGGTACCCAATACGAGTCCCAAATGAACACAGAGCGTCCGAATGTAGGTTCCCGCTTGACACTTGACCCACATGACACCTAGACCACGTTCCTGATCGAAATCCAAGAGTTTGGAATCGTAAATGGTCCGGATTCTGAGCTGTCGTTTGACGGCACTAATGAGGGGTGGTCGTTGGAAGAGTGCACCCACCAAGGTGGTTTCAACGGCGCGTGACAATCTGGCTTGAATGTTTTCTGCCGTGGAATGGAGACGAAAGACGGCAATGTATTCCTTTCCGGCACTTTGCTGCGATTTGGCCAAGCGTGTGGCACGGTCCAGACAGACAATGAGGCAGCCCGAGACCTTGGGGTCCAGAGTTCCCGAGTGGCCCGTCTTTTCGACACGCAGAATGCGTTTGATCCAACTAACGACTTCGTGCGAGCTCGGATTGACGGGTTTGTCGACATTGATGACACCATAACTCAAATGCTGCTCCAGGGACCGTGCCAGCGGAGAAGATCCCGTGGGCAAGGGTGTGTAGTGGTTGGTTCGGATATGAAGCTGATGATAATTCTTCAACAAAAGCGGCCATTGTGAGGTATCCAGAGGCGGGGTACTCTTGCTGGGAGCAATCATCTTCCCAGAAGACGTATCTACCATTGCAGCCTCGTCTTTCTTGATGCTGCTGCCATCGTTGGCTTTCCTTTTCTTGTCTGATCATGATAATGGAGTGAAGGAAGGGTAGACAGACAGGTAACAAGTTAGGGACTTGGTGACACCCAAGGAAAACTCTTTGTATCTTTTCCATAATGAATTCTTTCTGGCCTAAGCTTACCTTTGGGCATGGTGAGATTTTAATGAGTGGATCAGTGCGACAATCTCTGGTTGGCGGAAGAAGTTCTGATCTTGACAGCTATTTTGAAGCCAAGAGGAAGGGGATGAGAAAGATGGCACTTGCTAACTCTAGGCAGCTCTAAAGATACCCAAACTCGTCGATCAGCAACTGATTCGATTCTATTCTATTCCAGCAATGAGGCTGTTGTTCACTCTTCAGATGGGAGACTACTAAACCTGGGAAGCAACGAGACACCAATACCACTATTGGAGTTCCGTTGTTGTGCCATTGCAATGGAAGTCAAAGAGTCGAGTCGACGTGCCGACGGATCTTGGGTGGCTGAGGGCGAGGATAGCGGTGGTCGTACTCGTGATTGAATGGATCCGCAAATTGCGTCCTACTCGTGAGTTGAGAGACGGAAAGACCAATTTGGCCTCCAAAATTGCATCTTTCAAGAGAATGAACCCAACCAAGTTGAGTTGAAACCGGTAGTAAAGAAGCTTGTTATAACTAGCCACCCGGCCATCTCAGCCTGAAGAAAGAGTTCCATGCTATTGGAGTGCTTCAGTACGTGTAACTGAAGCAGAAGACCAATTTGCCATCATCTACCCAAGGAACGAACGAGGAGGCTCTTTTTTTCTGTGTGGGTATCTTACCAGCATGGGTCGATTAGTCATCTTGTTGGGGGTGGTGGTAGTGATATCCATTGGCACCATCTCCTCCCATTTGGCTCCACCCTTCTTGGAAGTGATGCGAGAAGATCTGCAGAGAAATGCCACAATATTGCCTAAGGACGATAATAATGATGTGGATGCTACCAAAACTCAAGAAGAATTTGGAATATCCAGCAAATCCTCGTCGTCATTTTTGTTACACAAGGATAATGACAATCATCGAATACCGGGACCGTTTATGAACGACAAACTGTATTTTCTGGGTATTCGACTTACCACCAGCTATGACCATTCGGATGAGTCTGTGTTTGTGGATCTTTTTGGCCATGGCGTGGGCCAGGGGAGTAATGGAGCGTTTCATGTGGCCAAACAGGATCCAGGGTCTGCCTTGTCCTTTCAAAATGCCACCAAACAACAATTATTCTGTCAAGTGGTATCCTACAACAAGGGTGATACTGATGATCCAACAGCCAATCGGGTTGAAATGGAATACATTCCCAACGTCTCGGTGGATCCCAATACACAAGGCACTCATCTGATTTGGAGATGTGATGTATCTGCCTACTTGTCCAGATCTGTTTTAGTAGAACAACCACATGCCAGAATAAACGTATATACCAACCTGGGAAACCCATACCATCCCAATCCCAATACACCCATCATGACTGTGGATATACCAACCGACACGGCATCGATTGGACATGCGGGTCCCACCATCAAGAATCCTCACACGTCCTTTCTGAAGCAACCTCCCGTCGGAGTTGTCCTGTGCGTGAGTGGTGTCAAGGAAAGTGCGACTTGGTACCTTCCGGAATACCTTCAGCATCATATAAGTGTGGGTGTCGACCACATTTTCTTTGGAGCCGATTCTCCGGAAGACTTGGAACCATTGCAAACGGCATTGGCATATTACATTGACAAGGGGCTCGTCGTTTTGGGAAGTGAGGCGCCCCTGAAGCTTAACCGACAAGTGCGCAAATTGCGCTTTTACAATCAATGCCTGTTTCATGCCAAGAGCATTTCCGAGTTCGCAGTCGTCTGGGACATTGACGAGCTGTGGATGCCTCCTCGGCCTCAAGACTTGGGCGAACGGCGGCGGCGGAGGCGACTGTTGGAGAATACTACCACCGTAACGGGGAAAAGAAGACGACGACGATTAGAAGACTCAACAACAACAACAAAACCACAACATGATAATCCCTACCAATCTACCATCAAGATTGTGGACGCCATTCGCAACGTGACGGGAGGTTTAGGGTGTAGCAATTGGTGTTACCAGTCATTTCCATCGTACACGGTCAATCGTATTGTGCCACGAAAAGACAATGCCACTCACCCGGAATACAAGGGATTCTATGGCTTCCCCAACCGCGATAAGGACCTCAATCAAATGTGGAAAAAACCAATCCTGCGCACCAAGTACAATTTCCAGACATCATTCCATGTCGGAGGCTCTTGTTACAGGCCCGAGTCCAAGATACCCATCGGCGCTCGCCAAAAGTACCTACCACAGTTTCCAGAATGCCGCATGCAAGAATTGACGGTACCCAAGTGGGGCAGAATGCATCATTACCACAAGTTGTTTCGACCGGATTGGGGACTTGACGACGTTACCAAGTTTCCAGACTTGGACGAATACACACAGCACTTTCGACCAACTATCATACAGCAATTGCTACAACTACAAGGCAAAGTCAATTCCACGGCGTCGTTTCCAGCGGTGGAAGATGAGCGCCTGCGAGAATATGGTGTACAATAATAGAACAACAACGATCCACGCATAATTTTCTCTTAGCCGTCGGTTACCAGTGGGGTTCCTGCGAAAGTTTCGCAAACTACGACGTGGCACCAACATGCGCTTCCTTTCGGGTTGCGACTGTGACTCTAGCAGGGCATTCCTATTGCACAGCTCAACGGTACGCAAACGTGGCGATAGTTTATGCAAATTTTAATACAGGTTATCAGCAGTCACCAGCCATGACGAAGCAAAACTATGAACAAACGGAAACGATATATTCTATTCAAAGATAACCTATTTCTTCTTTGATTTCATGATGCCCTTTTCACCCTTGGTCATCTCCATGGGTCCGCGGACAAAGGGCAAAAAGTCCTTTCCACCCATGTATGGTCGCAACACCTCAGGTACGATGACACCGTCTTCAGTCTGATGAGTTTCCAGGAGACAACAGATACCTCGTCCTGTGGCACAAAGGGTGGCGTTGAGCATGTGAACATAAGAAGCACGAGCAGTCAAGTCCTTGTCCTGCTTCTTGACACCACATCGGGCTCCAACACCACGGGCCTGAAAATCAGTACAGTTGGAGCAAGAGACAAGCTCCCGATAAGCCTGTTGTCCGGGGAACCAAGCCTCAAGATCGTACTTTTTGATAGCAGCATCATTGAGTTCTGCAGACACAAGGCAGACAACACGGTAGCTGAATCCCAAACTGTCATAGAAATCTTTGGCCGCCTGCAGCATTCTCTTTTGTTCTGCCTGAGAGACCTCTAAGTTGTCTTCAGTAATGACAAACTGTTCAATCTTATCAAACTGATGCACACGAAAGATTCCTCGGATGTCTTTCCCAGAAGATCCAGCTTCCTTTCGGAAACAAGTAGAGACACCAGCATACCTCAGAGGCAAGGTTTTTTCATCGATCCACTCACCCTTGTGGTACGCACAAATTGGCTGTTCACTGGTGGCAATCAGGTACTTCTCAGTGCTTCCAGTAGGATCATCCGTTTTTCCAGAGACCTTGTAGAGCTGCTCATCAAAATCTTCCAATTGTGCAATGCTGGCCATGACCTCCTTATTCATCATGAAAGGTGGCTGCAACACCTGGTATCCTCGGGCCATCAAAAAGGCAATACCATAGTTGATAATTGCCTGATTCAAAAGGACTCCTGCATTGGTCAAAAAGTACTGACGAGCCCCAGCCACATTTTGACCTCGAGTCGGTTCATATCCTCCAATACGCCAGAGCAAATCATCATGGGTCATCGGTTTGGTGGGTGGCAAGGTATATTTAAGGGCGCCTTGAGGAGAGGGCAAGAAGTCGCTCTTTCCTTCCCCTTCTGGAGGTATGGGCTGCAAACAGACAACCAAGTTATCTTCCTCTTCGTCCTCTGCAATGGGAACCTCAGGATCCACAATGTTTCCAATTTGTCCCAGCAAGGCATCCCGTTTTTCGGCCAAAATGGGCAACTCAGCAGCCTTTTCTTTGATAGTGGCTTGAATGGCTTTCATTTGAGCAACTTCTTCATCACAGGGTTCTTTGGCTTTCTTTTTAGGCGCAATCACCTCTTTTTGCAACTTGTTCACTTCCTTGCGAAGTTTGTCACCTTCTTTGGTTACTTCGCGCCATTGTTGATCGATGGCCAAGACCTGGTCCACAATGGCAGGGTTCTTGTAGCGCTGGGTCATGTAGGTGCGATACTTTTCAGGGTCGCCACCCTTGTAGTCACGCAGTTCATTGATATCAATCGGCATGGCTGGATATTTTTCTCGTCTTCAGCTTGTTCTTGATCGAAGTACAAGTAGGACTGTAGGTGGGTATCAACGAAGCATGCAACGGCGACAGTGTTGTTGTGGACGATGAAAGACAAAGCCAAACAACAAAGATCCTTTTTGAAGGGTTTGGATCTGGAGCGATGGGATGACCGTAGGTTTTCTCAAGGGACTGATAAATCCCGAATAGTGGCTCATAACCAGCGCTGCTACACTCGTACTCGTAGAGCATAGCCGTCCTAGCTAGACTAGCTAGTCTAGCTAAAGTATTAGCTCCTCGATCCCCAACCTTTTCCCCGCTACATGTACCCATATGATACCATACCAGTAGGTGCAAAAAGAGCTCCAACATCATCGCAAATAGACTAGCTCCATTTATTTGGTGGTTCAACAACACGTTGTTCTTTGCGAGGAATAAGAACAGACGTGCTGTGCGTCCTCCGTGTCGAGCACAAAGCAAGAGAAAATGCGACTTTTCCAGTTCCCACCATCCCAGACCTACCAAAACCTTCCCCGTCTACAGTACCTGGTGCTGCTTCCAAAATAAATCCAGAAGCGCCTCTTCTGCGGGCCATTTCCTTGCGGAGGGAGGCCAATCCAATGCAAAAGACACGTTGCAAGGATTTCGGAACAACTTCGAGAGGAGCCACGGCCAGCTTGCCTGCGATTGAAGGAGCGAAGTTTCTACACCACGTTGATGGGCTGCAGCTGTCGGCCATCAGATTGTTTTGATTGCAGTTCCACAAAGCGCTGCAATCTGGAGCAAATTGCGTTCAGTAACGTGGCGGCAATTCCACGTCAAAATGGGATGGCGGCCACGCCTTGGACGACACTGTGGTGGCACAAAATCTCGTTCCAATCGTAAACCCTTTCATCCATTGACAGTTCCGCTGCGAAGGCGATCCTTAAGGACGAATTCTAAGCATTGTTCAAGCGTCTTGGTTTCGTTAAATACATAACCCCGACTTGACCGCTGTATAGTCATTTCTGTACAAGAGTGACATAGTGGCTTTTTGGGCATATATCTTCATCATCTACGCGTCATTCGAGTTCTTCAAGTTGGACACCTCAGCAAATTGCCACCTCCAAGAGCCACATTTTTGTTTGGTGCCACGTTGTGTTCCTCGGTTACATCTGCACCTATCGATCAAGGTATGAAGCGATTGAAGGAACGCTGGTGCTGTTGCTGACATCCGCAGCTCATCCTCCCATTGCTTTTAGCCACAATCGAGTTTTTAACTTATCTTACGTTGCTCTGGTCGAGCTGGAAGGACAGCCAAAGACTATTCCGCTGCAACTTCTCTCGCCATCATCATCTTCCGTCGTTGCTAGCTAGCTAGCTAGCTCACAATTCAAAGCAACACACTCGAGTCAAGCAAGCCGCTGATCCTCTCGCTTGAACTGATTGCTTCCATCAACAACCGAATCGGAACAAGCAAACGCAACCAAGCAAAATGGCCGGAATGAACGACGTTATCGACATGGCAGCCATGTCCAACCCTTTCCTTGTTGGAGGCAACGATGAACATGGTGTGCCACAGATGGGCGCTTCCATCGCTGTCAATGCCATGCCAAAGCCGGCTCTGATGGTGCCGCTGATGCCATCACCGGGTTTGGCTCGAGGCATGAGCAATCCCGCTTTTAGTGCCATTCAGGCCATTGCGGCATCACGACAACTGCATTTGTCATCGCAGAATTTGCAGCAGTTTCATCATCATCATCAGCAACATCCTCAGATGATGGCTCACAATCATCATCACTTTGGTGGCCATGATGATGATGACTCCATGTCCACGGCATCATCTTGTGACATGGATGATCACTCGTATTCGTCTTGGTCCGAATCAGACGATGACGAGGATGACAACGCCTACGAGATGTACGCGCCCGTGGCAGGTGCCAGTCGTGGCCAGTTGCTCCGACCCATGTCCGTGGATCAAATCACTGCCCTGGCGGTTGCTACAGGAGCTCGCAAGCCTCAGCAACTTCAGCAGCAGCAAAACTCCATGTCGGCTCAGACTTCTCACAACCCAAGATTGGGAATGGTTGCCACTGGGGGTCGTTCGGGGTCCATTTCGGCGCCTCAGTCTTCGGAAAACTTGGCAGTGGCAAAGAGTGCCATCCTGGGACCACGTTCTGTCTCCATGCCCAAGATGAATCCAGAGATTGCTCACTATCACCAACAGCATGGGGCACAATGCCCCTGTACGGACGTGACCAAACCGGATGATGTCCTTAAGGAACTGCTCCAAGCGCAAGGAAAGACGGTGGGGTACAGTTCCTACGATGAGATTCCAAACTTTTTCCTTCCGATTCAGCCTCAACACATTGAAGCGTTCCAACAAGACATTGTCACTGCCGTTCGCGGCAAGGATGTGCCTGCCTTGATGGCGCTTCAGAAACAAGGCAGAATGTTGCAATGTTGCAACAAGTTTGGTGAATCCATCGTCCACATGGCATGTCGTCAGTCGTCTGTCGAGGTGGTGGAGTTCCTCATGTCACAGGTCGACATTCGGGTGTGCTGTGACTCGGGACGAACGCCATTGCATGATGCTTGTTGGACCCAGAGCCCTGACTTTGACATTGTTTCCCTCTTGCTTGCGGAGTGTCCTGATCTATTGCGGGTCAAGGACAAGCGTGGATTTTCCCCACTGGCATATGTGCCTCATGGACAGTGGAGGCGCTGGGGAAACTTTTTGGAACAGAACAAGGACTTGCTCGTCTTCAAGGGGTTCAACTAGACTAACCAAAACTGATAACTCTAGCCAGCTATTTAATTTTGAGAGAAGAAGGATGGCGTATTCACTAACTAAATGTAGCTATTCGAAGCCTCTGGCTAGCTAGTGAAGGCGACATTGGGTGCCATCGTCTGTCATCTTACATACTATCTCTGGCTACCAGTAGACTTCGTTTCTTGGGTCGGCTTTATACAGTACATGTACTATGATTGGGCTGTCCCGAGGTCGTTTCCACTGCTCCCAAGGTTGGCGGAAGCAATGCGGCGAAGTCTACGGGCACCTTCAACTTTGAACCGGCGCAACCTCAGAAAAAGGCAATATTCGTTTTTGGCGCCAACGCCGGAGACGCTGCTCCGCGATCCGCCTCGAACTCGGTGCTCTCCCATCCAAACGCACCAGGAACCAAAGCTGCCCCGACAGCTGTGAGTCCATCAAATGGGGGCTGGGAATGTCAAGTGTGCAACGTGCACAACCGTCAAGATGCCAGGCAATGCATGTCTTGCGAGGCTCCTCGTCCTCGATTCGCTTCTTGCGGTTCAGCCGAGGCCGATGGCGACTTCGACTTCTGCAAACGTGTGCTTGTCGAGCACTACGAGAAGAACAACCCGGAGAAGCTGAAAGATGTGGATGCCATTCTTGAAAGATACAAAGTAAGTGTCACAGAGTTTTGTCTAGTGCGCTCTGGTTGTTCGTTTGACTCAAGGAAGCGCGTCTTGTGCTCCCTTATTACCGACCAAACATGAACAGGACCGTCCAAAAGGGGGTTTAATTCAGGTTTTGAAAAACTTGGTAAAGGAAAATGAAACTAGCTGGAACAAACCGGCCGGTCTGTATTTATAACCGCCGGTCAGACCGGTTTAAAAAACAGACCGGCCGTTAACATTTAACCCTAAAACTCGCCACGTCATCAAAAAACGGTCAAAAACGTTCAGCGACCATGTGTTAAAATTTTCGCTGCTACTTAAGCGTAAGTAGGAGTCAACAACAAATCAAGTACGATACAAACTTGTTGGATGTCAATTTTAGAAGGGTGCTCATTGTCATACTATTTCAATGAAGCAACCCACTATAATTTCTATCGCCATGACTCTAAGCAGAGCAATGTGGAAGCACACTTGCTCCTGCCTGGACTGGTACGTCACCGTAGATAGAGTTAGGGTTTTCAAGGGAACTGATCAGTCGGTAGGAGCCAATCCAAGCCACATTGCTAGCAGCCACCAATCGAAGAGGACAATGGCGTCCTTTTCTTTCTGTTTATGGCGCTACCGCGATGACTAGTCACAGCTACTAGCTATGGCTACTACTGTTACCACTGCTACTGCTATCGGGCATTGGTCCTGTAGCAGGAGCCTTGTTCTTTGGATTGATTGATTGATCGATCGATCATTTTCGGTCTTTTCGTGTGCTTTTCACGATGACCGATCGACTGATCGATCCGTCGATCCTCCGGCCATGATGCTTCGGCTAGCCACACCGCCATGATGAGTCCACCGCCTGGTGTTTCTCTAGCCCCTCTGCCATGATGAGTCGTCACCAAATGGTGCTTCTCTAGCTCCGCCAACTGGCATCTTGAGCGACACCAACTGGTGCTTCGACTCCACCCCTCTTGAGCGACACCAACTGGTGCTTCACTCCCTTCTTGAGCGACACCAACTGGTGCTTTGCTCCGTTGTCGCCGTGCGTCCCGACTCCAGGGCCATGGTCGATCTTTGCGATTTTCGCGATTTTCATCAACAACAACAGATTGGCCCTTAAGCCTCCGACTGATCGGCCTTAAGTCTTCCCCGGACGGCCGCCTAAGTCTCGTGCTCCTGGCAAGATTGGTGGTCCCCTATGTCTTTGACCGTCACCCCCGCTTTAAAAATCCAGATTCCGACTGACGTCATTCGGTGATGACGTCATCGACGTGACGTGTTTTCATCCGTGCTTTCGAAATTTTAAGTCGATGCATGAAAAGTCCTTGCGCAAAGACGATGCTTGAAAAGGACATGGGGCCTCTAAGTCTTTGACCCTGCCCCTTATGTCTTTGCTCCGACCCTTAAGTCTTCCAACCACCGATGACTTGTTGCGCAACGAGACTTGGGTCCAGGTGGTGGTGACGACCAGTTGCTTGCACTGTTCTCCACCACACACTACACAGCCACTACACACATTGCATTGATATCCGAACAGCATGGTACCTGACCAGGCACCTGTGTCAGAGATTGAGGTTGACTCATTGCAATGGATCCCCAGTTCAAAGGCTACCTGGCTGGTAGCCTTTTGGATGCTTGGATTGGGTTCAAGCCCTGTGCAATCCTACAGCAACAGTACCAGCCTGAGCTTCTGTGGTGGTGGCCCTGGTTCCTCCCCTTCCAGGCTCTGCAGTGCAGCACTATGAGGTCATAATCCCAATCCTGAAAGCTTCCAAACAAGCCTTCCTTGATTTGGACCACTGCATCCTGCCTCTTGTTGCCTCCCAGTTGCCTGCCTCCCAGTTGTTGCCTCCCTTCCAGTTACTTTCCTGTTGCTGTGAGTCCTTGCTTTGTCCAGCCCCAGTTCTGTTTGCCTGGTGCTTTTGCTGTTGGTCCTCCCTTTATCCAGTTCCTGACAGTTGTTGCCGCTCCCCAAAGCATTGTTGCCGACAGTTCATTGAGTCATTGAATTGTCCCACCGACGACACTTCAACACTCCTTTCCAGCACCATCCCCAGCCATGTCTGCTGACCTTCTCGTTCGTGGCAAAGCCCACGAGATCAAGTCCGTCTCCAAGGCTATCTTGGAGTTGACTGATGAAGCCACCAGCCAGTTTGTTACCACCAAGCTCCAGGACCTGTTTGATCCCATGGGATTCAGCGGTCAAAGCCTGGATGCGGCACGGCTCAACCAGTCGTTTTCTCTCCAATCGGTGTGTATCATCGACGGCAAGGTCCAGCCCTTGACTGCACCGACTTTGGCAGAGAAGGACAATGTCGTCTCTGTCATTGCCAGCATCAGTGACACCATCGGTGAGAGTATTCCTGTTCGTGTTCCCCATGATGCATTCACTGGTTTCGTCACCTCTTTGGCCTCCAAGCAGGTCGTTGACGACTTGAAACTGGTCCACTTTGAAGCCAATCCGGCCTCGGAGCTGGCTGCTTCTGCCAGTACTGAGGAGACTCCAGTCGTGGTTGGCATGGAAGCCCTCCAGTTCGAGGGTGCCACTGCCGATGCAAAAACCCAGCCGTGGCTGGTCCTCCTGCCATTGATCTTACCACTCCCGAGGGGAGTTCAGTTCGACTTTGCTGCCACCATCGATTCCGATCCGGCAACGGTGTCGAACTGGCCTTACGCCCAAGAATGGTTCCGTGCCCAGCAATACTTGGCAAAGCGTTGTGACAGTCGTTCTGTCACAGGCGCTGGAACTCTCTTCCAGATGGATTCCGTTGACATCACCTCGTGGACTGACAAGCACACACTCGTGGACCCTAGGTCCATTCAGGCTTCGGCCATCCAGATGACTTTCAACGACCTCGATTCGGCCCTAGTCAAGGCCACTATCCAGTTCAGTTCGAATGCTCTCTGGAAAGAGCTTGGTGCGACGGTGGAGGCCCCAGTCCCTGTGACTCCGCCTGGTCCAGCCCCTGGTGCTCCCGGTGGAATGCCATCGGATCTCCCCGATATGTTCAGGGAATTTGGCACTACCATGACCGAGTCCATGATCAGAGCCAACACCAGCACCAGATCCGGATCGGAACGGCAGCATGCTACCCAGATGCTCCGGACCAAAACCTGTTACCAGATCTTCTTCGGTCATTACGATGATGGTGTCTTTACCCCAGCCGTACTCAAGCCTGACTTCAAGGCAGTTCTGGTTCCCACACAGCCTTCCCCTGCCCAGCAAGCCGTGAGTTCGTGGGTCGAGTCTCTCATTACAGAGTCTCGCCAGAGCGTGAACTACCGCGACCGAAGTGTATTTTGGAGTTCCCAGGTGATCAACTCCGGTTTTACGAAGGCTCTCCGTGGCTTCAACTGGCTCAGTCTCTCTTTGGTCAAGGGCGGCAGTGCAGCCAAGAAACAGCTTTCGTTGGTCACGTTTCTCCGTCCCAACCAACAGGCTCCTGAGTTTGAGTTGGTCAAAGACGAGCAGACGTCCTTGGCTTCCTCTTCCTCCGTTGTTGTGGCAGACTCGTTTGACAAGGACATTTCGGCCTTAGGTGATGGGATTTTGTTCTGTAAAGGTCGTTGTCTTCTCTTGAATGATGTGCTGGTTGCTATTCGCAACCTTCGTTGCCTTGCCAGCGGTATCGTCCAGAACTTTGACAAGACGTTGCTCGGCAAGTGCCTCCTCCAGATGGACTCCTTGCTGGAGAGTGATGGTGCCCGTGAGTGCAATGATAGCTTTGCAGGGTTCCCTCAGCCAGTGGTGCATCTCCTATTGGAGGTTCAGAAGATCCTTTCTAACCTGGTGAAAGTGGCAAACAACACCACGGTGATTCGCACGGTTCAGGCCGGCAACAGCAATTTCTCCCCACACATTTTCGAAGGGGTTATCGATGCTTTGAATGCGGCAGAGAAGATGGCGGGGCCTTCCAGAATGCCCCTGCACCTCCAACGGATCAGATGACGGTCTTGGAGGCCCCCTTTGATCTGATGGGTATCCGCAAGCCCGCTGAGTTTCAGCCCAAGCGGCGTTTGGACGAATCTCATGGTTCTCAGTCCTTCCGCTCTCAGCTTGGTATGCCCGAGCCTTTCAAGCGAGTTCGGTTAAATCCCACTCCTGCTCCCGCCCAGCCATCTCGATCCAATCCTGCTACCAAGGCCCCATCGGCTAACCGTGGCAAGACTGGACTCGGGCTGCTCCAGTACAAAGGTGGTCTCCCCAAATTCCCCATGTCGTTGCCTGCCATCGAGGACCCAACTACGAAGCGATTAGAGATGGCTTGTCCCAGTTTCTACTTCCGGGGGTTCTCCTGTGAAAATCCCAAGTGTCATATGATCCACTTTGGCAGTTGGCGGGACTTCTCCCCCCAGAGCAAGAAGGCTTTCACTGATTGCGTCGGTAAATTCAAATCGACTATCTCCTTTGCTCCGAATCAGGGTCCACTTGGTATGCGCTGAGGCTCTTGCCATGCCCTGTCTTCGTCTGAATAACCCATTTACTAATCTACGCTTTTCAGATTTGATTACCATTCCTTCTAGTTTTCGTAGGAAACCGGAATTGCTCCCTCCTCTAGCAGCTCGACTTGGCTGCGCCCCGCCCCAGGTTCATTCTGTGCCACTGTTCCAGCGTCTCGACAAGTTCACTGGCGCTTTACCAACGATTCCTGAGACTCCCAAGTCACCTCCGGTGCCCATGACCGTGGACGAGCTTGGAGATGGTCCTGATGGTGTAGACGGCATTGATCTTCCTGATGAACGAGCTTTCCCAAAGCCTCGCAAGCCTTCGGATAAGGATCCTCGTCGGCATCCAAGTCCACGGCATCCTACTCTCACGCAGTTCTACCGGAAGAAGGAGCTTAATCACTTCGCTGCCACCAAGTGCAGTGCACGGGTTCAGGCTATGGTCGACGAACCTAACGGTAAGGAGAATATCAATCAGTCGTTTCGTACCGTTCCAACTCGGCGCCATGTCTTGCTCCCACTGTGGAAATCGGGTTTTATGACGCGAGAGAAGTGGGAAACGATGGCAGCCACGGATGACGATGTCAAACTTTTCCTCGAACTGATGGATGAATTCGGTGACGTGGATTTCAACGACCTTCGGGGTTATCCTTCCGACTGGGAGAACATGACAGAAGTGGACCCCCATCGCGTCCGAATGGCCACCGCTGCTCTGCTGTTCTTCGATGGTGACGCTGCTGCTCTTGTCCGTTGGGTGGGAGGTCCGCATGTGAATGCTCATCGCAATGTTCCAGAGATGCTTCGCTACCTGAAAGGGAAGATCCCCGATGACATCTACGAAGACTGTGAGCGAATCTTTATCCAGGGCATTCCACGGCACTGCAATGCCGATTCCACGGAGGAAAACTTCCAGCAGTTTTTCCAGTACGGGAATCACAAGAGCTGCGAAACTGCACCCGAGAAGTCTTACAAGACTCTGGTGAAGGATGTCAAAAAGGGTTACGTCTTACCTTTCGATAAGCGTGTCATTCCCTTCGTCTTGAACTGTCACGTTACCCCCCAAGGCATGGTGGACCTGGACAACAAGTACAAGAAACCGAGAGTGATCTTTGACAGTTCTTTCCGTCCCACCCATTCTTCCGTTTCTATCAACGACTGGACGGACTCTTCGTACGAAAACCCAGTTGTCTGTGTGGCTATCGAACAAGAGTTTATGAAATGGCTGTGGAATGCGCGGATTGACGCCGAGTTTGAGGAAATTTACCTTGGCGACGATGACGTCAGTGGTGCCTTCCGTTGGTTGAAATATCATCCCAATTTGGTTGCCATGCATACGAGTGTCCAGTGTGGTTTCGGCGTGTTCAATACCGGTGGCACTTTCGGAGACAATACAACTCCTTCCAACTGGGACCGGATTGCCCTTGCTCGTGCCTGGCTTGCTCGATGGCTGTGGCTCAATGAGCCCAATGTGGTTGAAATGGCGCGCCAATATTTACCAACGATCCAGTTCACCCCAGAACCGACGGAGGCTGAAATTGCCAGCTTTTCTAAAGCCACCCGCGATAGTCAGCATCAAGGCATCCATGACAGCGATGGTAATCGTCTCCCGCCACCTTTCCTTCATCATGTTGATGATTGTGCTAAAGCTGATGTGAGGGCTACTATGGAGCGAACGATTGCATGCAGCGTCGTTAGCCTTTACAAGATTCTCGGTGAGCCCTCTCCTGACATCAGCAACCCATTGAGTTTGGAGAAGTTGGATCCCCTCCATGGCCATTTGCGCCAGATTGTTGGCCGCCATTGGGACACCCGGCGATTGTCTATCTCCATGTTGGAGCACAAGAAAACTGAGCTCATTTCCCGCCTCGAGGATTGGCTCCAGAAGGATCGGTTCTCATTGCTCGAGGGTGCTGAGCTCCTAGGCGTCTTGGAAAACCACACACGCTATGTGGTGTGGGCACGCCCTTGGTTCTTTGCCCTCCAGAATCGGATGCGTACCTTGTTGCAGCGCCTCTATTTCACCCAGCGCAAAACCTGGGAACGAATTGGCAAGCAGAAGGCAGCCGACTTGCATGCAGAGCTACCTGAGGCTCTCTGGAAACGTGTCAAAAACATCTTGGCACGGGAGAAAGCCCTCCTGATTTGGCGCAACAAAGGAACCCAGACGGTCGATTCGTCCCTTCGCAGTTCCTTGTCCAACATTCTCCATTACTTGAAGTCGGATCCTATTCCGTTTGAGGCCAAGATCGGAACCATCATTCCCAGAGACCCCCACGCTATCGCCTGGGGCGATGCCAGTGAATATGGCGCTGGTGGTTACAGCCCCCAACTCAAGTTCTGGTTTGACATTGTTTGGAGTGACCGTGTTCGTCGATGCCTGAAGCTGGACCCCTCTTCGCCCAACTTCATCCACATCAATCAGTTGGAGTTCTTGACGATCATTCTGGAACTGGCTGGCTCCATCGTTGCCCTCCGTTCCCTCTCTCCCGAGGAGAAAGCAGAACTTTTCCCTTACGGGGAGCCCGAAATCCCAGTGGTGTTGTCTTGGTCCGACAACACGTCCTCTGTTTCTTGGGCGAATCGTGCCACCACCAAGTCCCCCCAGGGTCAGCGTTTGCTTGGCGTTTACTGTGAATTGTTGCGAACCTCTGGCATCAGTATCACTGCTCAGCATATTGCCGGTGTTGAAAATATTCTGGCCGATTTTATCTCACGTCCCACCCATTTTGACCTCTCTCATCGTGAACGGGCTGAGCAGCTGTACCAGAAGTTCAGCTTCATGCGAAACTGGAATTCTTTCCGCCCAAGTCCCGCCTTGCTACAGCTCCTCTCTTGGAGTCTATTCTCCAGATCTCCAATGGAGGTACCAAGTCTTCCAAGCGAGCTGGGACAGCTCGTTCCCACCAATTGCATTTCCTCGGGTTCGCTTATGATTTAGACTGGACCACTCCAGTCCCGATCTCCCCTCCAATTTTGGAGATCAAAGATGCCGATCCCGAAGCCATCCAGCTGGCTTTGTGTATGTATGCCGAGCATCTCTGGTCAGACGGCAGTTTGTATTGTCGGCGCATCAAGGGGAGTACTATCAAAACCTATATCCGTAATGCAGCTGCCCTTCTCCTGAAGGCATCCCAGACTTTTTGCGACTACCGCAAAGATTCTCATTTCTCGGAATCCATGGGCCATCATCTGAAATCGATTTACGATAATATCGACAAGTATGAGAAGGCCATCCAGCGGCGCGAAGCTTTCACGCTCCCAATGTTGTACGATGCTATTGCGCGAGCCAAGGTAGCTCCTTGGTCTGACCATATTGACGAAGTCTTGGCCGATTGGTATGTTGTTGCTCTTCGCGCTGGACTCCGAAAGGTTGAGTGGGCTCAGCCCGAATCGACCCACATTGACCCTGATTTTCCCTATCGGAACATCTATGGTGATCCTTACGCTTTCTGCTTGGGTGATGTCCAAGTAAAGCTTTACAACGGCACAATCCTGGAAGGTGCCGCTATTCTTGGCACTGCGGACAACCCCATTGATGTGTCAATGGTGGCTGAACTTTGGCTTTGCTTCCGCCAGCAGGGCAGAAGAATGGAGAGAATGGGCAGTGGCGACTCTTTGTCGCTTTATTCGGGTACCCCCACCTCTGTATGGTCTGTGCCATGTTTCGAATCCTGCGGCGCTTTATCCGTCTTCGAAGCCTTGAGGATGTAAAAACCCCTTTGTCGGTGTTTGTCTACAATCGATATGGCCATGTCCATTCAGTTCATCCCCAGGCTATCCTCAAGTCTATGCGTGCCATTGCTGCATCTCAGTTTGGATTTTCCCCGAGCAAAGATAAGACGAAACTTCGTCGTTGGAGTTCCCACTCTCTCCGAGTGGGCGCTTGCGTGCTTCTCTTCGAAGCCGGTTACAACGAGGTCCAAATCCAATGGCTCTTGCGCTGGAAATCCAACGCCTTTATGGACTACTTGCGAAATACTCTGGGCCTGGCTCGTCGCCACGCCGATATTCTGCGCCAGAAGACATTTGGTCCTGGCGACTCTATGCCTGACCTTATGTCGTTCGCTGGCAATCATCCCCCCACTGCTATTGCAGTGGTCTAAACAAATAGCTCTGCAATATTCCCTTTTCGTGTGCAAAGCTTTGCCTCCGTGGGTTTTCCCCTCTAGAGTAGGTGGTTTTCTCCCACTCCAGCCGTCCACTGACTCAGTTGACATGGGGCTTCCTGCACTACGCTAAAAGCTAGTGTAAAGATCTTTCGAGTGTTTTGAGTTTGAGAGAATGAAAGTTATGAGAGAGATTAGAAAGCTATGAAAACTAATCAACGAGAGAGATCATCATCAAGGGATCGTAGATCTGGCTTCCCGCGGGAGACTATAAAGTGTGATAGAGTAGGTTGCGGTAGTAATCCTACGTCTCTCCACGATCCTAAAACGGAACGCGTGGAAGGTTTGTCTAGCCTGGATCTAGCAGCGTGGAAGTACTCCACGCTGGCTAAATATCTAGAGCGATGTTTCATCATCAACCTAGTATGACTAGCGCGGTCATTGAGAACCCTGTCTCAAATGACTATTCACGAGAGACTCAGTCATGAGTCGAACTCAAACCCTATCTAGGATCGAGTCGCGAATAAGGCTAAGAGCCGTGTATTGCATTCCGACAGCTGTGTCTACGACACGCTGCTTCGTCAGCTGGACATGGGCTACTCAGTTCAATGTCGGTTTCCAACGGTTTTGGCTAGGTGCACCAGATTGCACCTTTCCAACGGTTTTGGATCCCAACGGTTTTGGATTGGTGCACTAGATAGCACCGTTTCCCAAACTCTAGCACTATCGTTTCGACACTGCACACACAGGTGTATTTAGTCGTCCCTAAATAGTCCTAGTGAACTGCCCATGTCATCCGGAGTGCGGACGGCTGAGGCGGTGGCTGGGAGTCGAGGAAGACTCCTATCGCCATGACTCTAAGCAGAGCAATGTGGAAGCACACTTGCTCCTGCCTGGACTGGTACGTCACCGTAGATAGAGTTAGGGTTATTTGGAGAACAGTCGCAGCAGGAGCCAATCCAAGCCACACATTGCTAGTAGCCACCAATCGAAGAGGACAATGGCGTCCTTTTCTTTTTAAGGGGCTACTCAGTTCAATGTCGGTTTCCAACGGTTTTGGCTAGGTGCACCAGATTGCACCTTTCCAACGGTTTTGGATCCCAACGGTTTTGGATTGGTGCACTAGATAGCACCGTTTCCCAAACTCTAGCACTATCGTTTCGACACTGCACACACAGGTGTATTTAGTCGTCCCTAAATAGTCCTAGTGAACTGCCCATGTCATCCGGAGTGCGGACGGCTGAGGCGGTGGCTGGGAGTCAAGGAAGACTCACCTAGTCTGTCAGAAACAACACCTCACAGTTGAGCAGAGTCCTCTGTCGAGTCCACCACCGCAGTCTCCTCCAAAGACATAAATTATTTGTTAGCAACAGCAGTACTGTATCAATGGTATCCACTCTACGAAACATCGACAAGTCGAAAGCCTTGAAAGAAGGATGCAATGCCCCTCCTGGCAGCCAAAAAGACGAAATCGAGAAATTTGCTGCCTACGGCATCACTCCGCCGCGAAAGAATGCAAAGAACTGGTGTTCGTTCGATGAAACTGTGAAGAAAATAGTGAAGGACTTCCCGAAAGAGTGGAAGAATGGAGCATTTGAGGAGAAGAGAATCCTTCTGTTCCTGTACAGCCGAGGCTTCTTTCCAAAAACAAATCGTCAGCATCGAAAAGGGGACGTCCAGGAGATGCTACGACGGAAGCTTGGGACTCGAACACGCATGCTGCAAGTCCTCGATGCCGATGGAGACAAGGATCTGTCGTCGCGGGAAGATAAGGAAGCGCACTTTGTCAGCACTTGCTTGTCGGTTCATCGATACTTTCAGCAAAAGGGCAGCAACGGATTCAAGAAAGACATGTCAACGGTGACAATTTTTCTACGTGAACAAAAACAGTACAATTCTTGCTTCCTTCAAGCGCCCTGCGTGGCAATGTCCTACATGATTCAGTGCATTAGTTGAAAGGTTGTGCCACCTGTGGATGGTTCCAAACTCATCCGCCACAATTTTTTTGATCAGAAACTCCTAAATTGCATTGCCCAAGACAACGGTGGTGATTCCGTGGCAGCGCTCCAGAACCTCGAACGTCTTTTCTTCGATTACGACTTTGACGACCGAAATCGAATTCCTGACTCAATAAGAACTCAGAGGTTGTCCCAAGCGACATTCTTGTCTTCCGTCGTGGATGTCATCCAAAAAACACCCATTCTCGTGAGCAAGTTTTGCGTGCCCAAGGATTTCTTTTGTAAGGGTTTCAAGAAGAACCTGCCGGGATATGCGAGGTTCATGGAATGGAACCAACCAGCTGAGTTTGTTTCTTTGGAGGAAATCACTGATCCTGAACTTGAGAAGTCCATGGAAGAACGTTGGAGGGCCGACTGCAATACCCCCAAGAAAGCAACCTTCTGGCCTGACGATTTCACTGCCATGCCTGCGTCCATGTCCATGGATGGTCTCGAGGGCAAAGGAGGTGAAGGTCTGGTTGATACTTCATCCAACAACGACGACACCGAAGAAGAGGATTCGTCGGGATCTGAAGATTGCAGCGACGACGAGCAGTCCCAGGGTTCGGACGAAGGTGATGATGCATTGCACGCCATGGTAATGCTCGGGACACGTCTTGTGGGCGGGAAGAGGTACTGGTTGATTCAAAACTCGTGGGCCGACGGAGGCATGCAACTGCTAGAGATGAGCACGGAGTACCTTCAAGAGTCCGGCGCTGTTCTAAACTTCTTTGACGAAATTGGCCGCCATTTGAAAACGAAGGAGTCGCTGAGTGTTCCGGTCCAGCTTTGCCCATCACCCATCGCCGAAAGCAGCCAGCTTGAGCGCTCTGATTGTGGAAACTGGGGAGAAAGCCTTCTCTTTGAGGTCGGAGGAAAACGCGGAAGTGCTGCAGAACGGAACGCGAGCACCATCAACATGTAGTATTCTTATCGGGTGGGGTGTTGCATCCAGGCTGGACCGAATGCAAAAAGAAACGAAGAAAGTAGGGAAGAGAAAGAGAGAGAAAGGGTTGCTATAGATTGTAACCTTGACATCATTGTGTAGTCGATCTATTTCCAGACTTAAGTTAGCTTGTTGACAAAAGTAGATTGACAGGTGCATCTTTGCTTCTTTTTTTTTAAGTTATGAATTATGAGATATGCCTCTGAGCGAGAGGACTTGCATTATATATCTTGCCGCAGATACATGTAACTGTCGGCACCTTTATTCATCTGCTCCGGTACTGTTAGCACCACAGCTAATACAGCGTACTCTGGAGTAATACACAATCATGAATGAGCAACATACGGTATCTTTACAACAATGCAATGAGGGGAGGGACAGTGACAAGAGCCACACCCGCAGTTATAGCCATGCCCACTGCCAATCCATGCTTGGCATCTTGCCACATTTTCATTCGCTTGACATCCTTGGCTCTCTTTTTGAAGACGACTGCCATTTCTTGCAACCGGGTGGCTTCCTCATTCAAATCCTCAATCTTTTCATCCCGCTCGAGCAACAGTTCAATATTCTTGTGCATCTTTTCCCTGGCCACTTCGACGTGTTTTTGAATTTCGGAACACTTGACCAAGTGCGAGACTTGCATCATGTAATGTCGCAACATGGGTCCAAAGACATCTTGACACGCCAATGTGGGTCCATACAGCCATTCAAAGTCATTGGCTCGATGGTGTTCCGTGTCATCTACCAATTTGGTCAGAAACGTCTGTACGACCTCTTTGGATATATTGTTGGGATCGTAGACCGATGCAAAGACCCAGACAATGTATTCGCCATTGTTGTCCTTTTCGTAGACATGAAACTTGGCTCCCTTGAGACGAGGCGGTTTCCAATGACTTTTTGATTTTTTGGCGAGTGGCCATTGCATTGCAAACGGATTTCCTCCTCCTCGCAAATGGCTGCGGCGCTGTTGCGTGTGAAACTCCCATCCTGGCGTGGGTTCTCGGTTCAAGAGTTCCTTGGCCGTAATACTGACAGCTCCTTCGTATCCTTCGTCGCCGGCTTCGACGAGAATGGTATCATTGCGAGAGATACTCGACCAAAGAACAAAAGGGAGTCCTCGATCAGAATTGGCCAGCATTTTCTTGTTGTTGTTGTGATTCTTCCGATTATGGTGGTACCACTCTTGTATCAATAAGGACGGTGTGTTCCTTTGTTGCAGTTTGCGTTGCAAGTCGAGGGCTTTTTGTTTTTGTGAGAACATTTTCATCACCATCATGTGGTTGTTCCCACGGATAATCCTCGCCTTCACGGAAGGAAAGTGACAGTGAACGGTAGCGGTAGACTACCGGTACTCAACGGAGTAACGGTACCAGATCTAAAACCGCCTTCAGTCGTGTTGGCATGCAAAATCGGCTCGATCTGGTCGGACCGATGACCGTTAGAAGACTGCCACACTGCCACCGCCAAAATCAACGTCATCTTCAACACCGAAAAGGGAGTGGAATGGAATGGAAGAGAGGAGAGGGGTGACTGGGGCGTAGCAATGGAAGGGAGCAAGATCGACGCATCGAAAGACGAGACAGAGACAGGAAATGGCTATGGCAATAGGAAGACTGCTCCGATGTCGAAATGGTGATTGCTTGACCAGACCAATCACTTGCCGAAGCAGAATACGAGCCTTGTCCAACCAAGCCAAGGAAGATGATGAAGAGGTGGTGGATAAGATTGCCATTATTGGCGGCGGTCCCTCTGGGTTGCTACTGTCCAATCTGCTCTCCTTGTATCAAGTGCCTTCCATCTTGGTCGATTCTCAATCGGTAGAAGAACGATGTCGACATCCTCAAGCCCACTTTTTGAATACGCGAACCATGGAGATTTTGCGTCATCAACTTCCCCGCATTTTTGCTCAAGTCCAACACGAAATGACACCCGTCCGTCAATGGCAACACTTTCAATTTGGATACAACATGTTGCCACAAACAGCACTGGCAAGAGTGCTTCATCCAGTCGATAGACCACTGCAGGCAGGCGTAGATGCCAATGGCCAGTTACAGGAGGTGGACACTACATCACCAACAACCAATAATAATTCTACCCGACCACTCAGTCCTTGTACCGTCGGGCATTTGGCACAGCACACCTTTTGCAAAATACTCTACCAAGCAGCGCAAGAGCAGGCATTACCAGATACCCAATTACTCTACAATACACGTGTCGCCGATATCCAAAACCATCCAGATGGATTCTTTCAAATTGAAACCACAAACACTACTACAACCCAGCACAAGCAAAATTTAAGGATTCCATCCAAAGTTTGCGTGGCAGCCGATGGAGCTCATTCGTTTTGTCGCCATCATTGGCAGATTCCACAAGTTGGACAAGTGGGAATACAGCACTTGCTCAATATACACGTCAAAACCAACCCCGTTTGGGCACGCCAATATTTACACGCCAATGATTCCAATTTTGCCATGCTCTACTCTGTCTTTCATCCCGAAATCGTCGCCATGATTGTCTGTCACAGCGTCGGAGAATATGTCTTTCAAGTACCCATATTTCCGCCCTATCAACAGCTCGAATTGGATTATCCACCGGAACGGATCCAACGCATGGTGTACCATGCCATGGGGATCATGGACGACAACACGCAACAGCAAGAAGAGGCGCAAATCGAGATTGCGTCTCTCAATGCGTGGACCATGAGTTCCTTGATTGCCGATGAATACTATTACGTCAACAACAATGGTGGTGGTGGTGTGGGGTTCCTGGTGGGAGATGCAGCTCATGTCTTTCCACCGGCTGGGGGGTTGGGGATGAACACGGGAATGCAGGATGTCTTTTCCTTGGCGTGGAAACTAGCCTGGGCACATCACAATCCACACAAGACGCGTGACGTGTTGGCAGAGATTGGGCAATCCTATCAAGCCGAACGTCGTCCCGTGGCACAAGCCAATGCCGCCTTGTCGGTACGCAACTACAATAGACTACTGGAAGTCACCAAGGCGTGTTACTTGTCAGAGCAACATCCAGCCTTGCTCATCAAAGGACTGGAAGTTTCCATGATGCCATTGGAGGCACAACGACAAGTCTTTCAACGGCTCTTTGATACTGCGACATGGACGCTGTCGTCGTTGGGAGACTTGAATCATCCCTACACACAGCATTTGAGACGCAACATTCGACGGATATTGGCGCAAGGTGGAGGGTTGCCACTCTTGTTTCCGAGGGCGGAATTGGGGTTTGGATACGATTCATCCAACAGGGACAGGTCCAGTGGGCAACCAAAGGAGAGCGACACTATGGGATTCACACCGCAAATTCAAGTGGGCCACTTGTTTCCTCATGTCGAGGCAGCAGTCATGACGGTCAATGCAATGCAAACTTTTCCACATTTAAAGCTACTGGACAATGATCAGTCAAATGCCGTAATCAGCGTGTCGGATCTTCCTGCACAGCTATCGCGTGATTCCAAGCCTTGCATGGTGTGGCTTTGGTTGTCGTCTACTCACGCTGACGTTGCAGAGCGGTCCGTCATTTTGGAGGCCACGTGCAACGTTTCCCAATCCTTAGGAATGGCGGTGGAAGCAGTCCAAGTCATGCCGGCCGCTTCAGCAGAAACTGACGCTTCCATCAGTCAACTACCAAAGGACGATGGACAGTTCCTGGTGCTGCAAGAAATACCGGATAAACGAGAGGGAAGTTTGCTGGATCAGTACAAAGACACAATGTGGTTGATTCGACCCGATGGCCATGTGGCAGGAGTAGTGCACAGGCAGGATGCTGTTCCACATGAGGGCGCAGAGTTGAGCAAAGTCATGCTCAACGCTGCCAATGAACTAGGAGTGGCACGCAGTGGTTTGTTTGGTTCGAGGGGCAGCAAAAACTGACGGTAGCTATCAACTCGAGCAAGCGTAACGACAAGATCGAATGGCCACAAAGTAGAAAGTGTATAGTGCAATCACAATTTAAAAAAATAGATGACGGGCAATGTTTCTGGTCAGGATACAAGCAAGCATGTTGCAGCCCAGACAACTCTCTAAGCTGATTGAACCTTCCTGTCGTTGTCTGCATTGTCATCGCTTTCAGCGTCACTCCTGTCTGCGTGATCTTCTGAAAGAATAAAATAGAACTCCTCAAGTTCCATAGGCCGAAGGTAATCCTCATCACCATCTTCATACCATACCCTGTATCTTGAACCATCAAAAGACATGATTTCACCCTGGTATGCACGACCTCCAGGGAAAAGCTACATAAAGTTGGCTGGGCATTAGCAACCAGAGTCAGGCAGTTGGGTTAACACAGGGTTCCACACTCACCTTGTAAAACCGTGCCCCCATGGGATAGTAAGGACCCGCATCTCCACTTTTTTGCCGAAAAGTCGATTGAATACCAGTGGATGCCTGTGGCAGATTCGGGTGCTTGCCATCAGTACTTTGCAAATTATGGTTATGGTCCCAAAATCCAATTGATTCCAGTTGAGCTCTCCTATGTGGCGGCAAAGTTCCATTCCTTTCCATCCTGCACTGCTCCCGGGCCCAACGTTTGAGTGGATTGTAGCCGCCCGCTTTCTTTGGAGGGAAACGGCCGTGCTGTTCTTTGTAAGCCACCAACTTTCGTAGGTTTTCCTCCCATCGATCTTCAAGGTTCTTAAGAGGACTCAAACTTTCCTCTTCAGTGCTATATTGGTCGTCATGGCCACAATTTCTAATCCGAGGACGGCAGCTTTCCCCCAGCTCAACCCCAGCGGAGAGAAGTCGCTCGACACGATCAGTGGCAAGCTCGCCATTGAGAGCCTTCTGTTTCTGATCCCATAACCAGTACCCAAGACCTGTGTTGTCATAGCCATGAGGAATTTCAAGATGACCGTGTACTTTCTTGAAATGAGTAACTCCCTCAAGCCGCTGGTCCCATGAAACCCAAGATGCATCCCAAACGAATCCTAGCTTGTCAAGAAGCTTTTTCCGTGTTGGGGGGAGTCGTTGTTTAGTGAACATTTTCCTTTGGTAAGAAACCCATTTTCCAAGTTCTGGGTCTTCCTTGTACTGGTAGGGTACAGCACTGTGTCCATGGTCATTCCTGAAGTTAACCAGGCGATCGTACCTTTCGTACCAAGCCTGCTGAAGTGGATTCCAAACGAATCCTAGCTTGTCAAGAAGCCTTTTTCGTTCAGGAAGCAGTTGTTGTCTATTGAAAGCACTCCTTTGGTGATGGACCCATTGTCCAAGTTCTGTGTAGCCCTTGCTTCTAGGCACAACAGCATGTCCGTTTTCATTCCTGAACTTGACCAGCTCGTTGTATTTCTGATACCAAGCTTGCTCATTACTGCTGTCACCTCTGTAATTCACAGGCGTGAACAGGTTGTTTCTCTTCTTCACCTTGTTTACTTTGATTGCAGCTTGACTCTTTCTGCCTGATCCAATTACTGAGTATTCGAAGCCAATGGTATCTAACATGGATCTTTTCCACTGAGGGTAAGTACTCCCCTTTGATTGACTTCGCTGATTCATCACCCAGTTACCTAGCTTTGACCAAGGCTTCATTGGTTCACGCGGAGAATCCTGAGGTACTCTTGTGTGGCCAAAAATTGATTTGAATACTTTGAGCCGCTCGAAATTGGCTCTCCATTCTTTCCTATTCTTCCGTTGTTGTGTTGTGAAATCAAACCCAAGATTTGTCAGTCTGGACTTTTGATTGGAGGCCAAAGAGCCTTGATGACTACGCTGATAGTAGACCCAGTTTCCTAGGGCAGGGTCCTGCTTGTATTTGGCTGGAACGTCACAGTCGCCATTTTCCGCTTGGTATCGAGCCAAAGCCTGGAAGGATTCTTCCCATGATCGTCGTTGGATCTTCTTGTGCTCGTTTTGCGATGCAACACCTTTGCTTTTTGGGTCCGCCATTTTCCTGAATTATTGCCTTCAGCTTCTTTGGAACGGTCCAATCTTTGGCGAAGGTGGTCTCATAGAATTATCCTCGCTCTTCCTTTCATGCCGGTACTGTACGGTACCATGGTACCGGTTCCAGTTTCCGTTCGAGACGAGTTGGATACGGGATCGGGACTAAGCTAGTGTCTTGGATCACGATTGCCATGACCGTTTCCAGTTTTTGCAGCCAACAGCCCCCCCCCCAAGATGACGACGATGAAAGCCTTGCGAAATATCATAGGGTTGGATGGCTCTAGTAGCTCTTGAGCGGGAGGCAGGGATGATACAGTACGGTAATAATCACAGGCGAGAAACTAAACGTTGGTTGGTTAACTGTTATCTTGCCACCGGTTTTGTAGGATGCGGAAACAGAGCCCACCATTGCCTTGCCGCCACCTAGCTGACCGGCTACTGATAGGTAGTAGCAATAATGAATGAGGGATAACCTGCCTTGGTGGCCACACAAGGGGGGAAGTAGTTGAGTGTGACAATGATCTACTCTAATAGTAATGTTACTAGTTGGAAGGAATTTCAAAAAGTGTCTCTAAAAGTGGAACTGATGGCCCAGAGGAGCTGGTTTGTTCTTGGCGGGGGAATGGTGTAGCAATCGTCTATCTTCTTCGGTCTCATCGCGACCTGGTTGAAAGCCGTGATGGCGGGCCAGGTAAATGTAGAGATACGTGGCAGCACGATCCCAGTGCTGAGCACCCACCAATCCGTGCAATCGCTCCGCCATGGAGTCGTTGAGAGGAGTAAAGTGAGCATCGCCCATTTGATTGCGGCGACAACACTCGGCTACCAACGCCTTGGCTTGGATGCTGAGCTTGTACGTCTTGGTTCCGCCGCTGTTCAGGTACATCAAGAGAATGGCCACAAAGGCGGCAAATCGATCTTTGGGAGTCTGGCAAGTGCGTTTGCGCAGTGGCAAGGGCAAGTCTTGCAATGTGCGGGGTCGTCGTCGAGACCTCAGTCGCTCGTGATCCTCAAAGGCAGCGTATGCCAGGGGAGCCTCGTTCTTGGTGGTTGTGGGAGGAGTAATCATGGCGGGGGCGGATGATGGAGTCATCATCATCTTCATGGGCGGAGGAACCTTGAAAGCCTCCAATTCACAACTGGACATCCCACAGTCATCGCTGTAGGGGAGATTGGACGGAGAGGCATAGCCGCTCATGGGGGTGTTGTTTGATGTCATGCACATTGTGGCGGTCGATCTGTACAAGTAAGAACTAAAGACCAATAACTCAAACCAAACTGCAGCAACTCCGGATTATGAAAGCACAATAGCCAAATACCGAGTGCCGAGAATTCTCTTTTGAGCTCTCGGTCTTCGCGTTGCAGCACCAAACTGGTTGATATATATATTGTTGGCTTGCTGTTGGTCGTTACAATGCGAAGTTTGAGTGCACTGAAAGTGATGGTTGTGATGGTTCAACTCGAACACAGCACGCACTCCCTGTGTTTGTTCGCATTTCAGCGTCCAATGGCAAGAGCTCTGAGGAAGAAAAAGAAATGTCGCAGGACTCCAATGTCCCCAGTGCCCTCCAACGTCTTCGCATCAAGTGTTCGTGTTTCTCTTACCGTCTAAATGAAATAATTGGGGGTAATATTGGGGAATAAGAAGCCGAAGGAATTAACAATTAAGTAGCTTTACATAACACAGAGGGGTTAAACAAAAAAACCTTGAATCAAACACTTATCAATCTAACGGTAACAAAAAAGCCTTTCAAGCTTTCGTTTTCATCATCAAACTACGTCAGCATCTCGTCAGAATGATCTTACTTAAAGGCTTTCTGATCACGCATGTCGCATTTTCGTGTTCCTTTCCGTCCGAAGAAGGATCTTCAAACGTCCTTGGTGAAAAGCTTGGATCGCAGTGGACACTGAAAAACCAGCCAAGAACAAACAGGGCAAGGATCAAGCTGCGAGCAGAGAACTCCCCTTTATCCAGTAATTTCATTGTTGATGGATGATCGAACTGCCTCTTATTTGACCGGGTTCTGTTAATACAGCTAAGGACTCGAGGAAACCTTCCACTTATAGATCTTGGCCATGCGGGATCAACTGCCCTTATAACTAAGTGCCAGAGACTCGGTAGTCTCAATGCGAATTCTAGGAAACCAATTAATTAAAGGACTCCTGTATACTGTACTGTGATTACATCATCCGATTAGCTTCCGATCAAAAAGGCCTTGCGACAGAAATCAAAAACATGGTGTAATACCAGTACTGTTGGTTTACATGTATTCAATCCTCCCTGCAAGGCTGCGTGAAAGCTCCGGTACGGTAGCGTGCCTGAAGGTTGGTCCCAAGGCAACTCCACGCATGCATGTATCTGCTGGTGAAAATCTTCTGTTCACGTAGACCATTACGACTGTACTCAGTGGGCCGTGCAAGTCACATGTCTGGGCTGCTCCGGGAGCAAATGAAGTTGGCTTTAGATGGAGGTGCCGTGGGAGTACTCTACGTACCGGTACCGGTACTGCTACCGTACACGTAAGCTACGGCACCGGTACTTGTCCTTCAGAACTCGCGCACAGAAGCCAGTCGCATCAACCTACCGTACTCGAAAGTAACTAGTCACATCATAGACTCACGGTGCCGTTTCTTTCCCCCTTTTAAGCAACTCTGTGATGTCCCCCAATGCTTTCTGCATGGCGTCATGCCGCTGATCCATTTTCATCTCCAGCTGCTCATTTCGAAGCTGGAGCTCTGCCAGCTGGTACTCGATGTTTGTTGCCGCCCGTCGTTTGTTGGGTCTGTCGTCTAAACCACCACCACGCAAGAGACCAAAACCTGGCCCCAGTCTTGACAGACGAGCATCGAGATTGGAACTGAAGCTTTCATTATTGGCACTGTAGCTAGGATCCTCGTCATTATTTCTGCTGACACTTTCGCGGTTCTTCTTGTCACCATCGTCCAGCCTACCCTTCATGTCGGTTGTACTTTGATCAGTGGATGCAGCTGCAGCTGCCAAGGTAATTCTTCGTCTGTGCTCCTTCTCCTTGTGATTGATCCAGAATTTATCAAAAACTGCCACAACGATGGCTACACCAGTCAACATGAGGTGCAAAATGAATAGTCCTGCCATTTCTTGAATGCTGTTCCTTGGTGATGTTGTCCCTGCTGATTGTTTGTGTAGTGCACTGCAATCTTGGTCACTGGTGCGTGTCAAGTGTTCCTTCCACAGTGCGTTGATAGTCCCATCACCCTCCATCTCGATCAAATGCAAATTCAAAACATCAGCAATCAGACTTGTACAATGCTTTCCTGAATCTGCCTTGGTGGCAAAGCCTGCCCTGGCCACGTGAATTGTACGTCCAACCCATGTGAGTCGGCAGTCAGCATTGGTGACTTGTTCCTTCTCATATTGTATGAAACTAGCTCGTGTTGTGACAACCAAAGCACATTCTCCCTTGTTCAAGGCATTGTAGAGATCAATCTCATCATGTTTGTGAATGAGAATGGCTTTGGGAAACGTTTGCTCCACGTAAATTGCGGGAGCTGTTGTCGCGAGCACACAAAGGGGCATGTGAAGGCGAATGGCATCATCAATACTTGCAACAGGCACATTAGGTGTATTCTGGATGACAAAGAAACTGGCCAAATTTGCAGTGTAGGCAGAACTGATCAGCAGTGCCCAAAGTGCCATGGACGCCGCAAAAATTCTGGAGGCTGGGGTGCGAGGTGCGAATTGAAAATGCTGTGAGAATAGCAGCGCACTCAGAAAGATATCATTTCCCAAGGTTTCATGCTTTCTCTCATCCTGGTGTCTTTTCGGGCACCCTATAAACTCCAATGCTTGGTAAATGACACCTGAAAGAACAATGGTGGCGGCAATGGAGCCCCAAACTGGAGCCTCAAATGGCTGTGTCCAACCCCACAAATTAATCTGATGCTCTTCATGCTCTTGTTCCGCACCAACCAAAATGTAGCTGGCATCATACCAACCATGAGGGAAGGCAAGTCCCAGCCTTAGACGTGCTAGAGTTTCTGTCCACCAATCGGCACTGACATCGTAGTATTCTGTAGACCACAAGAGAAGTTGAGTATACGTCCGGTTTTCTCCTGGTTCTCCATAAGCCGCAAAGCTATTTCGCCAGGTATAGCGCCCTCTCTCCGCCAGTTGATCCAACAGTCTGGCGCCCAATCCCGGGTATTCCTGGTTCAAAGCACCTTTGTTGTCTAGAATGAAGAAATTGCCCGTGATGGCGGCAGTGTGAAGCTGCAGTCCTTCCAGAGCAAACTCGATACTCTCCCCATTCTCTGAATATGTCCGGTAACGTTCGCAGAGATCCTGACGGTAGCTTTGGTTCTTGTCATTTGTCCACAGTGGAAGGTCCAGGGATGGCATCTGTTGGGCTTGTGCCACGAAGCTAAAGGGGAGAAACAGCTGTGGCATCAATAGTGTCAACCATCCTAAAAGTCTCGATGTCTCAACCGGACTTCTCTTGCTAAACATGATTTGATTCTATCGCTTGTGGGTTCTGCAGGTGCGGTTGCGCAATCAGAAGGAATGCAACGATGGATGCTGTAGTACCCACAAGACCAGCTCCCAACTCCCTTTCCTCTCTATTTTTATGCTACTGTACCGTAATGACCGTTGGTTGCGGCGTCGAAGCGTCAAAGCGTCACAAACTGTGGCTCGAATAGCGGTACACAGAGCCTTAAGAGAACAAATAAAGGATATAAGACCACTAAAGAAAGATGACAGTACTACGGTAGTACCTTTGGCTCGTGAAAGATCTTTGCAATGGCAAGGTCCGTGCACTCGAAGCTGAAGCTCGCGCCTACTACTAGGATTCCTCCCTTTTTTTGCTCTTCGGAGCCTTGCCGCAAAGTCTACGGAAGTACTTGACAACCGTGGTCTGCAAATCAACGAGACTCACAAACCGCAGAACCAGGAGCAGCAATACATCGAGAAATGGAGAAGAGCTCACAAAATACTGTTACCGGGGCCACCGAAACTTTTGCTGAACGGGGAGGTGACTTGCACCACCGGTACATTCGACAAATGATCATTCGAGTTGTTCCTTTCCATTTCACTTGCGAACGTCGTGCTCCTCAACTCGTCTCGGAGGGAGTGCACTACTTTCACCCCCCCCCCCAAAGCCCTGCTGCCTTGCTTCTTCGCGAATCTGTGAATGCAATGTCCCGGCTGCGGAAACGTCGGTCCTGTGCGATACCGCATCAGTTTCGCAGCACTGCTGCTCGCTCTGGCTGCCAAGCCTCGATTTCAACCTCTCTACAAATCATCCATTTGCGGCAGTCGCCATTTCGCCGGCACTTTTCCACCACTGCTGCGACACAACACCTGCCTTAAACTGCTCTCGCCAGTGACACGTTGGCGCCTCCAATGTTCCTCCGCGTTAATGCAGCCTTCGTGTCACGCATGCTCTGCTATGGCTTACGGCTGGATTGGGGACTTTCGCTACAGTCGCTCCATCCCATGATCCATCATGAGGAGAGTTGTCCGATGTTCGTTTACACGTTTACGTGTGCTACCGAAACACCGGAATTACTCCTATCACTCCCGAGTCCAGATCCTCAACCTCCACAAGCAGTGTTACATGCAGGTTTTGTCCACTTCGACCGTTCAGCTTGTAGTAGAACTTTGTGCCCCATGCAAAACGCGGGCGTGCAATACCGGTACGGAGTACTCGTACAATCGTTAGGATGGGAAAAGTGACCGTTTCTCGTTCTGCGGTGGTCAGGTGTTTTTTGGCTTCGAGGCGACATTGGCGGTTACGGTAACGCCTGTACCACCCTGGTACTCTCATCACCGGTACCAGTACCTTACCGACTCTTTGGCAACGCAAGAGATGAGAAGACGAAGAGCCGACGTCACCCAATAATATTGTTATTATTAGTACCGGTATTTCTCGTCTATGGGGCTTCTTCGCCGTGTGCAGTCGTATCAGCCACAGCCACAGGCAAAGACGTGATTGACCTTGTTTTGTATTGGTGGAAGGTGGAAGGTGGAAGAGTGTTCAGGAAGGTCTGTTGCTCTCTGTGGGTAGCAATTTGCTTTCTCTCTTCGAAACTGTTGCAATTTCTCGTCATCATGTCGTCTCGAGCTGGATCTTCCCTGCTTGATTACTGCTTTTTTACTACCATTTGCGTGGGAACCCTTGCCTATTACCAATACAAGCAGCTCACCGAAAAGAAGCCCGAAAAACTACCCCAAGATGATCGAGTCACTGAGGCCGGTCTCTACCGGAGGGACTAAAGTAGTGACTAAAAGGAATCCTTTAGGTGGTTGTTTAGTTCAAGATTTAGTCATTATCCTTTAGTAATGGTGGTGTCTACCAGCAGATGACTAAATCTCGGACTAAACAGTTTAGTCAGTTCTTTAGTCATTTGGACCTGTCTACCCAGAGCACTAAACAAATGACTAAACGGAACACTAGTGGACTTAAAGGACTCAAACAAGATTTAATAAAAGTGATCACTTGGTGGGCTACCAATATTCTATCAGCATGGTGGATTTAAAGGACTCAAACAAAGACTTAAAAGAAGTGATTACTTTTTTGAGATAACAAGACTCAAAACACACCATTGCGATATTGTGATGCACCTCTCCTCTGTCTCGTTTGCACCTCTACTATCATTCAATCATTCGATTGTTTGCACCTCTACTATCATTCATTCGATCGTTTGCACCTCTACTATTAATACTACTACTAGTATCATTCAATCGTTCCATCAATCGTTTGCACCTCTACTATCATTCAATCGTTCGATCGATCGTTTGCACCTCTACTATCATTCAATCGTTCGATCGATCGTTTGCACCTCTACACTGTACTATCATTCAATCGTTCGATCGATTGTTTGCACCTCTCCTCTATTGGCACTGATTTGATGGCCTAATAGTGAGGCTAGGAACTCCCACGGAGGCACCTCTGTGGTAATCCTGTTGGAATTTGTTATCCAACTCGGTGGCATGCAGTTGTATTGTTTCCTGTTGGATTTGCTGTTCTTAAAGAGGCTTTAGTCGGTACATTCACTCACCGACTAACCAGCCTCCCTTTAGTCAGTGAACCAACATTTCGACTAAAGGCTTTAGTCCGTATGACGTTTAGTTGCTTGGGTAGACACCACCCCAAGAGACTAAACTATGGACTAAACTACAAAATATGGCTTAGTCGCTACTTTAGTCGCTCCGGTAGAGACCGGCCTCAAAGTTGTTGTGGTGACGGGTTGTGACCGTGGCCTGGGACGGTTCATGGCCGAAGCATGGAGCAAACAAAATGGATACCTTGTAGTGGCATGCACTCTTTCTGACAAGAGTAGCTTTGAACACGACAACATTATTGCTGTGCAGTGTGACGTAACCCAGGACAACCAAGTGAAAGCAATGAAAGAACAGGTGCAATGTCTGCTAGAAGAAAGGAATGCCGTGCTCTACTCTATTGTCAACAATGCTGGCATCGCTGATCCAGGCAACTTTTTGTTCCATGACAGCGTGGAAATTCCCAAGAAAGTCATGGAAGTCAATTACTTTGGTCAGTTGCGTGTTACACAAGCATTGCTGCCTCTCATGTTAATGACTTCCAAGGTTGTCGGTGGCAAGATCTTCAACATGAGCAGTGTTTGTGGGGTCAGCTCAGGTGCCGGAAACGGGTCTTATTCAGCCAGCAAATTTGCTGTGGAAGCATGGAGTGATTCTCTGAGGCTTGAGTTGGATCCATTTGGCATTCAGGTTGTCAAAATCCGACCGGGTCAGATAGCCACTGACATACAATCGGATTGGATTTCTCATTTTGTCAAGAACTTCCAGGCCGCGCCAGCACAAATCCAAAAACTTCATGGCGGATCAGTCTTTACTGACAAGATGGAAGAGGGCGTCAAATCCATGGGTTCCCACGGTAGGCCAGAACTGGTTGTGGATACCATGACTGAGCTCTTGCTTCAAAACGACCACAAGAAGCTAGACTGCTCCTACTTTATTGGCAGTGATGCCAAGACCTTTTGGAGAGCTCTCTACGTTCTGCCTACCGCCGTTGTGCATACACTCAAAAGGTCGGCATTGACAATTCATCCACTTTTACCGGAGATCCCCCCAGCTGGTGCAGTCGCTCACGTGACCATCACTTGTCGTGATCTGCGAAAGTCCCTCATCTTCTACAAAGCGCTTGGATTTGAGACGCTCGGCCCTGCTGAACACGGTTGCCAATTCCTGCAATTCAACCCTGCGAAAAACGGCAAGTGGGAATCAAGGTTCCTTCTGAAAGAAGACAAGGACATGCCTGAACGTCAGGCATGTTCTGATGCTGGCATGACACGGATTTGCATGCTGACTAACTCGGTTGATGCACACATGAAGGAACTTGAGAAACATGGAATCAAGCCCATAGCATCACCAGCCATTAGTGACGGTATGAAACTCGTCGTCTACAACGATCCTGATGGATTCACCGTTTACTTTGACGAGATTGGAGGATTGCTTGGCGCCATCATAGGCGCTCAGTTATGGTGGAAGAAACGTCCCTATCCCTTTGCCTTTCACTGGAGTATGAACGTGACGGATCACAAAAAGATCTTGCCTATGTTTGAGGAAATGGGTTTCAAGACCATGTCAGACCAAAACAAGGATCAAGTCTTGAACGGTCTGCTACCCGCCTTTAATATTGATCCAGGCACAACTGTGATTGACTGGATACGCCTGTGCTCGCACCCTAAAGGCGGTATTGTGACCACGATTATGAATTGGACGAACCCCCGAAGCAGCATCAATGAGGCGTCTGCGAACAATGCAATGACAATCAGCGTCACCAATGTTACGGAGGCCCTGGCCAAGGCCAAGAAGATGGGAATGTATGTGGAAGAGGACAAGCCTACATACCGAGAGATCCCAATCTATGGCAATGTGCAGATTGCGACGGCATACTTGGAAAAGGGCAGCTGTCCGGTTGAATTTTGCTGCTTCACGAACCGAAAACTATGCTGAAGCCGTGTTTGTCGCACCAGAGTTGAAATAGAAGGAAGTTTCTAACGAGAATGGTCTGTGTGAGGTAGACGGCTTGACAGCTTCATGAATATCACTAGAATCCATGTCATTTGCATTCTCTCTATTGTATTCCAATACACGGTGCTCGCCAATTGCTATCAATGCATAATGCCAAGTGGGCTCCAAAAATTTTATTTGCTTCTGTTGTGAGGTTTCCAGAAATGATGCCGCCATCACTGCCCACTGCCGAAGACCTATGCCATGCCAACTGGGATCTTCGCCCTCCCTTGCTTTACCAGGCAGTGCTACCGCAGTCACGGCAAGACCATTGTTCGTACATTCCATGGCGAGTGCTTGCTCCGAAGAATCCTGCAAAGACGGACAGCGTGCGACGCGATGCGAAGCATCAACTCCGCAAACGTTTTTCTTTGCTTGTCCTTGACGCGGTGGTTTGGAACGCGCAAAGAAGAAACATGCAAACACATCTCTATTATTATTATGTACCATGACGTGTAATATATTAATTTTTGCTTTTCTTTGGGGTAGGAGGCGGGGAGGCTGCCTCGGGTCACACCATGCTACTGGTATGTAGAGGTAATGTGTGTTGTGAGGTCTTCGATTGCGTATACGGCAACTCGCTGCTGCGCTGTCGGTATCATTGTTGCAGCGTTAAAAATCCAGCGTGCTGGACGTGGGTGTATTGCAAAACTCTCTCGTGGTGTTCCTGCGTATGCTGACGCTTCCTTTCGTCTGGCTTTATGTTTCGCTTACGCGAAATTTTTGTCATACAACTCTTCCTTGCCAACTAGAATGATTTGTCCCAACCAAATCACTTGCAACAAGGACAATCCAGAGAAGGATCCCAAAAAGACTTTGACCCATGGTTTTTCGGCTTCTCGCGACGAGTGTTTCAGTGCCAACATGGCATCATTGACAAAAAAGTATCCACAGTACGACCACAGCAACACACGGCACACGATGAATGCCACGGCAAATGCCGCTCCCAAGGCGACTTTGCCCGCGGGAAAGGCATCGGCCAATCCCGGCACGCCGTGGGTATCGTCAAAGTTGGCCAAGAGACAGAGCACGGCCGTGGAGATTTCGGAAATTCCAAAAAAGAATGGCGCGTAAGCCTGACAGACGCAATGTCGGAGTGTTCCGTACGCCACAGTCAATGTCATGGCGTGATGTGCGACAAAGACAATCCCGTCATTCCAGAGAATGGTATCAATGGTGTTTTTGACTTGGTACCAAAAGAAGAAAAGTGCCAAGTGGTACGCTCGGGGCGAGTAGGTGAAAAGTCGTAGTTCGTATCCTCCTCGGGCGGCTTGGTAACCCTTGATTTTTCCCGTGGCGGCATGAACGAGTTCGGGACAGACCGTCATGAAGCAAGCGGCGCCCATGGTGGCACAGACAAAGCAGCAAAAGGCATCGGTACCAATGTGTCTGGCCAGGATACCGCGGTTGGTGGCATTCTGGAGGATGGGATGAAAGTCCTGTGTCGGTGATAGATAGATAACAGACGAAAAAGTTGAAAAACAGAGAATGGGAGTGGTTAGCTAAATGTTGTTGGCAATGGTGTGCGTGAAGTAATACTTCAAATGACTGCCTTGACTCGTGCATGTCTACTACCGTACTCACCTTGTGCTCGTCAAAGAAGTAGAGGAGCGAGTGTTCAAAGGCATACAAGACAGCCATGATAACAGCGCCATAGGCCGCACAGAATCCTAGGGAAGGCTTTTGAGCAAAGGCCCCCTCTACCGACATGAAAGAAGACGAAGACTTTTGCAGGGCCGGTGGCGCCTTGGCCTTGGAAATCACATCGGGTCGGCACATTTTGGTGGATTGTTGTAGAGGTTTTATTACTGAGTGAAAACTGAAAGACAAGAGGGACGATCGAATCGAATCTATGGTAGCTGGAGGCAACCAAAAGGATTCGATAGAAGCAAAAGAAATAAATGAAGTCTGTACGATACGAGATACCAGTGATCCGGATAATGCGGTTTGCCTACATCAACTTGGAAAGTCGACACGTAATTAGTGCAGCATCCACTGCGCCCATCGGCATGTGGTGTGGGAAAGGATGATGTGGCTGAGCATGACGAATGCTTTTCGGATCCTGCTTCTCGATTTGATTGGCTCCCTGGCATGACTGGTGGTTGGTCGCGTAATCGCATCGCTCGCAGGGCTCTCATGCCACAAGGTTAAGGCTGAAAAATCTTTGCCAGTTACCTTTATTTACACTCCGTCTTGGGCTAGTCCGCATTCTCACAACGGTATTAGATCTTTTCTCGAAGCTCGAAGCCAACCAATATCAACAAGGCAGACAGCACAAACCAAACAATCAGACGAGGAGCTCCCTTGCTCAATCAATCAACCGTCACCATCTACAACCTCGCGAACAAATAGCCAAACAACCATGTCTTCTGGCACCACCACCAGCACCACAACAGTAAAGGAAGGCGATCCAGCAGAACAAGGCACTGCCTGTCCGTACTTGGACACGATCCAACGATCGCTTTTGGATTTTGACTTTGAACCCTCCTGCAGTGTCTCGTTACAATCGGGTCCTCACATTTACGGTTGTCTGGTCTGTGGCAAGTTTTTTCGAGGTCGCGGACAAACCACCCCCGCGTACACGCACAGCGTCCAAGACGGTCACTTTGTCTTTTTGCATTTGGCCCATTCCAAGTTCTACTGTTTGCCCGACAATTACGAGATTCAAGATGCTTCGCTTCAAGATATTGCCGACGCGTTGCATCCCACCTTTTCCTCGAGTGAAATTGCCGCACTGGACTCCAATACCAAATTGGCCCGTGACTTGTTTGGACGAAGCTACTTGCCGGGATTTGTCGGTCTCAACAATTTGAACAAGACCGACTGCATCAATGCCTGTGTCCAAGCGTTGGCGCATGTTCCGCCGTTAAGAGATTACTTTTTGCGGCAACCACCACTTACTACTACTACGAGTATAGATGCCACATCTTCGTCGTCGGATTCCCAAATTGTCTCGGCGGCACGCATGTCCCAACACATTACGCATTGTTTTGGAGGATTGGTCCGCAAGTTGTGGAGTGACAAACGATTCAAAAATCATATCGATCCTCACATGTTGACACAAGCCATTGCCGCGGCCAGTCGATTCCAAATTGGAACCCAAATGGAAGCGGGAGAATTCATGGCGTGGTTCTTGCATCAACTTCATCGGGGATTGGGCGGGAGTGACAAGAAGAAAAAGAAGAAACGAAACTCTACTACTAGTAGTGACAAGACGAGTATCATTCAAACCATTTTTCAGGGATCCGTGCAAGTCACCACACGACAATTGAAAAAACAAACCAATGCAACACCCGAAGGACAAGATGATCGAGGAGGAAGTGGGGATGAAGCTGAAGATGAGGAAGAAGCCGACAATACACCCAAAATAGAAACGGAAGAAATTGTCACCGATTCCAACTTTCTCCATTTGACATTGGATATCTCGCAAAAACCACTCTTTCGCAACGAAGATGGAGGATTGGTCATTCCACAGGAACCCTTGGTCACGGTCCTCAAAAAGTTTGATGGCATGTCCTTCTCCGATGCCGTCAGTCGATCGGGCGTGGCACAGCAGCGACGCTATCGAATCCGACAATTGCCACCCTATCTCATTCTACACTTGGCACGATTTCAAAGCAATCGATTCCTCAAGGAAAAGAATCATACCATTGTGCCGTTTCCCGTCAAGAATTTGGATTTGGGCAATTACGTATTTGATAATACTGATACAGATACTACTGAGACTGACGGGAACAGTCACAAGAAAAAGCAGTTACCGACCGAAGAGGAAATCCGGTCCATGAGTGTAAGTATTGTATTGTTGTCGGTGCACTGCTGTTCAATGATGTGGTTGCCTTTGGCCCTGGACTCACAACAAACGAGTAACTAACTTGCCCGTTTTGCTTCTGTCTCTCTCCTTTGCACACAACACGACAACAGATCAAGGAACTCCGAGCCTTCTTGACGAAACACGGTCAGGAGCATTTAATGGACTACTCACCCGACAAGAAAGAACTAGTCGATCACATTGTTGACTTTACCACCAAAAGTCTACCCGACCTGCTTGCCGACAAGTACGATCTGGTCGCCAACATTACGCATGAAAGCCCCGCCGAAGTGGGAAAGGAAGGACAGTCCGATCCCCTGCAAGAGGGATCCTACAAGTGCCATGTCCAACATCGAGGAACGCAACAATGGTATGAAATTCAAGACTTGCATGTACAAGAAGTCATGCCGCAATTGATTGGACTGTCCGAGAGTTCCTTGCTCATCTTTGAACGCAAGAACGCTTCCACCCTGTCGTATGAACCGAAAGCAACAACCACCACCACCTCATCCAAAAAGGCACGTCGCAAGACACAAAAATGAGAAACTGGTCTCCTAACTGCAAGCAGATTGGTTCGAAGGAAAGGGTGGGCGGGATTGGGAACGATGTAGGACGTAATGGTGCATCTGGGAAGTATCAATATCAATAGACTGTTTACTTTCCTAGCAGAAATGCGTTCAATGGTTAAAAGTGCCTCGCTATTGAAGTAGCACGCTGTCAGACACAACCAGTTCGCCGCCTACGACTGGCATAGTACCGATGTTGCTCGATATCTGTACCATACCACACCTGTACCTGTAATGGTATTCAGTCTCTCTACATACCGGCATCTGTCACAGCACCTGGTTCATGCCGTCTATATCTCACCGGTATCTGTCACGACTGCCCACTGTACCGCATGATTACGGTACCGGCATAGGGGAAGATGGTGGTGCATGTAGCAACTCATGTAGCTAGCTAGCCAGGCTGAGCAACTTAAGAGTGCGAGTGCTCTCCAGTATGCTTAGTTGAATGACCCCGTCATGATGGCACAGTACAAACTGTAGAGTGCTTTGCCGCCCCAGTCGGGATTTGAGGCCAGCTGGGTTCGGTTGAAGCTTCCGTGACCGTCTAAATACACGTACTAGTACCGTTGTGCTTTCGCCTGGCACTTCAAAGTACGTCTGGAAAACCAGCACAAGCATGAGCACTTGAACCGGTAGTCTGACTGTAGAGTCCATGCAGACTGAAATACCCTCTCTTTGCTCTCCGGCACTGCTAGCTAGCTAGACTGCCCACCTATCCTCTCCCACCCCAGCAGCTCCGACAATGCGGGAGTCGAGTCGAGTCATACCGTCCCAAAAGAGAAATGACAGCGTCTGATCTGCTTATTCGGCAACCAATACTGGCGGAAAGTATGACTGGCATCTCAAAAGCTCGGTCACATATGGTGCCAACGCAAGAAGCTAACATTCGGAGTCTATTGGGATCTATTAGGTTCGTCCTCATAAACTGAGCACAGATACTATGGAACCTATTCGCCTAACAACCCAACGTAGAGAAATGACGGACGCCATGATGGAGCCGTCATTTGAAGAATCATTGCAGCTTCCTCGTCGTTACCTGCAGGATCATGATGTGTGCCTTAAGGTCATGAATGAAACCACAAAAGGAACAAGGCTGTTCAAGAACCACGTGCGTGCCATCTTCCCACGCTCCAGACTCTTTGATGTCAACAAGCTAGTGGCCCTACAGAACCTTTCCTATGAATGCAAGTACTTTAGCAAAGAGCCTCCGCCTCCTACGGGCACACCAAGTGCTGAGTTTTGGATTAGGCTCAGCTGTGCACAAGAGAATATACAGTGGGCAAAGGAGCCTGAATGGTTGTGGGAGATCCGCTACTTCAAGAGGAAAGCCAGCAAAGGAGAGACGGTGGACGAGGCCTTTGTTCGCGCCAGCGATGAGTGCTTGAGGCACGAGCTGGAAACGAATGGAGGGCGTACTCCAACCGAACGTTCAAAAGCAACCAAGGGGACTAGCAGCACTCAGAAGAGTGCACCGGCAGTGAAACCACTGGAGAAAACGGGTCAAGACACCGGTAATACTGTGGTTTTGGAACCCAATAGACACAAGTTGCTCATTGAAGTATCTCTTCTTGGCGGAGATGAAAAAAAGGGTCACACGATCGAGGCATCACGTGCTCCACTACAGCCAGATACCAGTAGGGGAACTCAGAGTGAATCCGGCAGTCAAACTTCTAGGCTTGGGCTTGTCATAAAAACTTTTGGACACAACGAAGCCCATGACACGGGTAGCCTCAAGCGCTCCTTGAGTGATTTTAGCCAGGGTGAACCCTATCCCAACAAGAAGTCTCAATCAAATGCAATGTATGGGGGACGGTGAGGAAATGGATGACGCAGAGCTGTAACAGATTAATGTTGGTCTCTTGACTCTTGTACCCTTCCTTCTTGACCCAAAGGTTGCGCTCGTAGTCTGCATACCAACAGTCTATGGCGACAACGTTCACCATTCCCTTCTTTTGCTCTTGCAAAGTGAATATCCCCATTTTGGCATCATTAACGGGACCTTGAGTAACAATAAGCGAGAAAAGGGACAAAGATATGTTCGTATTTCTCTCGGAAGGCGTCCAGGTCTTCGTTATGTTCTAGATAGTGAATCTTGGTGAGCTGCTCGCTGCAGAGCGTGATCTTTCGTTGTTGTTGAGAGGCCTTATCAGGTTGTTCGGTTTCTCAAGCTTCGAGTTGCCCCATTCAAAGAAGAATTTGGTCATGAAAACAGCAACGAAGATGGCAATCAATAGAACCGAGTTTTCTTTGGCCACGCACGGGGGTAGACTCAAGATCGGACGGAACGAATGGCTCGCTGTCGCCCTTGCGATCGTTGTCCTCCTTCCGAATACCTTCTCCCGTCGCTGTATCGACCCAATGCTGTTCGGCTCTCATGGTTCATGAATCTTTCAGAACAATCCAATAATAGCTTCTTGAAAGAAACAGTTTTAATGAAAACAAGATCACTGAAGAAAAGCTTTCCATGCTTTTTGCCTTGTTGGAAAACCAACAGACGACACTCCCCACCTGAAGCTAGCTGACTGGTGTCTATCTGTGATGCACCTGATCCTATCATCTTCTTTGTGTGAGGAGACGTGATTTTCATCCTTGCGTGTGAGACTTGGTCAGACCCGATTTTCTAATTCCACGTCCATCCTCCACGATCCACAGAGTGGAAGCCACAACAAAACTGCGGTACCAGGTCGTATTAGTACGTACATGTTACCGGTACTTGCATGTAGTACGGTGGGGTGCCACCACCGTCGGCTTGGTGACAAAATGGTATCTTTTTTAAAAATAAGGCCGCGAGATCCCTGTTGACAAGTATCGGTAGCTTCGTCCTCGCTAGCTAGTTCGTAGTGCCTCGTGACTCTGACGTTGGGACAGTGCAAACACTCTACTTGATCCGTAATAGACATGGAGAGTATTTTATTGGATTAGTTTTTGTTTTAGCTAGCTAGATTGTCGACTCGGGAGAGACGAGCTGTTGTACCGCCCATGATGAGAGTGCCCCCTTGTATTCCTGGTATTGATCATAAACATCCGGTGTCGAGGATCCTGCAGATGAAGAAAAGCTTGCGAAAGACGGGAGGGGCTGCCTAGGCTTTGCGGCTGTTGCATCTGGAACATCACTGTTGCAGTCAGCACCACGACCTTTGACACTGCTGGAGGAACCATAAAAAATGTCAGAAAGGTGTCCTCTAGCCTGTGCTGATTGAGATAAGCTGCCAGCAAGGCATAGTCCAACCAGAGCAATCTTGTTGATCATAATGGTGGCAGTACAAAGACAGAACTGGTGAGGCTAAGAAAGGTTGGAATGTGAGAGAAATTGGTGAAAGCAAGAGGAATAATGAGAGCGACTTGGTCCTGAATAACAAGGAGACTGCGAGTGGACTTTCATCCTTGCATGCAGTCTGCTTGCTCAAAACACAGGACCAGTTCCGGTGGTACTGCAACAAATAATTGCGGCCATCATCATGCTGGTTACCGGTGAAAGCTTGCTGTCAAGCTCTACTCGGACAAATGTCGTTGCCGTGGCTGTCACCTCCAGCGAACGGAAGAAGCTGGCCTGCGTTGACAACCATGAAAGTCGAGTGTCGACATGTCAGAGAACAGTAACTTTATCTTGTAATGGAGGTCTAGTCGGAATAATCCCTAAAACATGTACGATGTTCTCCCCTTGATTTGAAGAGGATCTTCAAGGGACTTGCCAACCGTCAAAAGAAAGAGCAACAAAATTTCAAATCGCTCATGGCATCAACAAAGATTCACCATCGAAGCCACGCCACAAGCTAGCTAGCTAACCATGCACGAACGCCATATGACCAAGCACAATGGGAGCAAGAACAATCAGATCGGGAATAGTACTCACCATGCTGATTTGAGACAACGAGCTCCCTTGAATCTGAAGCGAGACGAGAGTTCTGGACCACTCTTGTCGTCTTCCGGGTTGCCTCCTGCTCCCATCTCCTCGGGTCGTCCTACGGCTCGTACTAACTCTGTGACAAGCAGTAAAATTTTGGATGCTCTGGCCCATCCAGCGCAAGCCGCCGCCGTGGCAGCCGCTGCTTCCAATCAACCTGTCCGAGGACGCAAGCGCAAAACATTTTCGCTGATCCTCATGACTGTCATGTGTGGCGCTGTGGTGTACTACTCGGGCACTCTGTACGATGTGGACTATGTCGATGAGTACTTTTCGCAAGATGGAAGAAAAAGCCAAAGAAGTAGACGAAGAAGAGCCAAATTGAGAAATCGGCAGAGTGGTCGTTCGGAAAATGATTCTAAAGCAGCCGAACAGCAACGGGAAGAACAACAAGAAAATGAAGACGAAGATTCTTCTGTATCTTCTTCCTTGACTCGTTTCATCATCATTCCAGAACAGGAACAGCAGGATCAACAACAACAAGCAACAGAAATAACAAAAGAAGAAAAAACCATGACAGCAGCACAATCGCAACTGCTGCGAGACCGAATCGTCAGCACCATCAAGGCTGCTTTCGTTGCCGATGCTGCATCGATGGGGACGCATTGGATCTACAAAACAGATGTACTCAATAAACTCTTAGTCTCCAAAGACAAACCAGAATTTCACAATCCACCCGCGCCCAATTTCTACTCCGAGCGAGAATTCCCAGGACATTACAGTCAAGGACAGGCCAGTCCTTATGGGGAACAATTGTTGTTTGTCACGCAATTCGCCGCACACTTGGTCACGGATGACGACATGCAACAACACGAACAATTGCCACCCATGGATTTCAACCATGTTGTTTCTGAAGTGGACGATGATGATGGAACGTCCCAATCCACGGACCCAGAATCCATTCTAGGCCCCATGTCGGAGGCCATGCAAGAATGGCTGCAATCCTTTGGGGGACGAGCCGATCATGCATCTCTGCAATTCTTGTCCTGTCGACAAGAACGATTGCAAAATGAAGAAGCACAGCAACAACATGCTGACGAAAACGATGATGTGTCCTCTTGTGGAGCCAATGATGATCAGGCACACTTTTTTCTCAAAATCGTTCCCCTGACGTGCTTGTATGTCGGACATCCACGACGACGACATTATGTGGAACAGGCCATTCGAGTGCATCAGAACAACGAAAAGGCCGTCATGTTTGGATTGACACTCAGTGATCTGTTGGAACGAGTGCTCTTGATGGATGACAAAAACAGCAACAATAGCAGTGGCTCTTCGGATCATTCGTCCTTGGCGTCCTTGTTTACCAATGAAAAGTACCAATCGGCAACATCTTTGCGAGAAGCACTCGACATTACCTTGACAAACGCACAAGAAGAGCATTCGGATAGTTGGTTTCATCACTTGGCGGACTCATTCACTCAGGAGCATCAACAACAGCAAGCGCTATTGGAAGCATGGATCAATGCCAAACAACTAGCACAACAGCAAAAATCATCCGAACAAGTGGCTGGTTTGTTTGGTCGATCATGTCACATGCCAGGGGCATTGGTCGTGTCATTGCATGGACTTTATCGTGCTGCCGCCAATGCCGAAGCCGAAGACAACAAAAAGACGCCAGTGCCAGTAACAACACCACAGCAGCCAACAACGTCGAACGAGCAAAGCAACGGATCGTTGCGAGGATACGGCTACTACTTCAAGGCGCTCTGGGGGTCTCTCCAAGCGACCACGGACGCCACGACAAAGGCGGCCACGTCAACGAGTGGACACCACGATACTCAGGTTGTCGAAAACACCCAATTCACGAGTGTCATTCGAGAAAACATCTTGGCGGCCGGGGATACGTGTAGTCGCGCCATTTTGATGGGGGCCATTCTGGGGGCAGCCTATGGGCCACCGCCGGTGGAATGGTGGCAGCAGCTTTATCCCGTCTTGTCGGGGCAAGTCGAAGAGGCGGCGTACACTATTGCCGACTTTGCTGTTCGCGATAGACGGTAGCTCTTTGCAGACGCAAGACCAAGGGGCTCTGTTTTCACTGCAGGGGGCAAACAAGAACAGGATAGTTCCCAATTTCCAAATGATTGCTTCGTGATTCTGCAAGCCCGCACCTTCTCCGTTTAGTGGAACTAAGCAACTTCGTCAATATCGGCCGTCGATCTGTTTGCTGATATTTCTCAGGCGGGAGGTTCGCGTCTATTGCAAAATGATCATACGTTGCCTCGTATGAAAGCAGAACGGGGAGAGGAATTGGTCCTGTACTATGGACTACCGTTACGGTTTCGTGGGACTTGTTGTAATAATGAGGTGCTCCGGGTATTACTGAGCAAGTCGTCCACGATGAGAGGTGGCGCCATGACCACGATCAACTGCCGACTCCCACGATCGAGACTGATCACGTTACCGGTACTCTAGTACCGTACCGTAGATTTCGACAATGATACATACAGTGATATATCATACTACTAGTATCTAGTAGTATTCGCACACAGTTTTGACAAAGCAAGCCAGGCCTGAGCACCGAACGTGGTGGTACATGGAAACCTGAAAATTCCGTCCAACCTTCCGACTCACTCCAGTTCTTTCGGAATTGCGCGCCTTCCAAAAGCAAAAGATGGCAATGTTGCAATGCGGAAGGTTGGCCCTGTCCACTGTACGGGTTCGATGCCCCCTTACCAAACTCTGGTCGTCCAGAGCGACAAGATGCGCAGTTCATCCCGTAGCTACCTGGCAGAGACACGACTTTGGTTCAGCGGTGCAACGATCTCTTTCTACGAGGCAACGAGAGAATCAAACCTTCGTGGTTCCGTCTATTAATGATCCTGTTGCGATTATCCCTCAGTGGGCAGATTGTATTTGGTGGGAAGATTCGGAAAGAGTGGAGCTGGTGAAAGAGTGTCGAGTGGAGAAGAAATACTTCTTTCAGCTCATTGACATTTACAACCAATATAACGCCTTGGACTTTGATCGCAATAAGAAGGAATGGTACATTCGACTTGACGACCTCCCTGATTTCTTTGGTGCTGGCAAAGTTGTGGAGCTCAGAGAGAAGCTTCGTCGACTAAACTTCGACTTGGGAAGGTTTCCATTTTTTGAGACAGAGGACGAGGTGTCCAGAGCTGTTGAAGGGATCCATTTCAGGTTTAAAACGGATGTGGTGGCTATCGTTCTGAGCGGAAAGGATTTCCTGATCATCTGCCCAGCTCGGAACAAAGACATCGAAGATGTGATAACACAGCAATTGACTGGTGTCATTGAGCACACTACCAGTGCCGCAGTGCCGCTTCACTATAACCAGCACGTTGAAACGACCGAGGCGTATCGAACACTTGATGTGTGGCTTGTTGCTGAGCTTCTTGAGCGCTTAGAGGGACACCTCGAGGTATCTTTGGTCGTATGCCCTGACACGCAGTTGAGCTTGGATCGTCGCCATCATTACAAATCATCTTTGCAAGAGCCGATCCCGCGACTAAAAACCTTAATGCCCCCAGGTTTCACCTTGTTTCCACACCAAAACGAGGGCGTCAGATTCCTTCAAAACAACAATGGGCTTGGAATTCTTGCTGACGAAATGGGGCTCGGGAAAACCGCCACGACCTTGGCTTATTTAGCACTGGAAGGGAAGCGCGCAGTAGTGGTCTGTCCGAAGAATGTGAGAGAGGTGTGGGAGGACGACGCAGTCAAAAAGTTTCCAACGTTTTTTGAAGGCCGAACGGTCAGGCTAGGAGTGGATCGGAAGGAGAGAAATCACGAGACTGAGGACCGATTGTCGAGAGCTCGTCTTGCAATTGTTAACTATGAGGCATTCGATAAGTTTCTCTCAGCTATTCTAAATGCCAAGTTTCATTGCCTCGTCTTGGACGAATCACACTTGGTAAAGAATCCCAAGACAAAGAGAACCAAGGTTGTTCTCGAGTGCAAAGACGGTTTTGAGCACCGGATCCTATTGTCGGGTACTCCGTTGAAGAAGGGCGTGTACGACATGCTAACACAATTGCACATAGTCACGGGAGATGGAATGGACGAAATTCCAGATAGGTGCCCTGGGGCACTTTGGAACTGGATGAAAGAACGTGGCGTATATTTGAAAAGAACGATTGCCGAGGAAATGCCTCATCTTCCGTTCGATGAACCTCAGCTGGTGTTTGTGAAGATGGAAGCGAAGGGTGATCCTTTCGAGGAGGTTGCCGAGGTCAACATCCTAAAAATCGTGCTAAAAAGACTGCTGGAATCTGCTTTGGGGAAAGTAACAGACACCTGTGAGCAAGCAATCAAGCTCTTGCGCGAAGAACCTGGCAGCAAAGCTATCATCTTCACAGAGCGGAAGGTGTGTCTTCGTAAAATCTTTTCATACCTGGAAGAGCTTGAACCCGGAATTGCCAGTGCACACGATGGAGACCTTGGCACTTCCGAAAGAGATCGGACTATTGATGATTTCCGTGATCCAAATTCCCCAAAACGCATCTTGGTATCAACCCGACACTCCTTGGCCGCTGGAGTGAATCTTCAATGTGCGAACATCGTCTTGTTCAATGATCTGCCGTGGTCGCCTGCCGAAATCGCACAGGCTGCAGGGAGGGTGAAACGACTGAACCAAAGGAAACAGGTGCAAGTGCTTTGGATGGTTGCTACCGATACCGGTGGGAACTACTGCTTCGATGAAAACTTGATGTACATTTTGCAACGAAAGTTTGAGCTCCAGCTACAATATGCTGAAGGAAAGAATGTACTCTCTGAACAGGATCAAAAGTGGATGAACAAAGGTGTCTCCATGCATGAGATTGCAGGCATCCAAAAACCAATCAAGAAACGACAGAAGCGATGAGACCTTCCTTACCTCTGGATTTGGGTGATATTCTAGAACGGTAGCTGCAACCCAAATGTCTGACTAGGGCTGACATCAGCCTGATGCACAGAACGTCCTTCGATGGTTACTGTCATTTTTTTTTACGCGGAATCCATTTGGCTGATTTCTATAGAAGTCAATGAATGGGTCGCTGCTGGCAATCTAGGCAGGCGGAACCCAGTTCCGAGTAGTGATAGTAATTGGTCATGATTCTTTTTGCTAATACTTTTAACATTACATTCCTTGTCTTCAAGCAAACAAATATTCAAAAATGAGGGCGGAACAGGAGGGTAGGAGAAGGGAGAAAAAGCTCATCGCGCAGAAAATCCTTGAGTTCTATGCACTGATCTCTTGGAAGGACAGTCCTTCATCAGAAGGTTCGGCAAGTTCTTCACTTTCATCACTGCTGAGTTCAGCAGACTCAACATCATCCATTGATTTTGTGGCCTTCTGCACAAGATCACTGGCTTCTTCTTCAGTGATATCTTCTTCATCATCAGCTGGCAAAATTCCATTCAAAAGGAGGGCTGAAAGACAACCAACTGCATATCCTGTGCTCAATGTGATCACAGTGGCATCACAGACACCACGGGTAAAGGGATCTTCAATGGCTGGGCAATCCAACCAGTTTCCACTGGCAAACCATTGTGGGACAATGATAGTTCCAATGCCAAAAGCTCCAGAAACGGCCATGATGAAGCGTGAGCGGCGGTCAATGCCGTGAGCAGTCATAACCTTGATTCCAGACACAGCAATGTTGGCAAACAAAAAGGTGGAGCATCCGCCAAGAACAGGCAAAGGGATGCTGGTGAAGAAGGCTCCAAACTTTCCAAAAACTCCAAAGAGGAACATCCATGCAGCACAGGCAAAACCAGCATCACGAGCAGCAACCTTTGTCAACGAGATGATTCCAATGCTGCAATGGAAGGCAAAATGAAGTTAGTACTTAGTTGATCCGATTCAAACACTTACAGCTTTGGGCTATCATGGTGCCTGTCACTTACTTTTGGGAAAGGGTTGTACTGGGGAGAAGCATGGCAAGGGCTGAGAGGAAAGAGTTCACAGCATCGGCAAGAAGGCCACCTTGGACTGTTTCGTCAAACTCCTTGCTGTTGGGCTTGATGCCAGAGGCCTCAGCTGTTGCGGTTGTGTCGCCATATGTCTCCACCGTGGATACAAGATATGCAACAAGAGTAGGCAAAAGAGCTGGGGCATAGAATCCAATGGGGAAAGTCTTGGTCCAAAGAAAGAGAACGGCTGGGGCTTCCTTGACTGCTTCCATACTGGTGTAGGCATCTCCATTGCGATCTGAGGTGAGTGCTGCCACGAGGTATCCAAGGAGAATTGAGATAGCAATTCCACAGCTTCTCATGAAGGGGGATCCAAAGAGCTCAATGATAATGATAACGGCCATGACAAAGAATCCTAGGCCAAGGTACTCTCCAGATCCAAAGGGCAAGTTGGAATAACCAACACCACATTCACCTCCTCCGAGGCAGTGAACACCACCACCCCACTGCTGCACCCCGACTCCAACCAGAGAAAGACCAATGAGGAACACTCCTAGCCCAGCAAGCCAGGCTGGGAAGATACGACGGAGGAATCTACCAGGAATGAAGGAAAAGGCACTCTGGAAAATGGCGCCCACCATGAAAACTCCCAAGAGACCTCCATAGGCTTCATCAAATGTCTTGCCCTCCTTCATTTGTATTTCAATTGACTGCTGGGCAGTGGGGAGAAATGCAAAGGATGTTGCAATCACACAAAGAACACCAGATCCAAGGAAGTATTTGGTTTTTGGGATAGGCCTATGCAAAATCTGGATGAAGGTGCAAATTCCACTTGCAATGAGCCTGCAGTTGAAGGAGATGACATTGTTAGAACACTGTTGCTGGTAGCGCGGGCTCTGAATATATTGGTAGCCAGACTTACGCATAGGACACAAGGTAAGATCCAGCCTTCCCGGATGGATCTTGCATTCCAATCAAGATTCCTGGTAGGACTGCTCCTCCAACAGCTGCAAGTGAATGCTGGAATCCAAGGAACATTGCAACCAAAAAGGCGAGGCGAGAATCCTTGCCATAGTGGGGTAAGGGTTCTTGGTTTTCCTTCTTCCAAGGGTTCAACCGGGGCATGCAGAGACGACCATAGTCATAGTCACCAATGACGCGGCTTTTCCAAAAGGATTCGCCGTTTTCTTGTTCCACAACATCAATGTTGTTTTTGACATCCTGGACAGTGTCCTCGTGCATGTTGTCTTTGGTTGGTGCCATCATTGTTGGGTAGTTGCGGGTGCTTTAAAAATTGTACCGAAAGGTGTGCTTTTGCTTTTGTTTTGTTGCGCTTTTTGTTTTGCTCGAGCTTTGATTTGTGAGCTCTTTCCAACCTGCTAAGATAGGTTTCGGTTCAAAGGTTTCACTTGACATCGCAGTTCAACAACGCTAGTTTCATTGAACGTTCGTTTCGTTGAGACTTCAACGAAAAGTTCCACCGTACCATTCATCCTTTACCCATTCGAGTCGTCGTTTCTGTCACTGTTCCACTGTGATCCGTACCGATCCGTGTACCGTTAGCACCCACCTCCAAATTCCATCTTCGTAGGGTACAACGGTATTGTACGGTAGCTAGCTAGACCAGTAGCCAGGCAGTCTCATCTTGATTTGCAAATTCGTGATAGCTTGTGATCGTAGACTACTTGGAGCGCTTGTGGTTTTCCTGTAGCATGCGGACCTGGCTGGGTCTTCCCTGCCGTTCTCCTTTGAGTTGACGTGCACGTAGAACGAAGCCTTGATCCCAATGCGTCATGTATTTAGCAGCTTTTTCGGCTTCAATTCTCCAGTTTTTGTACTGGTACGGGTACCGGTAGCTGTTGCTGCTCGGCCGCACCTCTGCGTTGTTGTCCGTGCTACTACACAGGCAGTCTATCTTGAGATGAGCATCTTTGTAGCACCCACCCTACAAGTACCTGCTGTATTGTTCATATGCTCTCTTATACAGGTCCAGGTTGCGGCGTTTGCAACAAACCATGTTCTGTCCTCGAGTCTCGCAAACTCGAAGAGATCGCCTGTCCAGTTTCTCGAAGGACGAAGCAACGGCGACGAAGAGAGCGAGCATTTTTGGCCTGCTCGATGGGAACAAGCAGACAAGCTCGAGATCAGGCTAGACGCAACTATTGTGTCTTGCCATACGTTGGCCCGTTTCTTGGCTTACGACATTAGCCTTCCAGCAAAGGAAGTGCCAGGATTCGAGATAGTTGACGTTGTTGCCATTCTGGACACCTTTACTTCAGCAATCGTGCTTGCAATTATGTGGACGGTGGCAGGGCTACTCACAAGGATATTCGAGGATAGCGATGATTGGGGACGACTCGTAGAGACGGCGGCGCTTGCAGCGCCTCCATGGCTGCTTCTGGAGTTGGCACTGGGTTGGCCTGCCACGGCGAGTGGCCCGGTCGAACGGATTTTACTAGGATCGTTGGGACTGATAGCGACCATGATCCTATCGAGGCTGGTACCTAAATTTCTCCGATGAAAAGAAACATTGATGCAACGATTGGCTCAAGCAAGCAAGCAAAATAAAATTTGCAATCAATAATAGTCAGCGCTTGGTTGCTGCAAGATTCCCAATTTCTCAAAGGCGAAGTTACCAATAGTGATATGCACCCCACTGCATAACTAGTTGAGCCTAGAAAACCAGCCGTGCCTTGGATGGGCCAACACTTTGGGATTCCCGGAAAGGTAACATCCAGAACCTGGCTGACTGTGCCTACGCCTGAATGGGCAGGGTAGGACACTCAGGACCTAGGCACTACTAGCAGGTTTTCAAAACACGAAACTCGCTCTTTTCTAGACCAGCAAGAGTTACAGGAATAGGAGAAATTTGGCTGCTCATAATGTAGATATATGTACCGGTATCCGTCGCTTGTGGATATCGAAGGCAAGCCAGGCAGGTATCTCGGGGAGTCTAAGGATGGTTCAGTAACTGAGTTCATACCAAGACAATCCGGGAGCTCGGCTACAGCAACCCTACCGGCAGACTGACCCGAGGTTGCAACAGATTGCAGAGACGGGAGATAAAGTGGAATGGGGTCAACCAATACTGTGGTGGTACCGGTACAACAGTGCAAGTACGTACGGTACGTGAAGGCCGCATGTACCGGTACTCGAGTACCTTGGATTGGCGCGACTAAATAAATGTTTAGCTTTCTTTCTCCCTTGGATCGCTGATGACCGAAATAGGTTCCGAATTCTGCCTGAGCGAATTCGAAGTCATTTTGGCATTGTGACTTTTGAAAATAATTATACCTGAGACTCCTTACGTGCGGCAGGTCCAAGACCGCAATCTTTTTACCTTTTCAAAGATTCGATTCCAAGTCTCCTGTCTCCTGTCTTCGAGAGGAGGGATCTTGGATGACTTTGTGTGGTGCACCAATTTTCCGAGTTGACGTCGGGGCTGTGCAGTGTCCGGTCGCCACTGTGCATCGTGGTGAAAACGCTCGAGCTGCACTGTTCCAAAGCCGCTCAATCTCCTCGGCTCCCTCTCACAATTTCAGATTTCAGCAACTCTCGACAGCACTCAACCACAAAACACCAAACGTAAACATGGGTCTTTTTTCCAAACTCAAAAAGAACAAGAAGCAAGCTATGAAGCCACAGCAGTTGCTGGCATCCATGGAGAAGTCAGGAGAGACCTGCGCTACCAGCATGAATGGAAGTGGCTCCGTCCACTATCGTGAAAAGAGAGGAGGATCCATTGGAAGCAGTAATAACAGTGCAGGGTCGCTGAGTGATGATGAATCTCAAGAAGAATTCCGAAGGGAAGTTTCGCAAATGACACCTCAAATGATTCTGAGACAGCTGGAAGACATGGGCAGAGACAACTCAGCGGATGCAAGACGATACATGAGCGCTCTCAAGCAAACGTCATTGGTGGACGAAAGACTCCCCCATGAAATCTCATGCTCTCGTCCGTGATGGACACTGCAAAGCGCCATACGCAGATAGAATAGACAAACGAATTCACACTGTAAACAATGAACTGATAGCTAGCTTTGGATGCAAGTCACTTTCTTTGTGCGTGCTTTCGAAAACAATTAGTCCCCTAACGATGCTCCATCGGTGCCTTCGTGTTCTGACTTTGACAGCGACGGAGCATGAACGTGGGTTATTCGAACAGGATAATCGCAACGGTTGGCATCACCACCTTTTCGTCGCCGGCTAGCCAGGTTGCTTTGCTGACATGCCATTACACCGTATCTACTTGACCCGGGTGTTGTCTCGGCCTCTGACACACCTCCTTGCGTCCACGTCTCCTCCAGAATTCCCCTGCCCCTCAGCATACGGTATCCGCCGTGACACCTCCATTGCGGGCTGCTTCATTATTCATTAGACAATCAATCGTTCGCTGCCTGTACCAGCCGGTACCACTGACCACTGACTACAGTAGCTACAGAAGAAACATAGAAAAATGGCATCGGTACTAGTACGTGCCATTCTACAGTACCGGTAGCAGTTTGAGAGTCATATCCAACCTTGTCAAAACCGGAGGCAAGTTAACCAGTTTGAGAGTCAGGGTTCTGCTTAGCTGGACCTATCTCCAGGCAAAAAAAAAGAATTCAGAGTCAGCTCCGCTGTAGAGGAGGACACTGGTTGCACATGTGTGTATGTATGTACTACTGGAAATTGCTGCTGAAACAAACGTCAAGGCCCGGAGAGCGAGATCCAGGCAGTTTGCGATAGTTCTATAATCTTTTGAAGGGCTTCGCTGTTTGTCGTTGCGGCACTTGCCCACTGCTTGCCACTTGCCACATGTGCTGGATTCGCTACTGTAGCTAGTCAGCGAATCTTCAATCCCCACCCCGGGAAGCTACTGTCAAGTCGAGCCAAGAAGTTAATAAGTACATGTACAAGTATCAAGTATGCGGGAAAGTAGTGGTGGTGAGTGCACTACGAGTAAACAATAGAAAATAGAACACAGAACACAGACTGATTCCAGCTTGGTCGGTGGTAGCAGCGCCTCTCCACAGTACTGGCATCTTCACCCCCTGCGCAAAAGAAGCCACCGGTACTAGCTAGCTCGGTAGAAAATCTCCACAGCCCTGCCCAACGGATCCAAGACAGCCTACAAAAGGCAACACGGAACGACTACATGTACACCGATACAGGAGGGTAACAAGCTTAGTAGCAAGTACAGCGCAACTCGCTGTGGCTTCAGACTGTACTCGGAATTCCAGCCAATTTACTTGTGGAGTTTTGTCTTCTGTGCTCAGCAACAGCATCACTCTTCACCCCACAGTCCATACTCCACCTTCTGTTTGTTTATCTTGATGGCTGATGGCTACTGGTTGAAATGAGACAGAATAATGCAATCCACTTATTTAGAAAAGGTACAACATTCCGGCACGATGTCTTCACCCTGGGCCCGTGCTTCCGCTGAACGCACTCGCTCTTGGACATTGTCAGCTGTTTCCTTTGCTAGTCTTATGCCAGTCGGGTAGGCTATTGTATTTTAAAATAAATTATTAAAGATGTAGACTATGTACACTTTGTAGTGGTTGATAACAGTAAAAGTCATTAGCAGTTGACTTTGTAAGTCATCCATACCCACCTTGATTAAAGTCCAAGACGTCTGTTCTTTTTTCTTGAACTCACTTCATTCGCTGTGGATGCTGCTGTGTTTGTTTACTTATTCGATGTGTGGCCAATGGTCAAAGAATAGAGAAGTTGACAAGACCCGACTTGGCTTGATTGCAATGACACAATAATGATCGAAAGCCGAAAGGCACTCCTTTCGTACAGTGCTACGTAGTAGTACTCCAGAGTAGAGTACCTGGTACATGGAGTACATGGAGTCAGATCCCCGCCACTCCAATCTCTCCAGCAGATTTTCGCATCCTTTGGTCGGTAGGCAGATCCCTCATAAAATCCAAAACTCGATTTCTCAAGCAAAACGAAAAGCCACGAATATCAACCATGGGCAACACACCTCCCCTCAAGATTGCCTCCCGCAAAATGAAAGTCGAGCCTCAAGCCTTGTTGGCAGCAATGGAACGGTATGGCGAGCTCACTGAAGAAGATATTGCGCGCGCAGGAAAGATGATTGGAGAACCCAAAAAGAAATCCAAGAGGAAGAACCGCAGAATGAAAGACGCTTCTTCTAGCACTTCCTCCTCATCGTCGGAAATCTCTTGTGCAAGTACTGGAACTGAAAGGATGTCTCAGCAGTCGGCAGTTTCTGATATGAGCCCTCAGATGATCTTGAGAATGCTGGAGCAGGGCAACGACGCGGAGAACTTCTTCGCTGCCGTCAGAGCCACAAGACACATTCCCTGCAACGAGAATGAAGACGACGACTGCCTGCTCCCAGAATCCATCGGCTACGTGCAATGAAGCTTGATCAAAGCGCATCTCATTCTAAAATCCTGTACCTATAGCTAATTCCCATGCATGGCATTTATAACACCACTACTACACAATATCTACTGTACGGAACATTCTGTATGTACGAGCTCTACATGTCCTGACTAAGCACAGATTGCGGCAACAGCTGCGGCAGCAGAGGCTCAACTTTACATGTAGTTCGGAGGGAACAGAGGGAACGGGCCATAGATCGCCTAAAGATTCGAGGGCGACTGTGCGGTCTCTTACAAACCGAAAGTTTCCTTTCAAAAGCCTGAAGTATGCAAAAGGAGAAGTCCTTTTCAAACAGTGCTGAAATAGACCACCAAACTATTAAGAAAGATGTAAGGATATATGTGGTCACTGGTCGGGCTCGTCCCTTTGGCTGCAATCATTTGTCCTGACTACAACGGACAAGTGGTTGCAGCCTGGAGAGTCTGGACGGGGTGCTGCAGCATGCTACTAGTACATGATTGGGCAGCTCCAAACAAACCAGGTTTCGATGATTCGAGCTTTTGGCCGCGAGCTGCCATTTGGTTCTGGAAAGTTGAGTGGTGGTTTGACTTTGTGGTGCACCACAGGTTCCAAGCTTCTTTTTCTCAGCCACTGGGACCAAGGTTCACGCGATATTAGAGGTTTGGTTGGTAGCCACCTCCTTCGTCGATCATCGCCAACCGGATTACATACCACTATGTACCACAGACCAGGCTTTTTATTCCAGCCTCCATCCAGATATCTCCCGAGTGGCAAGTTGCAAGTTCGCACCTTCATGGCTTTCTAAAAAGGAACCCAGGTTGCACACAAGCGACACCCTCTTCAATTCTATTTCGGTCACTTATACCGGTACTTGTAACTTGTATCTATCCACGAACTGCAAACCACTACTTTAGTCACTAGCCACCGGCACTTGTATCTATCCACGAAATGCAAACCACTACCGGTACGAGTTTCGGTACTTCAGTAGCTCAGGGTGGTACATGTACCGTCAGCCACTACAGTAGTAGACAACTGGAGTAGCTACTAGACTACTACCCGTAGCCAGTATCTGAGAGTTGGGGGTTGGAGGGTTTTGAGTTTTGAGACAGCTGTTTTGAGGCCTCTTTCTACGTGGGTTTCCACAAGATCTACCCTATGTCTTTACTCTTTCGGGGTCGTGGCCCTAATCCGTTGCCTTTGAAGAGAACTAAAGGCTTGGTCTCAGTGTTCAGAGGAAGGCTCTAAGAATCCTGAAACCATGACACCATGACTGCTTTACTTTCACGTGCAGACACAGTTCCTGGCTTTACAGAAATTTTTGGGTTAGAGACCGATGTCTCTTCTTCTTTTTTGGCGTCGATGTACCGCTCTCCGTACCGGTGGGGCGTCTAGATAGTAGGATTTTCGATCAACCAGCTTTTGCAGCTCAACTTTCTCTCATTATTTTATCCAACCCATCAAGATAGCAACCTTCAGAAAATCCAACATCAGCCAAACCAAAAAATGGGCAACGCCAATTCCACCGCCATGATCCGAAAGTCGCTTGTTTTGCGACAAAAGAAGGGTCAATTGATGACAGAACAACCCGCCACAGCCAATGATCAGGTTCCCTCTGTTGTCAAGCCCCAGCATTTGTTGGCTGCATTGGAGCGATATGGAGAATCCAACCCAGAAGAACTCATCATGATGGGTCTCTCTGGCAAAAGCACGGAAACCCGACGCACTTCTGCAACGGATTGGGAAGACAGTGCTCGAACGGCATCGTCCCGGTCCACAGACAATGCTATGCCATTCGAAGACGACATGATGGGCACCATGGAACCTCAAGAGATTTTGCGAATGCTGGAAAACTATGGAACAGCCGGGCATGCATCCAGTGCAGATGCTGCCAACAAGTATTTGCAAATGGCCAAGGTCTTGCAAGAATGCGACATGGACGAAGAGCATGACGATATCTCGTCTCTGGTAGACATGGCTACTGGGTGGTAGGAAAGCCTTCTTCTTTCGATCTCTTAACATCCAGCTTTTCCCTGCTGTTTCTGTGTTTCACATGCTACCCTTGGCTTACAATAATTCATAACTCCTATTCTACTACTAGCTAGTCATTCATGATGTACCATCTACCTACCGCTATCGAAGCTTTGATATTCACGCACCTTACTTGAATGAATCCTCCAACTCTGCTAGAGGCTTTTCCAGTTCTAGTATTCTCTCCTGTGCTGGAGAGGGTAAAAATGGAGCGGCACAGAAAGCAAGGTTTCCCACCTGGAGGAGAAGCATGGCTGGAAGGGTACAGCTAGCACTAGCTACCGTCATTGCCCTGCTTCTAGAGAAGTCATAGGATTCAGCAAAGAGTGACTGATGAACTATATTTACATATTTACTACTCTGGAGCCGAACCACCAATGACCAATGGTTGGATCTCTGGTAACTGTGCAGCTCTACTCTTTCATTACATGTATCTGACTCATCAGTGGTGGGCTATCTTTTCTAATGTTGTTCTGGATTTCTATTGTTCTCTATTGCAAAGGCCGCAGTTGAGGCACTGAAGGTTTGCCTCGAGAACTGCGGGTTTGTCTTGTCCTTCCACCGTTCACCCGTCTTGCCGTTTTAAATCTAACCATTGGTCCGTCCTCCGTCCTTGGATCTTCACGCGGATCTGGAGCAAACAGCCAAAGAGCACAACAACACAACAAACAAAAAAGACCTGCACCATGACGGAACCGGATGAGTTGTACACGCTTCGAGCCCAGTATTGGTTGGGCCACTATGGTTTAGCCATTGAAGAGGCCAAGTCTGTTGTGAGGCGCCCCATGAGTCCTCAGCTCAAGCTGGAACGAGAGGAATTCTTGTTGCGAGCACAGTTGGCATTGGGACAGTACGATAAAGTCATTGCGGGGGCCGCGGAAGCTGGATCGGATCGACCAGGTAGGAATATCGTCAAGGATTGAGTAGTATTATTTGGCTGTTGTCTTGGTATTAAATATTAACGTTGTGGTGTCACTCGGTTGTTTTTGTCTTGCACTAATTGCCGACAATCCACAATGATCGCTTTTGTGTTATTAACTATCAGCCATGCAAGCTTTGGGCTTGGCAGCCCAGTACCACTCGGCTCCCAGTGCTTCCGCCAAGGAATCCATTGTGGATCAGCTCAAGGTACTCTCTGGATCCTCTGGCACTCCAGGTGTTCAGCTCGTGGCCGCTCAGGTATTTTTGGAGGCTGGTTTGCAAAAGGAGGCACTCCAGTGTGTTCATTTGGGAGCCACCATGGAGCACATTTCCATTGCTCTGCAAGTCTTTCTACGCATTGATCGTTTGGATTTGGCCCAACAACAACTGCTCAAACTGAAACAAAAGGACGAAGATTCCATTTTGACCCAATTGGGTGGAATCTACTGCAACTTGGCGGCCGGTGCCAGTGGTGCTGCCGATGCCGCGCACACGACCAATGCCCTCTTTGAACAATACGGACCTTCTCCACTCCTGTTCAATCTCATGGCGTGTGCCCTCATGCTCAAGGGATCCTATGTCGAAGCCGAACAACGACTTCAAGAGTGCATGCAGGAATTCCCCGACAATATCATTCCCGATACTCTCATCAACATGATTGTCTGTTCCCAACATCAGCAAAAGCCAACGGCTCAGTGGCTCACGCAAATGAAAACCACCTATCCCTTGCATGCCTTTTGTGCTGGTGTCGATCGAGTTCAGGCGGCATTTGATCGTGAAGTGGGTAAATACAAAATTTAAATAGGAGACATGAAAAAGGCAGGAGGTTGAGAGGTTGAGGAACAATTGGAAGGAAAGAACGACATTTTCTGCAACGGTAGAGTTTGAAGAGGAATGGGTGGTGAATGCGAGGATAAGACGGCGTCAACGACAATCCTCCAGCTATATAATAGCGAATTGAAATTAGCTGTTTGGTCAAAATAGCACATTTCTTTAGCCTATTGTACAGTAGCTAGCTAGGAACTTTACTCGAGGCCCAACTCCTGATACCTGGTCGGCGTAATCTTTTGAGTAGAACTAACTTTGAATGACAGCTTATCCAGGTGAACACAGAAAAGAAATGGACAGTTGCTAGAGTATCGGCCTCTCGGGATGGAATTATAGCCAGGTGAAATAAATAGTCTACGAATACGTGTGGGAACGATTTCTCTCCGAGCTAATAACGTGCCAATAGGAAGCGGGAACAAGTGTAGTTTGGGTATAATAATGTTTCATGCGAAAGAGCTTGGAGAATCAGAATCTGCTGCTTCCTTCATCTTCAGCAAATTGTATTGTTTATGCAACGTAACATACGTCGATTGCATGGGTATATCATTGTGGTTCGCTTGGATACACGACGATAGTGTGATAGACACCAGATAATAACACCAACCAGTAAATCCCACATGCTTCAATCAATCAATCGATCGATCAATCAAAGTTAAAGTCAAATAGCCCATCGAACCAATCGGCACCCCCATCTCGTCTGAAAAAGATGTACCAAATCCAAAAGGCAATCCCCAGGCAAACGGCTAATCCGGAATACTTGGGTGATTCTCTGGCGTGCCCAATGGCATCCGAGTACCGTCCTTCTTTCCAGCACTTGTCGGTCATGCACGAATGGTAGACGGCCAATATGCCAATCGGTGGAAATAGAATACATGATACCACGGCGTAGCACTGATTCGTGTCGGGTCGACGGGTCGCATTCAAAGGCGTGTCCAGTGGATTGTGGTGGTTCAAGAGGGTATCATCATATTTCGTTGGGGCATGTTGTCTTGGAAACATACTCCGGAGATAATTCATGGTTGAAGTGGGAGTATTACCAGCTAAATCAGTATTCATAGATGAAGCATGAGGATGAACCCAAGATCTTCTGCCAGTGGATGTTTCCAAGTAGTAGATTCGGCCATCATTGGGGTCCATGACAGTCGCCCAACCGGGAGGGACCGTGGCATATTGACTACCAGTACTGCTGAACAAAGACGGATGGCTTTGATGCGGCTGGGGAACCACTACCGGAATCCCACCTGTTGGATGATGCTGATGATGTGACGGTGCATGCCATTGCTGTTCCGAGGTAGCTTGGGACGAGGACTGCATTATCTCTTAGTTAGAAGAAAGGAAGGAAAACAAATACCACCAGCAGCATTCGTCTCCAACAACACAACAACAACACAACGAAGAAGTGGCGAGAGGCGAAAATGAGCGAGGTTTGTATCGAGTCCCGAGAGATCACCACTCGTGAAGCGAAGCAATGCTGACTTAGCCTCCTCCGCCGCCTAACGGGGGAATGTTTGTTCTCTATTGCAACGTGTCCATCTGGGAGCTATCATAGACAGCCATTGCCATTCTATATATGTAGTTTGACAGATCAGCTAAAAGAATCCAAAGGGGCTAGGATGACCACCCCTATGACAAGTTACTTGTACCATACGGGGTTCAGAAACGGTGCACGGTGCATCCAAGATTACCAGCACCACGGACAACGGAAGGTAGGAAGGACAATAGATATCTCATCGTTCCTCAGGCCAGGAGACCCTTGAGCGCTTCTGCGACACTCCCATCAAACCAGTTCTGCGTGTTTGTCTCGGCTCGTTCATCCCCATAGCTACAGAAGGGGTCCGAGATGTGGCCAACGCTCTCCTGCAGGCAGGACCAAATCAGACAACGGCCAAAGGAGGCGGTGAGCAGCAATGGAACAAGTACATCACACAAACACAACAAAGAAAAGAGCGAGCCCAGGCTTGAACTTACCACAGTCAAGAAGTAAATAAAATCTCCTGGATAAAACACCGGGTTGGAGTCATGGAAACAATCGTCACTTCCACGCTGGTAGTTCAAGTCAATAGTTGCAACAGGATCACCACGTGCTGAGGATGTTGTGTAAAAGTCAAACCACAGTTTGGTGGGGCTTTTCTTGGGACGGTTGTACGTAAAGGTGTACTTGGCCGCCCCATCCTCGCCTATTGTTTCCGTCAACAACGCGGTCGTGTTCATCCAGACTTCTTCTTTCCCCTCCTCTTCGCCTTCTAACATTAAATCATGCATGATGACTTTCTTGATGCTGGAAGCACGAGGCTTTCCCGCAATGTTACACGAACTGGAAGATGTAAAGTCGCTGGCGGTTGGCGGATGATTGCAACCCCATTGAAAGTCGAACTGGAACTTGACGTAATCGGGAACGCAAGGGCAGGGATACCCGTCCACAGCAACAGCGCTCACGAGCAACAGCAACGAGGACAACAGCAACATCTTTATGGGATCTCGTTCACGGAATACTTGATTGCTAGCCACTTCTTGGTTGGATAATGACTGTCGCTCTCCCAAAAGAAAAGAGGATGATGTCGTTTGGTGGAGCCTGGTGGACTCGGATAACAATCGACATCCAGTCTTGGATTGGATCTTTTACCGAATCTTTGGGAGCAAGCACGAATCGAATCAAATCGAATTGAGCTTCAAACTTCAAGAGGAGATGGCGGTGATACGGAGGTGGGGAAGGACAAGATAGATAAGCTGAATCGAGGTTCCTTAGAGATGATGGAGGTTGATGGTTTCTAAGTGCTTTAAAACTTTGTGGAGTAGGATGGGTGCTCATGGTCCTAAAGCAAAGCAATCCCACCTTCTAGCTAGCCTATTTGTTCCATGTTAGAAACTCGACCCCACTCAGCTTATTTTGGGTTGGTGCATTAGAATAGCAGGTACTACCGTAGTGCCGAGGTGGACCCCTGCATCATCTGTTGTTCCCCAACGCTGTGTGCTTTCTTCCCTGCCCTCTTGACTTCCCTCCACTCGTGACTGAACTTTTCTCATCTTTCTCAAATCGCAGCTGCTTCAACTTCGCCGTCAGTCCTCCTCTCCCCATGCCTCACTTTTGTTTCTTCCCCGCCAAAATCGACCATGAGGCTAACCGTAACCGCGTTACTGACCCTATTTGCTTCCCAGGCAAGCTTGTCTCCTGCCTTTCTTCTCCCACGGCCACACCAACGATCGAGGCATCTGTTTTCTGTCGCCGAGGAAACTGTGACTGCGAGCGATGCTGATGCTACCACAACCGAAAATAGACTCGACGCCGAAAAGAAATATTGGGAAATTGGTCCTACCCCCTTTCACCCCGAGCCACGGCCTCTGACTCCCGAGTTGGAACAAGCATTGCTGGAATCGCGACATCCCCACGAAAGCCAAGACGAGTTGGGTCGCGGTGTCTTTCTCACAACTGATTGGCGCAAGGCATGGTACAGCTATCAATCCCCTCCTTCCAATCCCAATCTGATTGACAATGACACTGGGGAAGCCTTTTACGAGATTTCTGAGGACAGTATCGAAGGAACCTTACCCGAAGATTTGGTAGGAACTTTATACCGCAATGGGGCCGGGAAACTGGGCGTAGGAGGCGAACGAGTGCAACATGTTATGGATGGCGATGGATTAATCTCTCAGATTGACATTGGACCTTATCATGAAAACAAGCAGCAACGAAGAGTCACATTCCGATCCAAGTTTGTCCAAACCAAAGGATTGCAAAAAGAAATTGAGGCCGGCAAATTCATGGCCAGGGGAGTTTTTGGAACTGCTCCTCGGGGTTTGACATCACTGTTCCCGCCACCCAAACGAGGTGTCAATGCGGAGCCATCCACCCCGCCACTCTTGTCTCGTGTCGCCGGGAATGCCTTCGATACCACTCTCAAAAACTCGGCGAATACACATGTCGTGTCCTTTGGAGGAAAGTTGTTGGCACTGTTCGAAGCAGGCTTGCCGTATGCATTGGATCCAACGACACTCGAAACGATTGGAGAAGATACCATGGGAGGAACTCTACCAGGCAAGGACAAACTAGCTATCAAAATGATTCCTGAATTGCGGGACAAGTATCAACCAGACTTTATGGGTGGAGCGTATCACACTGCTCATCCCAAATTGTGTCCTCGAACGGGTCACTTGGTCGGGTGGCATTACAGTCTCTTGTTGCCCGACTCGGACGCTTTGGAATTAACGTTCAACGAATGGTCGCCCAAGGATTTCAGTCTGGTGGCATCCAAAAGCTTTCAAATGCCCAACAATGATTTGGCACCACACGATATGGGCATGACAGAAAACTGCATCGTCATGCTTGTAAACTCATTGTCCATGAATCAACTGCCCTACCTACTGGGCGTCAAGGGGCCTGCGGCCAGCATGTCGATGAATGGACGGGCCAATGTGTACGCACACGTCTTTCCCAGACCGACCGCATCCAAGCAATTTGAACCCTTTGTGGTAGAGGTGCCACCATGCTTTTCAATTCACTTTAGTCATGCCTATGAAGACGAAACGACGGGCAATCTGGTGGCCTTCTTCTCGGGATGGCCACCCTCTGATTCCAAAGACTTTCTAGGCGCCTGGGGTGGCTTTTGTCCCGATTTCAAAGTCATTCCACCCACGCACATTTGGAGACTCGAAATCGACCCGCAAACCAAGCAATTCGTTGATATGCGGGTTGCCAATGACTGCATCAATTCATGCTCCGAACACATTGTCTGTCATCCCAACTTCCAAACCAAACAGGCCAAGTACGTGTACGCTATTACTTCCAACCTGGTGGGCGACTCATCGGCTCCCGTTGGATACACTCGACATTGTGTGGAAGACGGCAGCAATCGTCAGCTGCAAGTTGGAGAATACAACTATGAGATCGATGCGTACTGGTTCGGTTCGAGGTGTTTTACTGACGAACCATTGGTGGTTCCCAAACAGGGTGGCAACCCAGAGGATGAAAGTGATGCTTACTTGTTGGGTATGGTGTTTGATGCAGTGCAACAACGGTCCTTCTTGTCCATCTTTGACTTGAAGCAAGACATGAAGAAAGGGCCAGTGTGCAAGATTTGGTTACAGTCGCACATCCCACATGGTCTGCATGGCTGCTTTGCGGCTGATGGACCCGGAACTTCTTCGGTGTTTTGTTGATACGGTACCAAGACGAAAGCAGTCTTGCTGCGCATATTCATTGGGTATGCTGGTTGACCCTGCCTGATGTAGATGACACGGAATGCTAAAACCTGTAGAACGCTTTGAAGCGTCTATTGCAACCAACTTGACAACTCTTGCATGGGGTTAATGGAGCTCTGACGTGCGTGCGGTTTTCAAGTGTGGGGCGTGATGTCTCCAGCAGCCACGGGAGCAGAGAGACATGAAAAAAGCGAGATGGCGCGGAACGACACCCACGGCCACTCTTCCAGTGTTCACAGATCGTATGCTGCCACTGCATGTTCGCCCGGGAATAGTGCAGACGGTGGATATTTGACATCGTGGCTCTGGTCGGAGCGCGTAGTAGGCAACCAACGGGAAATCGCGCTCGTAGGACCTTAGTCGTCGCTTGACTGCTCACTGTCAGTACCTCTAGCCAGCAAACGACAGTGAACAATGATGTTGGTGGCTACGTGGAATGTGAAGCATGAGTGTGATCATGAGTAGCTTGCTTCGCTAGCTCGGTGACCAGAGGTTTTATTGAAGTCGCTGGCTCTAGTGGGTTTTCAGGCGGACAACACAGTATGGATAACCTGTGGTACACTTTGATTGCTGCAATTGGTTACGAGAAGGCTCTGTGGGGGCTGTCAAAGGCGAATCGAATCAATTTCCAACCTTAAAAACCCTGCGCTCTCTTTCCATGCAAACCAAAGCTGCTTGCCACGATCGTCAAGCTGGTAATAGAATCGAATCAGATGTAGTGAGAACACAATTTACTTGGGTTAGATGAGGCGATCTTCTCGGGAATCGGGAGGATCTACTATACTGTCTAAAGATCAATCTGCATGCTGTTACCAGTCCTAGATGCATGTAGAACCCACAGGAGGCCAGATCCCAGCACAACAAGACTGGAACATATTAATTAATAATCTTCCTCATCTTCGGCATCATCCGAAAAGCCCCTCAAATGCGCACTATCTAGTCCATGAATATATGAAGTCAACTGATGATGTTTCCACAAGCTCTTGCTTAGGAGAATATCATCTAGCTGCCACAAGATATGCGCTCGTAATGCTTCTCGTCCTCCCTTGAGTCGGTTGCCCACTTCATGAATGCTACAAGCGCCCCCCAGTCGTCTTGGTCGCAATAAATATGCTCGACCAGGCGTGGCCAATCGCAGCTCTTCTCCTTCACTCCCGTGTGCATGAGACCTCAAGCTTGACATGGTCAAGGAGAATGCATCACCCATCATGTTGAGTTGCTTCCCTCCAAACCATCCCTTGCTCTTGATGGCTTTTTGGGACCGATCCAAGAGACGATCGAAGCTGGCCCTAGATGCTCGACAAATAATATCATCACCATAAAGGATGGAAATGATAAACTCCGATTGGACATTGGCCGAGATGCAGGGAGGAGCTCCCAAGCTAACACAGGAAGTTCGGTCCTCTCCCAGACCTGACAGTGGCTGCACTTTTGTGGCATTGGCATCCGAGGTAGCATTCATTGGAAGCTCGTCATTGGATGGGCTTTCCTCGACTGGTGCAGCTGATTGGTTCTTCTTGGCCTTTTTGTTTTTCTTGGGCATTGGAAGACTTCCATCTAACATAACAGCAGCAAGACTTGCAACACCACCCGCCAAGGATCGCCCAACAAAGTGAATTGCTGAGGTTGAATTGTCGTATTTCCGAAGAGTGGGTTCTAGAGTCTCCAGCAACACCCCTGCTGCCTTGTACAAGCTGGGCTGCACCGAAGCCACCTCACCACTTACAAGCCCTGAACTGAGACGCACATGTTTGGCTGGCTGATCCAACAATTGTAAGGACCGGGTCAAATCTTGTCGTAGTTCGTCACTGATAATCACGAGCAGACGTCCCAAAGTAGACTTTTTCCTCTTCTTGTCAGTTTGTTCTTCAATTCCACCATGCATCAAACCAGCACCACCTGTATAAGCTGGTTCATACAGAACCACTACTGATAGCTTGCCCTTTCCAACGGAAATGTTGCTTTCTTGTACTGTCAGATTCAACAGCACTTGACGACCCACCAGAGTCCCATTGACTGATGCCTTTTCCTCGTCCAATAATGGAATTTCAAGCAATTCACAGAGTTCACAGGCTCCAAGTCCATCAGCTGTAGCAGCAGCTCGAGCGGCACTCCGTCGTGCTCTGCCTCTAACCGACAGATCGACATAATCTCCCGTATGGGTCCGTTGATAAGCCTCATGAGCGGCTCCATCCAAACCCTTGAATGTTTGCTGCGATGATGATAGCTGGACAAAGGCATCCGCAATATCTTCCACTTCCAGTGGCAAAGAATCTTGCATCGTGTCTGCCAAACGATCTTGAATGGCACGAGCGACAGAAACAAAGGGATCTTCATCACCACTTTTCCTAATAATACAGGAAGCACCTCCACGTGTTGATAACGATTGTATACCGGTACCTGTTGGGGGTCTCTTCTTTTTTAAAGTATCACCTGCACCAAAACTGGAATTGGCTTCCACATCATGGTGGCACATTAGGCACCAAGCTACAAGGCATGGTCCTAGTGCTTGCAGTACATGTAGTGCTGGGCGTCTCACCATCTTTTTCTTTGTTGGGCTGTTGGATGTTGTGACAGCATGGATCTTTGGATCAGGTGCTCGCAAATGACTGGACTCGCAACAGCTCTGCTGGCACAGACTTGTTCTGATTTGGGTCCAACCCCGAAAAATAATGTCCATGGGATCACAACACTCAGTTTCATTCTAGCTAGTTGTAGCTTTCTGCCATGTCATCCACTGCAGGCAAAGCAACGACCCCCAACTTCCGCTATCTATCAGCATGGTTCTGCCCGTTTGCTCATAGGAGTACTCTGGGGTTTGCCCACCACAAGCAAAGGAAGGGTCGAATATGAATGGGTAGAGGTGAGTCTAGAGCGAATTGTCATTCTTCAGTCTACTAGCTATTTTCTTTGCCTTCTTAGGTGATGGGTTGGATCATTGGACTCAACTCGTATTGCAGTTTCATGGCTAATATTTTTACCACCTCTGTGTCCACCTTCTCTTCCCTTGTTTTGTGGTTCATTGGCATTGGTAACTGATCTGCGAACGAGTAGTACCCCCCTCCCCGCCCATACGGGTACTACACAAAGATCTCATTGCTGTTGCATTATTAATCCTGTATGATTGGATTTCAGTCCCTTGGCTGCGCACTGTCAGCACTCTAGTAAACAAAAGCGAACATGCCGTTGAGCTGCACTGAATGTGAAGCAGGAGTGTGGCTGATCAGTAAGTTTGCTTCGTTCGTTCGGTGACTGAGAGTTCTGATTGAGCGAAGTCGCTGGATGTAGAGAGCGACAACAAGGTTTTCAGGCGGACAACACAGTATGTACGTTTTGTGCAACGGTTACAGCCAGTGAAGAGCGCAGACAATGACAGCTTGGTCGACGATCTATGTGTCTTCCGGTTTGAAGCTGCATAACATGCCAATCCAACTTTGACCCCATCCTTCCTCCCAACCAGCGGGAAGCTACCTAAGACTTGCGTGAGGGCGAAGCAACGTTCCAGATTCAAGCTTTGGCCAAATGCAAACTTAAAAACTATAAGGGGGTTCTCTACAAGCTAGTCTATCGAAAGCTGTCTCGCTATGTGCGGTGCGGCTCGATCGATCGCTGAGTTCGTCTAATGACCGGGAAGGACTTCAGGGATGTTTCCGAGTTGTTCGTGGACCATGATTCCAAGGATTCCCATTTGAGCGGCACGTCCATTGTTGAGCTCGATGGTCCTCTTGTTTCTCTTCCATGCATCGGATTGCTTGTCCCATCCAAAGTCCAGGGCGCCATTGCGGAAGTCACCGGGGAATTCACCCATGGGCTCTCCTTTTGCGGCAATTCCAGCATCTTGGTTGACCATTTCCATCAAAGCAACAGTAGCAACGAATTGTGCCCAGACCAACTCGGGGATGGCTCCGGACTCGAGGGCTGCGAATCCACCGGGGATGCCTTCAGCGCCAGGGAAACGAATTCCAGCATCGGTGGTAAGGTATCCTACGACGGCAAGCATGGCAATGCGGCCGTGCTTGACTTCCACAAGACGAAGACGGTCAAACTTTGCTTGGTCCGCATCGAACAAAAGACCCAAAGGATCAAAGAATCCAAGAGGTGCTTGGACACCAACTTCCTTCGAGAAATCCACGCCAGCCAGTTGGGTGCTAGTGGTGGAGACGGAGCTCTTGGACGGAGCAAAGGCGGCCGCAGCGGCAATAAGAGAGGCGAGGATAGCTGACTTCATCATGGTTGGGCTTTGCCAGAACAGAAAGATGTGTGTCGTTCCAGAACAAGGCCAAGGACAGAGACAGTTGAAGGCGAAAGATCAATCAAGCCGCATTGGGACCAACTGCCCAATGCTGGTGGTGTCAACGTTTCTGCAAAAATCAAATTGAAGCCGTATCTTTGCAATGACAGGGGTATCTTAGTAGGGGCAGGGATATGTCCCTTAAGATTCCCGGCAGAGCTGTCAAACAATAAGGCAGACGAATACCCAAAGTAATATCGATCTGAAGCCTACTAGTACCGAGCACAGCATGGCTCAGACTAGTAGCTAGCCACCGGCACCAATAAAGGGCAGATCCTAACTAAAACTATCCAGCAGCGAGAAGTAAGCTGGAAGATTAGGTGTGCAAAGATCGAGCTCCAGGAGAACCATGGTTGGTGGATTGTCCATTGTTTCCGAGCAACAATGGTAACTGATCAACTTGCTTGACGGAGGAATACTTCAATCCATCCTCGCTGGACACATCGCAGTTCCGAGTTGCGAGGGGTTACAAGAGCTGTTACAAGTATCAAAGATCATTATTTCTGTTTGCTAGCTAGAACACACGATGGTAACTTTTTGCCTTTCCACTGGTATTAATTAACTCAAAATTCAACCATGATCGAGTCGAGTCCATCCCCACTTCATTTCAAGGCTACAAGGTAACATTTTTAATGACCTTGCCTGATGAGTGGCTATTCGCCAGCACATAGATAGATGGGTAGCTTGGTAGCCAAGATCTTGCCTTTGATTGGCAAGCAAGGCAGCCAACCCGAACAGCCAACCAACTCCAGTACAATACTCAATACTCTTGTACGTACATGTAGCGGTGCAAACATACTGTACATGTTGTACATGCAGTAAGATGGCTGCTTAGCCCGGACTGGGAACGAGGGGCTTTATCAACAAACAGTTACTGTACCGGTACATGCAGTTGATGGATACTGGTACCACCTGGTAGACTAGTGTGTAGATCGGATTCAACAGCACCATCACCAGTTACTGCAGTTAGAAAGCCGATAGAGCTGGTGCTAGGGTGGTGTCTTCGTGCAGCTTACGTCGTGCCGAATTGCGAATGAAAAGGACTAAAACGAGCTCTAAAATAAATAATGTGAGATGCTGAGGAAGCTGGTATTCCCCTCATACACAAAGCAAGCAGACCAGTTGACCTTCCTGCTTAGGGGTATCTTGTAATCACTGTTTTCAACGTAAAGTGATGATAAATCAGATTTTACATCATAGAAAACAGGTGGACATACTATAGTTGGTCTGTACTGTCAAGCTGACTGGTACAACAAAAGAGTGGAATGGAATAATCTCAAAAACCCATTGTGCACATAGCATCTCTCATCCACGATCAGACTTGATAGCATTAAAGGCAGCCTAAGCTTTTACTAATTCTAAGTGGTGGTGTGACATATCTTCCCACGGGTACAGCCCGGTTTGTCTATGTATTCATGTCCCGTAAATCTCCCGCCTTTCTCACTCCACAGTTTCCCGCGGAGGGAACCTCATCATCGCAGCTTACTGCGTGCTGTGCGGTAGAACTAACTGTGTTTTCGGCAAGCATGATCGAGACCTGCAAGTTAAATACGTGTAATGCAATCTTGAGGGCTCATCTACTGACTTCCAGGCACCAGTCGTGAGAAAAAGACGTGTCGGCGCTTCACCCCATCTACACGGTGGTTGGCTCGCAGTTGGGCGCAGTCGCAGAGATCAGAAAGTAACAAATGGGTATGTGTTTCTCTTCTATTCTGGGACTGCAGAAGACGGAGACTTCTTCTTGTGTTAATTTTTCCAACTTGGCCGTCGGTGGTCGAGAATGAAAACCCCCGATCTCGTAGTATTTCAATTGGGATGGCTTTCTAAACTAACCAGAGAAGGCCGTTTGATAGTCGCTTGATAGAGGGTGGCAGGGATAGGAGTATCGATCCTGTCAACCGGGGTTGAATGAGGGCTTGAATGAGATAAAGGGAGGAAAAAGGGGTGTATGTTTTCCGTGATGACGTTGATTGATCCTATAGTAAAACAGTACTTTCAACAAGATAACAGAAAAAGGCTTCCTGAGGTCCTTCGCTTCGTTTCAATGCTTCTAATGGTGCTAATTGGTAGTGTATATGGTATAGGTATGACGATTGGTTGTGTTTGTTTCTATTGTGTGTTGTTGTTCTTGTGTGACAGATCCAGAGGGGAAGCGCTTCGGTGTTCGGCTTCCCTTGGAAAAGTGACTCTGACTGAGTCTCTCTGATAGTTTTGAGACAGTGTTCTCATGACGCTCTAGTCTATACTAGGTTGATGATGAAACATCGCTTAGATATTTTAGCAGCGTGGAGTACTTCCACGCTACTAGATCCATCCTAGACAAATCTTCACACGCGTTCGTTTTAGGATCGTGGAGATTAGGATTACTACCGCAACCTACTCTATACATTTTATAGTCTCCCGCGGAGACCAGATCTACGATCCCTGTATGATGATCTCTCTCGGTTGATTAGTTTTCATTAGCTTTCTAATCTTCTCTTAACTTTAATTTCTCTCAAACTCAAAACACTCAAAGATTTTACACTAGCTTTAGCGTAGTCACTGATTTGGGAGGAAGTTATAGCGTTGCAGAAGCAGCTTGAGGAGGAAAGGCAAAGATGAGAAGCTGAGTTTGGAAGGAACGAACTGATTCGGATGCTACTATGATGAATCGGTAGCCAAAACGATGTCCATTTTATTGTCACCACCGATGAAAGGCTCCGATGAATAAGGAGATGAAGACGGCAATCAAGAACACTGACTGGCGGAGTTCAAGTTTGTCAACAGCGACAAGCTGCAATTGCCCTTACCACGGCCACTCTTGATACTATGCAGTTGAAGGGGCTGATGTTGACTGGCAATTCAAAGAAGGACAGACGTACATAATTGAGTTGGTTTTGCTTGCGGATTGTCTGATGCACCTTGCAAATCTCACACGGCTACCTCCCTTTTCTTGCGTGCTGACATAGGTATTAAGTCCAAGCGCAACTGTTCATCAAGCTCTGGTCACCTATTGCAGTCAAGACCCTCAATGTTGTACGCAACTATGTTTGTAACCGAATCTTTGAGCATGTCAAGAAGCTTGTCAAGGTACTGGAGTGGAAAAGTTCCCACCATGATTGAGTCCTGAGGTGATCAAGCGGGATGCCATCTTGTTGCACCTGGAGAGGGAGCCACTGAGGTGCGAAGGCACAGCATGAGCGACTCATGTTTGTTGCTAAATGGATGTGGGATTGCTCTTATGCTCAGGCTGGTTGTGCATCCAAGTTTTGGAGAAGGCAGTTCGCAAGAACTACATCATTTCGGAAGCCGGTTGATGGTTTGGAGGCTTCCCTCCCAATTCGGAAGCATTTGCTGCCCTCGCTTCGAGAAGGTTACACAGCGGAACCAGGTGCTGTGGACAATGAAGGCAACGCTACCAATGGAAAGTGGCACAGTACTTCAAGGTTACCAATGGCTTCACCTTGGACGTGAAGTTGCCTCGCTCCAGCAAAGCAGATGATCCGGAGGGAGTTTATGAAGGGAGGTACTCCAGTTCGTATTGTCTTTTTTGGAGGGTGGGGTGATAAAGGCCTTGCCGCTTCAAGGATTTGCAGAAGTTGTCAAGGAATCTAGAGCCAGGACCATGCTAAATTGTGGAGCGGGCCATCCTTGCTCGTGTGCGCAAGGACATCTACAAGATTCCTGATAGTGTCGATGCTGGAACTGAGGACTCCAAGAAGAAGCGCAAGCGCCAAGAGTCCAGTGTGAATCTTGATGAGATTGATGATTAGGTTGCCCCTTGGCAACCTAGGACCCCATCATTTGGTGGGGTCCTACCCAGGCTTTTGGTGGCTTCCTCCACTTTCTTCAATTTCATTTCTCCCCTTTTAGCAGGGCTTCCAAGACGACTTTGTTACCTATGGCGTCCTTGTTTGGTTGCCCCAGCCGTCCTTTTTTGGAATCATTTGGACCCTTTTCTCGGACCTATGGATGCCCGTACCGTTACAGTTGGTTACATATGAGTGGCCTGTTTCTCCCCTTTTACTACGAACATTATGTCATTGTTCGCTTACCTCCACTACTCTGTTATTAGTAGTACCATAACGAATTTAGCCCCAATCATATCCAACATTGTGTACTGCTTTTCTCCATTTTGGAAACCCCTACTTATAGATTTAGTAACCTAGGACTCTTTCATTTGGGAAGGAATGGCTGAGCTGTTTTGGATTCCGGGGCTTGGGGAATAGCCTACAACTGCCCTTCTGTAATTAGCATCACAAAGTGCATCAACTTGTAAGCCATGTATAGAAAGGGGAACGGAATTCGGTAGAGGAATAGTGAACGCTTAGTTCAACATTCTGTAACCATTATGCCAATGACTTATGCTGCAATTGCATCTGTATATGCCTGAGTCGATCGTCTTCAATTAGTAGGATAAGAGGTTCTTGAATATTGCACAGCTGACCTCACAAAATGGGAAGGATCATTCCTCGGTGTTCTTGTACCCACCATACATAAGCGCGAGGTCAGTTACCGATTGGTAACCTTACCATCGACTGACCTGGCAATTTTGTAACCGACCCCGCTGTTTTCGCGCTACCCCATTATGCGCTTCTTAGATGAAGCAGGAGCAGCTCCAACCCGTGGGAAGTGGAACTCCTGTATGAAAAAGCAGAGCTGCTACCAGAGCACCTACTTGACATCATCTTCGAGAGGCCACTGAAGGAACAGATGGCCAAAGGGCCAGGAGATATCAAGTATGACTGGCCAACTGGTTAGCTACCAGTCGTCAACAAAGCACTACGCATGGAGCATGCACGCGAGGAGCATGCACAAACACGGTAACTATGTACTGACGGGGATTACCATAGAAATAGAGGGCGATTCAGCCAAGGGGCAGATAGTTAGTCGTACAGCACCTGCCAGGGTTTTTACATTTTCTCTGGCGGGGGCTTACACTAGGCCGGTTCCTAAGTGAGCGGCTCCGTGCGTCTGAGGTATGCCGGTTCATTATGGTATCGTTCAGTGGGATTGTCCATAGCAAGGTGTGACCTTAAAATAAAACTTCGTTATTTTATGGAACATCCAAAATTCAGAGTCAGCATTGTCAACCTGTTGATAGACAACGTTTGCTCGACGTCATAAAAGAACCGATGTCGCATGCGCAAGCAACTTATTGGCAGAGACATGCCATCTGCCCAGTGGTACATCTAAAGTCAGGTTTGGAGCGAACAAAGTGAGGGCCTTCCAGAAAAGCGGCCATGTTCTGCGATGTGATCCTTTGGTCGTTCTTGGGATCGCTTAAAATATGTTGTTCTTGGCATCAAGGGGCTGGAGAACCCGTGCCAGAACACCTCCCGGATATACGTTCCACAGGCAGTTGCGATGTCAGCTGTCACGAGACCTATCAATCAGTGTAATGTCATGCTAAAGGATAAGTGAGAGCTACTGTAATGTACTGGAGGGATATGGTCTGTACTGTGTCCGTAATTCAGCTGACTCTCTCCCCTAATCCAAGCTGGGAACTCAGGTTGGATTACAAAGAAAGGCTAGAAAAGAGGACATATGAGTATGCTGTAGAGTAGTTGGATAAGGTTGTAGGCATGGGAATACATCAAAAGGATGGGTTGTAGGGCAATTGCAGCCGGTGGTAAAAGAAAATGTGATGGTGGTGTGCCAACGGATGTAGGAAGCATAGCAACAGGTAGATGGGAGTCACCACCATGTAAGGTAGTAGTTGGGTCATCATCAGATAAAGTAGAGAGGGTGCGTTTGATGAAACTAATGAGGAGGGGATTGACAATTTAATTGTTATTTGTGCGTCATCTCAGTTATTGATTGTTGTTCCCTACTAGGATTGCCAAACATCTTTACGCGTGCTATTGGCATCCTCGACCAAGCTCGAAGACGTCCTGACGGTCTGCCTGGATTTGCAGAGAAGATGCCACCGAAAAAGAAAGTCACCCCGAAGAAGAAGACCTCACGGACCACTCCAGTCCATCCAGGAGGCGACCAGGAACCTACTGCGGCCGCCACTGCTGCTGCTGCTGCTGCGGCCACCGATGATGCCATGGGCAACGTGTTGGCGGGCATCCATAACATCAATTTTGATGCACGCCAGTACATCGGCACCCCAACCATTATTGTCAAAATATTTCAGAGTGACGATCCAGACTCACCCTTTCGTCGCTTGCGTCGTCGAGTCAGCATTCTTGCAATCGCCATGTCCGGCTGCAAGCCCGAAGACATCAACATTTCCCAAAAGCAAGTCACCGGTGGCACTAGGATTGCTGTTCGCTGGAGATTGCCATCCAAAATGTGCATGTCAGACTTCTTGCTTGGGACCATTGCTGTGGAAGATCCAGATATGGCGGATGCTATCGAGCCAGAGCTCCAGAAGCTGGCTGGCCAGTGGCAGTTGTATGAAGTTGATTTGGGCATGCAACTGGAAGGTTGCTTCTGCATCGGTCCTGGTCTTCAGCCGGCTGCAATGCATGAGCAACACTGTCGCTGGAATACTCCACCTGACAGGAGCAAGGGAGGGGCCATCTTTCAGGCCTTCTGCACGTTGGTGACAGCATTCGAGGTTGCCCAAGACAAAGGAGACAACCGCTACGATGAGTATAATGACTACAGCCTTTTCAACATGACGGAGGACCATGCCAACTACTCAATGACATGGGCCGCCGCAACAGCTTCTTTTAAAAACCAACCAGCACCTGCGCCTGCTGCCTAGCGGACACCTCCACATCAGCAGCGCCAGCCTACGTTCCGCCAACCACAAACAGTGCCTCGTCCTCAACGAACTACGATTGCTAGCAGCAGACCCGAAATAGCAGACCCGAAACCATGGCAGCCATAGTGCACCCAGGCCCGGCAGCAGCATCATCAACAGCAACAGCCACCCGAGGACTATCGCATGGGCTGTGATTGTGGGTGGAGCAAAGAAGAAGAACGTCGCCGCAACAAAGACTATGAAGATTACCTCGGCAGTCTTGCTGCCAGAGCCCTCAACCCCTTTAATTGTTTTTCCTGCTACGGCGGTCCCTGCAGGTATAAGGGTAGGGTTCGAATACAAATAAGTCAGCAAAAACTAAATAAGTATCCTAGCTAGGATGGTGCTTTAAAAAACCAGCTAAAGCTATACATGCATCCTTGTAGGGGGATTTGCTTCTACCAGGAAAAACTCTAAAGCCAGCGAACGCTATATAACTGGGACTCTAGCTAGCTAGGAGTATCTGCTTCTAGCTAACTTGCTATGGGAATCTGCTTCTAGCTAGCTAAGCGCAAGTTAAGCACTAGCTAAGCACTAGCTAAGCACTAGTAGAGGTATCTGCTTCTAGCTAGCTAGCTAGTCTAATAGGGGTACCGGTATCTGCTTCTACACTGAAACCTTTCTGCCGAGGTTACACAGCTCCGCTGGCTTAAATTGACCAGCAACAGGCCTCAGGCCGCGGTAGGAGGCAGCACCCGCCGTGGAAGAGAAGTGGAGATGTTAGAACACAAGCCACGGAGCAATCGGTTGAAGCCACCTGGGCAACCATCCGTGAAGGAGACACCACCAAGACCATGACCACCACAACCAGCAACACCGAAAGCAGTGCCGAAAGTGGCAACTGTGCCGGAGAATGAGGCCAAAGCTGATGAGATGGAGGTGGATGGTCTTCCCAAGACATCCTTCGAGGAAGAGAACTCTGGTCGATACTACAACAAGAAGCCATTCAGAGGCATGGGAATCTCCAATTCCACTCCTCCTCACAGCAATTGATGCAGCCCAAAGAGATCCCGTTAGGACATACAGAATGAATATGAACCACGGGAGAAGAAGGTTTCATTTGAAGACGATGACGATGACAACGGCGGATCGGCTAGGGTATCTCCGAACGACGATGGCTACGAAGATTATGATGACTATGCAGACAACTATGGCAGTGGCCCAGAGACTGAATAGGAAGAGCAGACTAAGCAAGAGGAAGACTACAACAAAACAGCAACAAAATTGACTCGACCATGGGCAAAACCACCCAGCTCCCAGTCAGCCAGAGCGTGCCCAATGTTGAGCACCTTTAAAACAACATCCAAGCAATCTTTGAAATGCTATGAAGGGAGGAGTTCCGTCAAGCCTTGGGAATAGTAGAAAGTAGGTGGTTGCTCGTCCCATCGCCGCTCCGGACAGCCACACAAGCATCCACAGCGCTGAAGGAGGCAGCAAGAGGAGCTCTAGCTAGAACATACCAGTAACTTCTGAGATAGCACACCAAGAAGCAGCTCGCCGTTTGCCTCCCACAAGCCAAAGCAGGACCGAGAAGATCTGATGATGGCAGACATGTGGCTGCTTTCAAATTATTCATTCAATGCTTTCAGGTCGGTTCGAGCGCTACTCTAGCTGGCTAAGACGATGTATTTTTTTAATTTAAGTGTGTGACCAGACACTGTAGATGGAACAACGTGTACCCGTTACCGGTTCGAGCTGATGGTTGCAAATATAAATAATAAATAATGAAGGCCCTCAGCATGCCGTCTCTTTCCTACAGTATCCGTAGACTAGTTCACTTTCTCAGTACATATCGTACTGTAACTAGGCCAGTACTAATACGAGCAGCTTCGATTTTAATAATTCAAACGCGTGCCGGCATTTCTGCTACAGTTCTACTAGAGCTCGTGTAGAAGTGTACTGAAAAGAGTGGCGCGCGTTTGAATCAATAAAATCGAAGCTGCCTGTACAGCGGTTGGGGTGACGGAGCGTACCACGAGACCACGAGCTACGAGCACATACGGTAAGCGCAGAGCCGCAGCTTCCGCTTGCCGAAGGGTGTCAAGTTTCTCCGATCATTCCTGGATGCCGCACCGGCTCCGTACGGCGCATCAAAATCAACAAGGCCCAACCGAGGATCCTAAGCGGAGCCTTTTTCATCAAAATGCCTTCACTGGTATGCTTCTTCATTAAAGTGGCCAGCCGGATCCCGACCAGAGAAGAGAGAGGAGCCTCCGTTATTATAATAACACAACAGAACTTCCCAGGAGGCATTTTCAAAGGCTCTCCATAGCACCCTGCAAGCCAAATCATTTATATTGGCCAAGAAGATTGTTGTTGACAGTTGGCAGTTGGCAGTTGGCAGTCAAGTCATCCCTGAAACAATCCAACTCTTTGTAAGTGATATCGGTACAGAGATCACCGTGAAATGATGTGCCATCCTAACGATCCACTCACAGCACCTCCCTTGTTTTCGATTGATATTGGTCTCTCCAGTAATATGATGCCCGACGTCTCATCGTCAACAACTGGTATTGGGCGCCTTCGCGGCGTCCAACGTTCCAGCTCCGGAAATAGTCGTCGCGCTAGCGGCGGCGTTCGACGTACCAGTTCTTGGGGCTTTCGGAGGACCACCGGCCGCAAAATCTCGGCTGCAGCTCACGCCGTGGCAGAGGCGCCAACGAATATCTTTGCATCGGACATGGTTGTCTCTTTGGACTTTGTGTCGGCTCGGCTAGATGAAGTCAAGTCGGACAAGTCAATAAGAAGGCTGGAGATAGAAGATCTCATTGTCAGTGCTCACCGGCCAAAGCTCATGGGGAAAGTAACCAAGCTCTTGTTTGCTGGAGATCGGGAATGGCATGCAATTTCCTTTGTGGATTCCATCCCGTGGGATCAGTTCAAGTGGTGGCAGGGGCGAAAGAGAATGGTCATGTTTGCCTTTGAAGGGTCTAAAAATACTGCTACGAGAAACAAGATCACATTCCAGGCCAACGTAGAAGTCTCCTCAGGTTTGGCTTTGAAAGAGTTTGGTTCGCTTCTAAGGGACATCAAAGGACAACAGGGCATCTGCAACGTAACCTTTGCTGGAGCACTCTTTGGATACAGCGAAGGCTCGGAGGCTCTCGATTTCATCGTCAGCGGGGATGGCACCTTATCAGAGATGGTCACCATCAAGATTTCGTTCGGTTGGAAAGCTGACCCCAACAGCTACGAGTTACTGGACGCTTGCATACAGGATATCGAGCTTAAAGCGTTCAGAGAAACGATCAACAGCACGGGGACCCAGATGAGACGTGTTCAATCCACTGGTGCTGCTTCGGCTCAAATGCGCGACTCCCTGAGGAACTCCAAACACAAGGACACGGCACCCCGTCCAGCTCTGAAAAGAAACAGTTGTGGCAGTGCACGCAGCAAGTCTCCAGCTCCCAGTAGAATCAAGCCCATTGAGTCCAGTGCTCGCAGCAACCCAATCTCACCACTTCGGCGCAACCGAACGACCGGAACCGTAGATATTGGGAAACAGGGAAGGCGCATGGCGATAAGCAAAGATATCCAGTTGCCTTTAGCAAAACTCAGGCGCAACAGATCCGCTGGCACTCTCAATGACAAATGTGTGGAGATACATGAGCGTAGGTCAAAGAGGGAAGACAGGAGAACACGGCAGAGGAAAACCAGGTCGAACAGTGTTCCTTCTTTGAACGCAAACAACGATGAATCCGATGACGAGCTTCCCTTGGTTAAGCGTGCCACGCTTCCTGCGGCCAAGTTTCGTACAAAAGCAAAAAGATCAATCAGCGCGCCATTGCCGGACCATGGCAGTGATAATACGGAATCGACCGCTGAAGGAAAAGGGGGGGAGAGCAGTAGAACCTCTGATGCCACAACCGCGGCCTTGACCGATTCTGATACTGAGGTGGTTTCATCCGGAAATCATTGTGCTGAACGTGAAGATGAATCTGAGGACGGACGGGTGGATGGCCCCGACTTTCAATGGACAAAACATGCGAAAGAATCAAGTAAGCGTGGCAAAGAGGCTTCTGGTGCTTCGAAAGATATGAGTTCTAGCAACGAAACAGCAAAGGAACCAGCGGATGTCAGTCACGCGCCTCTTGAATATTTTGACTGGGAGCTTGGCAAACCAGTGGCGATCCCCAGAAGAAGCAAGAGCGCTGGAAGCTTTAAGCAGCGAACGACGCAAACCGGAAGTGCTGACTGCAGCAATGTCGCACCACAAACCCACCTTTCGGCGTCACAGTCGCTGGGAAAGTTGAAATCTGGCCTGGCAAAGCAATCCCAAGGGTCCCAGAAGAAGAAGGAACTCACCCGCAAGTCGTCTGAGAGCACGGCATCTCCGATGCTAGTGCGCAACGGGGGCATGAAATCAAACTCCTCGGCGTCTTTGACGGCAGTCGTCAAATCTTCCAAAAATCAATCAAATACGAGCTCAGATACAAAACGTAGTGGTGCGGCAAGATCGTTGATGGCGTCAGTGGACTCCGCGAACCGTAGTTCGACTAGGAAAAAGGGGGCAGTCTAGAAAAGAAGGGACGGGGTGGACGAAGTGGAAGGGCAGCCAACAGAGACATGACGGCACAGAGCAAACGCCTCTCGGGCGAGTCACGACGGGAGAGGGCCTCCTCATGGACGGCCAAAATGTCACAAAGGTGGATTGTGGAAGCACTATCAATAGTACCAACAGGGGACGCCAACAAAAAGCTTGTGTAAACCTTCGAAGGCTAGCAAGTCACCAAATCCATGCATAAAAGACGCAGTTAGACAACGTGGCGCATCTAATCCATCCTATTTTAAAAATATTTCAGAAAGGATTCACTGCCACTCTTGCTTCTGGCTTCCTTGAGTGCCATTGACCAACTAACCGTACAACACCACCTCTGGTTCCTCTGTGTACTTCTCCTTGGCAAACAAAACATGATCATTGAAGAACTTCCCAATTTCATAGATGTCAATCTTGGAAACAAGCAAGCTTTGCTTGGTTTTAAGACACTCTACACGCCGAGGGAACCTCTCCTGTTTCACTTTGGATAGCTCAGTCCACAGATAGATCTCAGCATCACGATCAAGATTTCCAGCAGTTTCGAACTCATAGCCATAAACTTGGTGGAAAGGAATTGACTTGTATTTGACCCTCTTGCCAGACAATCCCTTAGTGTCAATCTGAATCAGCCTCCTGTTTGTGTAGGCATCAACATCTCGACCACTCTGGAATGCTCGGAGCACCTTTTCTTCATCAAGAAGGAGCAAGGGATCACTGCGGAGCTTTTTGTCAATCTCTGCAGCATCAATCTCCCAGCTGTTATTAAGAAGACCCATGCTCGACCCCTGGATGGGGTTGGCTTCTCGCTCACCACTTGAGACATTATGGGCTCCAAAGTCAACCTTGGAATCAGTGGGCAACCCAATTATGAGAGCAGACAAGAACCTGTTGATTTGGGCTATGTCGGCTTTGCCTGTCCTGAAGTCCATGTCAATCTTTGCCAAGTCCCAGCGGTTGCGTGTGTACAGGTTTAGCTCTGTATCACTGTCCCATACGCCAGCCGTCTCACACGACCAAGCACGAATGCTCTAATTCCCACAAGAAAACAATAGAAAGAGAGGTAAGACGCTCTTGTTGACCAATCTAGCCAATGACCACGGCCACTGCACGTACCTTGAACGGGATGCTTCTATACTCAACCTTCTTGCCAGTGAGTCCTTGCACATCAATGAGGAGAACACGATGATTGGTGCTGTTATGAATGAGAAGGAAACAATTTGGAAAGGACAAGGTTATGAGGAGACGACGAAGCCAAAATGCATAGCGCAGTGGCAGATGAAGCGATGCCAGTACTTACAAAACTGAGGTGTCCCGACCAGCCTTGAAAGCCATCAGGACGTGTTCATCATCTAGCAGCACCCTTGTGGATGTATGGAGCTCATGGTCAATGGCTTTGGGATCAATCTCTCTCTGGTCCCCTCCCACAACTTGCAGCAAACCTTCAAAGCCGAATCCTGGCTTGTCAAAATGCTGTGTCATGCCATCCATGGGAATGGGAGCTCCTTGCTCCATTTGCATCCTGGATGTGACAAGTCGATGAGACAGATAGTAGTTGAGAGCGTTCATATCAACCTTGTTTTTGTTGAAGTCGATTTCGCTGCACGAGAAAATGTAGAGGATCGGAACAGGCGCGTGAGTGAGCTGTAGAGATCGAGAGGATGCTCCTACTCTGTTGTGCTTACAAAAAGGACTGTTCTGGACGTGGTGGCTCCGGGGGGTCATCTTCTCCACCCCCAGCCTTTCCAGGATAGAAGTCCATCTCTGTCCAGAACATAACTTCACTATCATAATCAAGCCATTTGCCCGCGGTACGAACTCCATGAGCAGTGATGGAAGTCCAAGGAAAAGAGGTATATTCAATCTTCTTGCCCACCAAGCCTTTTGGATCGATCATAATTACACGAAGATTGGTGCTGGCGAGGGAAACAAGATAACACATCAGTAATAAAGTGAGAATCAAGCCTTCTCAACACAGAGATGGCCACATGGTCCCAAAACTACTTACAATAATGTGATGTCACGATGCCCCTTGAATGCCATTTCAATGGTTTCATTGCCTCGCAAAATAGACGGAGATGAATGATAGACCTTGTTCATTTCAACTGTATCCAGAGGCCTCTGGTTGTCACGGAACCACCAGAAACCCTTCTCATCGACTTCTCCTTCGTGGGTGTTGAGTCCTTCCATGGGAGCCGTGTCTTCTCCTAGAATGTGATTGCAGAGAATCTTTTGCAAGACAAAGAGGTCTGCTTTGCCATGACGAAGATCTTGCTCAATGCGTCCTACACCTTTCAAATTGGTGTAGAGGCATAACTCCATATCCCGGTCCAAAAATGCTCCCGCACTTTGCACCGAGTATGCCTTGATGGATTCCCATCGCACAGAGAAAAATCCAATCTTTTTGCCGTAGATACCCTGAACATCCACTCTCAAGACACGCATATCGGTCAAGACCGTAAAGTCTCTGAAAATAAATAAATAGAACACGTGACAAACGGGTGAGCATTTCAAAGAGACTGTGGTGATGCTTGGTTGTGTGTGCGTATATGGTAACTTACCGTCCTGATTTGAAGGCAGTTTGGACTGTCTCGTGACCTAACAAAACAGGCATTTCTGTCTTGAACGTATGCTCCACAGTCTTCGCATCCACCTGCATGGCATTATCGCCAAACCAATCCATGATACTTCCGGCGGTGGACTGTTTCTGGTCCATATTGGGAGGTGTCGTGTCAACTACATCTTGGGTTCCTTCTCGTCTGACAGACAAGAGTTTCTGATTCAAGAACTGCTGGATTTCATAGATATCGACCTTATCTGCCGCCAAGTCAATTTCGGCAAATTCAATGCCTTTGCTGTAGATGCGCACCGAGACATCGCCATCAAATTTTCCTGCGGTTTCTGTGGTGAATGCTTCAATGGACCACCAAGGAATGCTCCTGTAGTTTTTGCGTTTGCTGCCAATGCCCTTGCCATCTTTTTGGAGGATACGGTGAGTGGTAAAGAAATTGGAGTCTCGGCCCATCCCACCTCGATCCTTGAATGCCAGCAAGATTTTTTCGTTTTCGCCTAGCAAGAGAGGATACTTTTGGCGGAGAGACTTCTCTGCCTCCCCGGCATCCTTCTGATGGGCATTGTCAAAGACAAAGTCGTAGAGCTTGGAGGGCATGTTGACTATTACGTTTACTCGGTTGTTTTGTTGTTTTTGTTGTTGTTGCTGATTGATTTGATTGAATTCTATCCTCTTGGTGGATTTTATGACGAGCTTGGTAAGCGAGGAGTATCGAAAAGATCTCTTGACCGTTGCCAAGTTGCCGCGAACGGGTGCCTTCTCATTATTTCTTATCACAAGCAAGATCCAACCTTGTGGATGCAGGATGCAGGATCCTTCAGTCATGCGGAACCCAGTCCTGTACCGTATCTTTGTGACGTGTTATACATGATTAAATCAATCACGAAATGAATCTTCCGGATCTTCCAACACTTATATCATAAGGGAAATTAGTTAGCTCTTTGGTGGATTTTGTGGAAGTCGATGACAGCCAACGCTCAAACTCCACTTTGTAGAAGCCAGACTTCCGTGTGTCTTGTCCACCCTCATCACCTCACATCCATGAGCAGTTCCAGGCTAGCCTTCGTCTTCGTTGTGTTGGTTGTTCGTGTGCTTTTGTGGTTGACTCCAGTCCGAGCAGCAGCTTTCATGACTACCAACTCACACAACAAAGAGATGTCATCGTCATCTCCTTGGCTGCGAATCATCCAAATCAACGACGTGTACTTGCTGGACCAGTTTCCGTCCTTCAAGACTCTGATTGACGAATATCGTCATGGTCCAGATCAATGCGTTGTCATTTGTGCGGGTGACTTTTTGGCCCCCAGTCTGTTGAGCAGTCTGGACAAGGGTGCCAGTATGATTGATATTTTCAACGTCATTGGCATGGACTATGTCTGTCTGGGAAATCACGAAGCCGATGTGGGAGCTCCAGACTTGGCCCAACGGATCCGGCAGAGTCAGTTTGTCTGGATCAATAGTAATATGCCCGATTTGAATGACAAGATTGGGTTGAAAGACAATAATGACAATCATCATCAGCTACCCAAAGAATTGGAAATACTGACCGTTGGGAAGAATGGCAGCAATCAAAAGAAGAAAAAGGTCGTGCTGCTGGGATTGATTACGGAAGATCCATCCCTCTATCGACCAGATGCCTTTGGTGGGGCCACCATTCAACCCTTACTACCACGGGCACGAGAACTGATAACATCCTTAAAGGACCAGCAAGTCGACCTGATTGTGCCACTCACTCATCAAGGAATTGCAGCAGACCGGCTCATGGCCAATGAAATGGATGGCACAAAAATACCACTCTTGTTGGGAGGACACGATCACGAACCCTATCTGGAAACAGCACAGCAAGGATCATGTCGCATTGTCAAGACGGGCATGGATGCACAAAAGGCCGCCGTCATTGATATCCGATGGAACAACAACGACATTCCAATCATTACGGTAGAAATGCTGGACACGGCCGACTTTGCTCCCGATCCAGTCGTCCAAGAACGAGTCACAGCTCACAAGGGCATTCTCGATGAATTGGAAACTGCCAAGCTGTTTGCCGTCGCCGATTGGTTGAAACATCCTTCTACTACCACATCCGATAGCGACAAAACTACTACCCCGCTTCCTGCATTCTCGACACGCAACAATCGACTGGGACCGTCCACTGGTACCACGGCACTGTGTAGCATGGTGCGCATGGGATTGCGCTGTCAAGTAGCCCTGCTCAATGCGGGATGCGTCCGGGCTGGGAAAGACTACGATCACCATGCGCATTTTACGTGGGCCGACCTAAAGGCGGAAATGCCCTTTGCCACACCACTCTGCGTCTGCAAGATTCCCGGCAAAGTCCTTCAAGACACCATTCAACACTCGCGCCGCTGTGCTCCGCAAGGCATTGCCAAGGGCGGGTATCTGCATGCGTCGCAAACGACAATCTGCAACGAGGATGGAACCATACAATCCATCTTGGGAGAAGCATTTGATCCGGAGCGAGAATACTTGACGGCATTTCCTTATAGCTTTCTAGATGGCATTGACAATCACCAACCACTGCTCGATTGGGCAGCTACCCGCGACCAAACCACTGAATTGCCCAGTAAACATACCACCGTTCCGGCCAAACTAGTCTCGGTAGAATTGCTCTCGGCATTGTTCTGGTTACGACTGGGGTCCTTTGAGGAAGTGGCCGGTGACGATGGCGTCATTTGCAAGAATGATCTAAGAGAGCACATGAAGAAGATTTACGGGGGAAATGTCGAGATTGCCAATCTCATGGTGGACAATGTCTTTGGCGTGGCGGATCGGGACAATGATGGGACCATTTCCGCACTGGAACAGATCATTGTGCGGTTTGTCGCAAGGGATATGTTGAATCACATTGTCACGTCAGACGAGTTGCAAATGATGAAAACAGTCGTGTCCCGTGTCATGGAGTCATCCCGCGATGGCAAGGAGAACGATGATGACGATGAGACAGTTGATGAAATGGTGACAAAACTACTGCAATCATTGGATCTACAAGGGAACGGGTCCGTGCAACGAGAGGAGATTCTCAGGGCGCTTGGAAACGTTGCCAACAAGGACTTGCTAAAGTGAAGGACAATTGGACAGCAGTTAGTAAGTAGGGAGACAACATATTACTGGAATGTTCCATGCCATGCAGACTAGAAGAGAAGCGCACAAACAGCCGGAATGTCCCAGTAATGGTCGTGCCGTACGGTATTCTCAACACCTATCTGTACTGTAGCTAGAGGAGAGCAAGGACAAAACACAGTCACTTCAACGGGTTTGGTAGTCTAATCAATTCAGCTAACAAGGCCAAGCCCGACGTACCTCGAATTCCTGGCCTTTTCACCAGAACCTGGAAACAGCCACATGTACTCTTGCTGGCGTGCAACGAGGATGCATGCAACCATGCATTTTCAGCTGTATTTTCCCACTTCACAAGGACAAAACAAATACTAAGTAGATACGTTTTAAAGGAGCGAGGGGGGCTAAGCTAGGCAGTGCGGTGGTATCGGAAGTGGCCAGGTAGTACGAGGAGAGCGGGGAGGACAGGAGCAGGGCAAAGGGAGCTAGTAGGGGGGAGTGGAGAGCATGGAGCAAAAGGAGGAAGTGCAGGGGAAGTCGAGAGGGAGTAAAAGGGGGCAGGATTAGCGGAAGAGAGCAAGTGCACCATTGGCATCCCAGAGAGAATGGTGGTAGCTCATTGTGACAGCAGGGACACTGGAGCCACCCATACAAGAGGTGGCAGGCCCGAAGAATAGCAAGGCTGAGCCCAGCATTAAATTTTTAAAAAACGTAGCCACGTAGCCACCCACCAATCACAATGGAGAGATCTGGCAGTGCCAGAGAGGGTGTGAACGTGTGAACCAAACCACAGATCACAGTCATTGGACCCTAAACCCTTCACGGTCATTGGTTGGTTCAGCCGTTTCAGTATTCAGCCGTTACTGGACTAGCTACATGTAGGGTTTAATGGTCCAATGTCCAATACCGGTAGGCATAACCCGTGAACAACATGAACGGGAACTCTGATGTACTAGTATTAATAAGTACAGTTGTACCTTTACTTGGCATTCTTTGAAGCTTGATCCACGCGGTGCAACCAACAAACACCTTCAAAGCAGCATAACACCAAAAATTTAGGAACGACGACGATGATGTATCATCCCACCCGTTGTGCTATCAAGGCACACTTTAGGTCGAGGGTAATCGCCGGCTTGCTGCTATTAACGATCGTCTGGGGTGGTGTCCAAGGACAAGCTACGACGAATACAACGAATGATGATAACGGAGTTGGTCATTCTCGTTCTGCTGGATGGGGACTGGAATGCAATGGACTCGACCAGTGGGCAACGCTCCCGATTAAAGAACTTCCCGACAGCGCCTGGACGTTTGAAGCTTGGATCCAATTGCCCAAGAGCATTGCAGGCTCCATTTTGACCATTACGGCGGACGAGACAGACAGTAGTCTGATGCAATTGCTAACAAGCTTTATATCGACCGATGACGACGAGGGTGGCAATACATTGGCACCCAGTCTCTTTGCCATGAACCTAGTCTTTGATCGAAACTACGAGAAGAATCAATACATTGACGTTGGAGGACGGTATCATCATGTGGCAGTGGTGGTGGAAGAATCGACCAATAATGAAGATGATGTTACTTCCATTAGTGTAACTTCCTATTGGGACGGAGAACCCTGGGTGAACGGATCATCCATTGTCCAGAAGAGCAAGGAACATAATAATCAAGGCGTTGACGGTGGCGGCGTCCTGCTTTCGTCTTCTGTTGGATCTGCGACGATTCAACTTTGTCATTGGATCAAGATCGGATCCTATTCCACTACCAGGGAACGATTCGGGAGCGTGGTTTTACACGATGTACGCTTTTGGGGCAAGGCTCGAACTCGTGATGAAATTCTCTCCAGTATGACCGACCCAACACTGGCTACCGATAATGAGACTCATGCACTTTTGCATTGGTGGAAGATGGATGAAGGAGGAGGACTGGCCATTTTGGATTCCGTTCAAGGCAGCGATGGAAGCTTGGCCAATCGTCGACAGTACACCAATCAAAGGCCCACCTGGGTGGCTTCCAAAGCCCCAGCGGAACATGCAAACTTCACAGCAATATTAGGAGTCACAAGTCAGCCTGTTCCATTAGCTCACTGGGATGGGTCGGCCACAGAACCGTCCGTCTATGAATCTGACGTCCCGATCACTACACAAATTCCGTACACCGCTGTGGAGACCGGCCAGCAGGGCATCTTTGATATTCATATTCGTCAGAAACCCACACCTATTGCCGGCAATAACAAGTGGTTGCGCCTGAATGGACAGGATGCCTACGGTCTCGCCAACAACTTTGATCTGCCTCCCTCTTTCTCCATTGATCTATGGCTGCATCCCTTTTCACTGCCCCCCAGGGGCTGGACAGACTTCTCTTCCAAACACTCGGCAGTTGCCAAGAATCTCTTCCTGTGGGAGGTGACTCTCACATTGGATGACGACGGAATCTTGCAGCCAACCATGTACGTTCGCATCGGACAAGATGCATTTTACGGCGGTGTCTTCAGCTTTGAACCCCATCACTTGGCTCTGACTGCGAGAGCTGACCTCGACAATAACACAACACTCGCGACTTTGTACGTGAATGCCGAGCAGGTCTTTCAAACGACACTGAATGACATTTGGCAGTACAACGACCCAACGAACCTGCCTTGGACTATGGGCCAAGACTTTGACAATCGCGACGGGGTGGTTCCTTCTGATTTTTGGCATGGATCCATTGACGAGTATCGTTTTTGGAGTAGAGATTTAGCAAAAGGAGAGGTCCAGCATAGTATGTACAATGCCATTGACCATGGTCCCCAATATCCTGACTTGCTGAAATCCTACAGCTATGACAATGAAAATGTAGATGATGATTACACGTTACATGGAAGAGCCAAGATTGGTCCTTGTGAAGTTGGTTTTCAAGCTCGCCCATTTGTCGTGCAGGTCGAAGAAGGTTCGAGTATCACATTTGATCTCCCATACTTTGACGCAGAAGATGCCGCCGTGAGCTTTGATCTCGTCGAAACTCCTACCCAAGGGACAACCGTCCTGAACCCAGATGGCACATTTTCATACACAGCTTTAGAGGAAGGTCACAACATCGTTACCTCCAAGTACAAAGTCACAGATGAGTATGGCCAAGAAGGTAATCATCTGGGGTTGTTGGAAATCGAGGTACTCCGACATGCACCATTCATCACATCCTTGATAGCGACAGGAAAAGGACAAGGCTACGGAAGTGGAAGCGAAGTGGAGATTTCGTGGTCTGAAGCTACCAATATGGCAAACATTACAGCTGAAGACGACAACACTGTGAACTTTTCGCCGCCTATTGCCAAAAGCTTTTCGTTCAAATGGAAGGATGAAACAACTCTTGTCGCAGTTATTTTGGAACCAATCGAGCTTGAAGGTGACCCAACAGGAGAAAGCCTCCTTGACAGTACCACTGTAACCATGACTGGTGGTATCAAGGCCAAAGATGAATGTTCTGTTTCTGTCAATTCTACTAGTCCAGAGCTCACAGGGACGTGGGGCGATGGTGGCGATGAGGGCCTGTCAACGGGAGCGTTGGCGGGTATCATTGTGGCAGCTATTGTTACTTTATCTTGCTTTGTCGGAGGCTTCGTTTACGTTTCTTTTTTCATGCTTCGAGCAACTGGATATGCACCCAAGCCAACGGCCAAGCCTGTTCCAATTTCAATCCTCTTCACCGACATTGAAAGCAGTACAAAACTTTGGAGTCAGAACCCTGATTGGATGAGCCGTGCATTGGAGATCCACCACAGGGAAATAAGAAGAAGCATCCGCCAGAACAAGGGGTACGAGGTGAAAACAATCGGTGACGCATTCATGGTGGCCGTTTCAGATCCTGCGAATGCTTTGAAGTTGGGTTTGGATATACAAAATCGTATGCACGAGCATTTCGGGGATGCCGAGAAAGACAGAAAGAGGAGTATGATGAACTTGGTGGCTGGTGATGAGAGACCAGAGATCAAGATTCGAATTGGTATCCACCATGGTCCTTGCGACATTACTTTTGATCCGATCGCGAAAGGATATGACTATTACGGAACAGCTGTGAACACCGCAAGTCGAGTGGAAGATGCTGGCCATGGTGGCCAAATCGTTATCACTGAAGCTTTGTACGAAGCTGTGAAAGATGATCTGAATGGTGCACTTGTTAGAGACTTAGGAATGAACCCACTTCGTGGTGTAGGTGATGTGCACCTATACGACGTTGTCCCGGCTCGCCTCAAGGGCATTCAATTCCCACCTCTCCGTCTGGAAAGCAAGGCCGTCAGCCCACCAAAAATGGACGGACCCGATGCGTCGGCGGGATTTTCACTTGAGGAAGTTGAATCGCAGTTGGCCTTTAGGGTCTCCGACCCTCGAATTGAGGATGGTTGGTTAAGAAAAGAGATTCGAGCCATGCGCATCGTTCGCAGCCACCAAGTTTCAGAAGAAACTCTCTTTGACTTTGTTGAGCCCATTCTTGTCGTTTTTGAGCTCATGTTTTCCATCAGTGGCACAGCGTCAGCCGCAACTCAGCTGATTCAGAAATGGAGAATTCGAACAGAAGAAAGTGACCTGCTCAAAGACAAAATTGACAAGTTGGCATTTAAACTTGCTATTACTGCCAGGCAGCGTCTCGAGGATCGAGGGAAAAGCATCAAGCCGTTTGTGAGCGCCAAACTGAGAGCTTCCGTCAACTAAAACTAATGCCACAGAGGCGAGATTCATGAAACAAAACACGGGATATTAAAAAGCGGTTGTAGTAAGATGGAGGGCTGTGGGGAATACACAGTCTATGCACGAATTGATGCAGAGCGTCCGCAAAGAAAGGCACCGCCGCCACCAACCCTTCTAGACCCGGCCTGTTGGGTGCTGCCAATGCAGCTTGGCCCTCACAAACGGCTTGATGCCAACCAGAACCATAAGGGGGGGGGGGGGTGTGCATGTGCACAAAGGCAAGTAAAAGAATGCAAAGAAGTCACGAGAATCCAAGGAATTTTCTGCCCTTTGTGTCGCTTTGCCAAGTTTTCCAATGCCAGGGAAAGCATTTAGATCTCCTCCACTGCAATAACGTTGTGTGTGGACTCCAGAACAGTTAAAATAGTGTGTAGACACTTGTGGTCCCACTCTTGGGCATCCCCACAACACTAATGAGCAAGGGTACTTTGAGGGGTGTTTGTTTTGCATGGCGGTTGTTCTGGTTGTTGTTGCATGGACTGAATCGGCTGTTGCATGTTGCAAGGTAATTATTGCCTTGTCCGAGTCTTGCTGAGTCATCATTGTGTCTTCTTCTTGCTTTTCCTTCAGTGCTGCCGCATTGTTGGCTCCCTTCTCTTGTTTATAGGAATCTGTACTCCTTCAGAAGTGTCTCCAATTCCTGAGCATTTTTGGAGAGCTTTGTCACAATGATTACACTTTGCTCCAGTCTTTTGACACCCACCACATGGTTTTCTGGTCACGAGCCCTCTCTTGTTGGAAGTTCATTGGACGGTAGACAAAGGTACGACTAGCCATCATGGCTAGACTGATGGTGGTGAGACAAATAAATGAATACTGGTAGGCCCCCTTGAAAGATTATCAAAATTGTGAGCTCAGTTTCACCTATTGCTATTTTATTCTACTAGCTAGTAGTCTAGCTACCATAGTCGAAGGCATTTCTTTTAAACTCCATAAATAGCATTATTATTTTGGACCCTGGTCGGCCAATGACCGCCTTCCAAAGCAGTCTTTTAATCAACCGATTTAATACGTTCCTTCCGTTGAAACACTACTGGCATTAGAAATTTAATACAGATCTCATACTACATGTACGAGAAGTATTGTATCAACGATGAGATTGACAAGCGCTGCCCAGTGCCTCAGCACAGCCTCGGTTCTCTACAATGCTGATCCTTCCTTGGGACCGTCCAGCATACCGGTACCGGTAACCACAGATGCCAAGCTGAAGTTGCCATTGTTGTTTCCACCGCAGGAACCCTCCGTCATTTTCCTAGAGAATCTGCCTCCTCACTTTGACGTTTGGTCCAAGATTTCACCTAAAGTGCAGAGCAGTCGATATGGAGGTGAAGTTAGAGTTGAATGGCAGGTGAATAATGGAGAGGAAGGTCAGGAGAAAGCGATCGAATCCGTCTTGAAACAAGCTTCCGGTAGCCTCCTGTCAGAAGTCCAGCGTAGATTGTTTGTTTTCAGGCATTCTGCCATGACAACCTTGAAAGGCATAAAGGGCTACAAGGTCAAACTGGCCGTGTATTGGGGTGGATCGGGTACCCGTTGTCCTGCTTGGCATCAGGACTATGTCCCTGTTAGATGGATCCAATCTTTCTTTGGCCCCGGAACTGAATTTGTACTCCCTGATGGCAACAATCCCTACTTGGAGCGCATTGCGAATCCTGACAAAGTCCGAGAGATTGCGTTGGGCAATGATCGATCTGATTGGAAGGAACGCTTGATGGAACAATCTGGAGTGAAAACCCATCATGTACCGGGAGGCAAACCAGTGCTCTTGGTGGGGCAGAGTTGGAACCAATGTGCCAAACCCAGAACAGAAGGCAGCAATAAACGGGCTGCTGTGACACACAGATCCCCTCATGGGCTTGCGGCAGGAGAAGGTCGCGTTTTGTTGAACATTGATGTGATTGTTGCCGACCCAGATGGTGCCTGCGATGGTCATCACTAGCTACTGGTAGAACCAATCAAACAGAAAGGTACCGTACTAACCTAAGTACAAAAATGGAGTGCAAATCAATGGTTATAGCAATGGTTATAGCAAGACTTCTGCCGTAGCGCCTGCTTGGAAAGCGTAAATATGGTACGGTACGGGTCACGTGAAAAGGCATGATGGATACCAGATTATCGTCTTCTAAGGTCAGGAGTTTTCCTGAGCTTATGGTCTTCATCGTCCTCGTAGCTAACCGTTCGAGCGCTACAAGTGTTTTCGAGGCGCAAAAATTTGCAACCCTTCCCACTGAGCGAGACGTGGGCGCCACAGAAGGTTCGCTTCATTGCGGCTTGAACAGTCTGATTGACGGGTGCAGTGGTGTAGCCCATTGAATTGCTTTCCCAAGACACGTTGCCAAGCTAGCAAGAGTCCAGTCCGCTCTCCAGTTTGTGCGATCACGTAAACACTGGCAAACACGGCGTACCGGTGCGGTCTGCTGGGACCCCGAAGAATTCATGGCTGGCCCAACGCCAAGTGTAGACAAAATATGGAGGTCCGACATAACTTTATGGCTTGTTTTACGTATGATTATAAAATTTTTCTTAGGACGTGGAAGAGACTGTGTAAGAACGTATGTATGTAAGCACGTAGAGGCTCTAGGGTAGCTTGGGCGCAGCTACACAGATGTGAAGGGAGACTGTGCTGCCATAGCACACATCATGGCAATGTCATGGCATGATCCATGGGTGAGGGAGGATGCAACAGGAGATGATAATGATAGTCTTGGCATTCGCATGGTCCGTGCAGTGAAGCTGGTTCTCACGGCTCGGCGAATATATTTTACACTCTCTTGCTTCGCTCTGAAAGAGTCTGCATCATCAGGAGTTAACTCCATGTGCCGCTCTTCCACTGGGCATACATCATCAGCCAAAAGGCAAGCTTGTGTCTTTCGAAACCTCGACTGCCAGCACTTCCAATATTTGTTGTCGTTGGTGCTGCTGCGCATTGTTGCCCGGACTTGGGCGAGAGAAACAGTCTGCTCTGATGCTGTTGTGGCTTTGGTGGTGGTGGAGATTGCCATGTTTTGGTTTGTGGTTGGATGTTTTATGTGTTGGCGACGAGTGTCCTTGGAGATGGCTGTCAAGTGATCGTGCCTGCGGTTGCAAACTGGCTTGCCTGATTGATGGAGCCGTGGCCTTTGGTTCTTGGCGCAAATTGTGAGGGGGCTGAGTAGCAGGCTTCTTAGCATGGTGGTACCAGCGTACCAGCATCTTTTCACCAGTACTACCGTCGGCAGAACGGTGCCTGGTACGCGAGAAGCCACAGCTACAGCGACAGGCCAACGCTCGGAGCCAGTGCATTCTTACATCACTGGATCTTACTTTGGTCAGTCGTATGAATCAATCATAAAAGAGTACTGTACAGTACCCAGAGAACAGTGGAGCTTGACGGACGGCCGATGAACGGCACGCAAAATGCAAAGCACGAGCCAAGTCAAGCTACCAGCAGTGAGGTGAACTCCACAAGGGCTTTTAAAGGATCGTAAAGCTTCCATTTTTAAAAGCCCATTATTTGACCCGTGACATCCTACTAATAAAGCCTATGCAAAACAGCTTCAGTTTTCTTATTACCACCTTGCACATCACTCATCACTCACGTAAATGATGATTTATTTGATCTTCTTTTGACCCTCTCGTGGACTACCTGGCAGGATGGACCAATGCGACCTGATCTCACCTTACCTTTTCTTCAACGTTGACTGATACCGTACTGTAGTTTGTCATTTGGGCCTCCCTAAGGCAAGCATGCAAGCAGTTGTGTCCTACCTTGCCGGTTGCTGGACGCAGGTGAGATTACTTGAGACTACCTTCCTTCTGGCTTCTAAAACGGTCCCCGAGTTCCAATGGAGGGCGGAGCACGAAAACGGAAGAATCGAATCCAGCACCAGTCATTGCATTGCCATGAGGAACCATGAACCAGCCATGAAAAGCTGTGTACGGAGGAGTAAAAACTGGCGAGAGTATCAAATTCGCGAGACAGAAGAGGGGAAGAAAGTGTCACTTGATCCAGTGACCTCGGATGAGTGACAGTCTGTCAGCTACATGTAGACTAGAGTACACGGCTGTGCGCGGCATCGCGGCAAAACTGATGCCCTATGCGCCCTGCTGTGTTCAAGCGTTTCAACACTCGCACTCGCTCATGACAGCTAGCTCTCATGACATGTTACATCGTACAGTCACTCACTGCAGAATGCAGCGTCGTGAATAACGGGCTTATCTCGAAGTCTCTATTATCTAAAAAGCAATGGACTTGGCAAACCAAGGGAGTTTCGTAAACGTCGCCAGAATTTTGGACAGGACAATGCAGGTTCCAGCCAGACAGGATTATCTCTTGTATATGTTTCATTGCATGCCTTGGGCTTATCTGGTTCTTTCTACCATCTAGCTAACCATCTGCTTACCAGTGTGGTATGTGATGATTGCTACGGTACCGGTTACCGGTACAGTAGGTATCCCGCGCTCAGCCCTGGATTCTCCCTCCAAGCTCCAATCAACATGCTGTTTTTACGTGCTGTTGCAAAAGCGAGTTTTTCCCTGGATGACCATGGCAGAGATCTTTTGGTTCCTGCAGAGACAAAGATTTTCTGACCTTTGAACCACGTGGATCTCTTCTTTCATGTTTCTCTGAGCTCTGGAGTTGGGATGACAACCTGACCTTGATTTTTTCACGTTGTTCTTTGACTTTGTTTCATTCAACTGCTTTGCTTCCTACCTGTACAAGTGTCTGACGCTACCATGCCACTTTACGAATAAAGTATCTTTGAAGAAGAGGATCAGCCAACAAGAGTCCTGAGAGGCTGAGAGGGCGAAGTGGCTCAGTTGCGTCAAATTAGAATGGTTTGGGGACCGCGTTCGGTATGTCATAGCTCTAACCTTAAATCCAGGTCTGAATGGATCGAAGGCTGAATAGCTCTAATCTTATAGTCCACGTCTGAATCTTTGAAAGTGTTCTCAACCCACGTCTCCATGCATTGTAGCTCCTACGTTACAAGCTCTGCCTAGCAGCACAACAACGGATTGGTAATATGGCGGCAATGGGCATCGATAACACGACGCTTGTGATCCACAAGCCTGACAACGGGCTCCGTGAAACACCCAATTTATCGACGGCCACCCATGTGACGATCTGGGGTGGTTGCCTTGCCAATTGTGGCGAAAGCGCTGCCGCCGCTCTTGTTCGTTCTCGCAGAGAACACTTGAAAAAGTTCATCTACCTGCCTGAGAGACACAAGGGTGGCCGCATGGTCCGTCCATACTATTCTAATGATCGTGGTGCTACGATGGAATTCCCTTCACTCGAAGTTCTGGGATACTACAAAGATTTGGGCACACCACTGGATGTCAAATGGATCGTTCCCAATTTGAAAACTCTTGTCGTCTTCGATGGCGGTCGTACTGGGCGAGCTGGGAGGTATGGCCACCAATGGACCACAGAAGCAAGCACTCCAATGCCTGAGTGGTATGAACGTCATCACATTGACGATGTTCTACAGCGCACAAGGGTGCAATGTCCCAAATTGGAGCAGATTCTTGTATGCGCACAGCCTGACTACGATTCTCCCGAGAAAATGGGTGTTGTCAGAAAGTTGACACCGCCTTTTCCTGCTCCGTGGGAGTGCTTGCGGTTGCTGGAGGTGGCTGCTCGAACGCCCCAGGGCGGTCAGTGTCATATTTGCCGCCTCCCGACTGCTGTTGTGGATTTGGTTGTGAGCTTCTTTCATTCACCAAAGTGGAAGGAGGAGGACTTTGTTGTGAACCCTGTGAACCATATGGTGTCAAGCAGGGCTGAACGCGTTTCGAGAGGCGAAGATGGGCGTGGAAGAGGCCGTGGAGGTCTTGGAGGTCGCGGCGGCAGAGGACGTGATGGCGCCACACGCGACCATGTCAGCAGCGGCGATAATAGCGGCCATGCTAGAGGCGGCAGAGGCGGTGGTCGAGCGACCCTCGTCGCAAAAATTCGAGAAATGGAGTATCGTCGCAACAACCAAAAGCAAGCAGCGGCGAAACAGAGCTGATAGGCGATGTTTGGCGGCTTGTTTCCTAATCGGAGGCGCCCGCTCTGATGCGAGTGAGTCATTGTTTTCTTGCACACCATGCCAGCCTCATTTGGGCGTATGAGGGCAACAATCGGGTGCGGGCTACTCGGGCTACTGAAAGCATGTGTTTAGTTTCCATATAATATTATGTTCCATATATTATAATGTTCTTCATCAACGTGCCGCTGCGACAAACCGTGCCGAGCCTGTGATACGGACCAAGTATCTATCCTGTCATGCCGGATCTAGGACGAGCAATGGTACAACTGGCGGTGGATACCATAGAGGTTTGCATCGGTCGGAGCCCAGTGTAATGTTCGGCTAGAATCGACGCCCCAATCGCCTCAAACACGGCTAGAATCGACGACCTAATCATCTTGTTTGAGGCTGCCTTTCTGGATACCGAAAATTGTGGCAAGAGGATTTGGCCACCCCTTGTGGTAGTTTTCAAACATGTTAGTCACGTCATGGCCCTTCATCCAATTGATGGGGCCGGCTCCTCCAGGGTGGATGCCTGCAAAAGTGGAGGCTTCCAAGACTAGATCTCTGTATACCATGCTGGTCTCGTCCACCTTGCAAGGCATGTTGTACGGAGATACGCCCTCAGGCACCATCACGTTGCGCTCTGACTTGTGCTGACCAATGAATTCCGCAGCTTTGGAGGCAGTCATGACTGCGCCTTCTGTCCATCCTAAAATGACGACAACGGCTCGACGGCTGAGACGGAGCATGTTAAGGCTCACCAGAACGACTTCCTAGACAAACGTACCTTGCTGAGACGAGAAAGCTTCGCCCACCAAATAGAGACCGGGCAAACGGACGGGGTTGGGAGTAATAGCTTGCAGTGAGAGCTCTTCTTTGGTCTTTCCATTGACATGAGCTTCGACTTGCCAGCGATGCACAAACAAAATCCTTACAAAGGCTTGCTCGATCTGATCCCCCAATGCTGGGTCAACACCACTGATCTTGGCAAGCTGCTTGCGCACCTCCTGATTCACAACATCATTTCCTTGAAACTGTAGCTCTCTCCAGACTCGTTCAAAGCGATCGCAGGCGTATCCAGCCTGGAAAACATTGTGCCCGTAGTCGCCCGAGACAATCTGCTGGAGAATGTTGTCTGGAATCATCTTATAGATTCGATCAGGACCAGTGGAGGCATCAGGGACCTTGACAGTTCCAGGCTTGCATTGGACATAGATGTGGCCAAGTCGACGCTCATAGACTGCAAAGAGTGCGGGTTGCATGTCCTTGGCAACCGAAAAGGTGCGAGCCTGGAAGGGGGGAACTGCGAGGACGACTTGTTCACAGATATAGTGCTTTTCAGTAAAGTCGTATCCATGGCTGTGCATCACTGTGACCTTGTAGGTCCCGTCCTCCTGTTTCTCGACGTCTGCGGCCCTGTGGTAGGTCTTCACCATTCCTTCTGGTAGAGTTTCGAGAACGGCTCTGGGGAACGCGTTCAGCCCCTTGGGTGCGAACCAATGCTTGGAACCATGAGACTCTCCAGGAAAAGCAATCTGCGCTGTGCGACCGGCGTATCCAGATTCACGATCCTGAAGATCGGCCAAAGTAGTAGATTCCAAGGCAGCAGCACTGTACGTGGACAAGGGAGCCTTGTTTTCTGTGCGAGGTTTAGTATCAAATTCATGGCTTTCCTTCTTGCTCGCATCAGCAGGCGGAGTAAACTGTTCGACAAGCTCAACGCCAAAGTCCTTAGCCAGCTGCAACATCATGGTATTAGTTTCTCCAATTCTCCACGCAAAGTCATTGAATTTGACTTCTGGTGTTTGTCCATTGGTGACATCGTGTGTCGTGGTCACCAAGCGACCTCCCACACCTCTGCGCGCCTCGAGAACAACAATGTCCTCGCTCTTGAAGTTGTATTTGTTCAGGAGTTGATGTGCGGTGTACAGACCTCCCATTCCACCGCCGACGACGACCACCGGAAGGTGCAGGACTTCAGGGGAAGAAGTCGAAGTCGAAGCTGCCATTGTGCGGGTGGTTGCGAGAACAAATGGAGCTCTTTTTGCTAGCGACCTGGACTGGGCAAAGCGGCTGATATGTGAGCTTCTCGTCAGCAAGAGCATTGATGTTGAAAATGTGAGAAAGCTTGCATCATATCCGAGGCGCGGGATGGGTCCGAATGCTCGGTATCTTGCAAACCTTTGGAAGACAGAACCGTCGCCGACCCTGAAATTAGTAGAACCAAAAGAAAGGGCGAATGCTCGGTGGTGGGATCGGTGAGGTTTAGGAACTTACCGGTCCGGTATTTCCGTGTAGTCTATTAATAGTCTAGACTAGCTTTCCCGTTTGCCCCAGTCGGATGCATTCCCACGGCTTCTTGCGGCGAGGTGTCAAATACCACCGTGTAAAACAAGGAAGAAGCAACGCACCGCGTCACAAAATCTTCACAAACACTGCATACTGCATCATCGCATCATCTCAGATCCCTGTTGAGAGATCATTCTATGACGCCGGCTTTACTTGGTACGGTACAGGGCGCACACTTCCACCCTTGGTCACCCCAGATAACTTACTTGATCGGTTCTCCTGGTCCAACTTTGAACCCCGAAGGAAAATTCAACCATACCATGCATGTTCTTTTTGCAGCTTGCAGTTACGGGGAGAGAGCAGGATGACCTTCATTGGTTTCCTTTCTACTTCTTCAGTGAAGTCAAAGATGGCCCTCCTAGCTAGGTTGCTTTGGGAGGCGGGTCTTGTGCTGGCCTAATCTGTACCGTAGCAAAGAAGGCAGCCACCATTCCGAGCAATGTGCGGTCATCCAGCCAGCCAGAGGACACCCCGCTGAAACTTGGGCTCAAAGATCTAGGTACTGATGCCGTTAAGGCAATGGTGTTAAAGACTACCGGTATCATCGATGGTAGAAGGTTAACCCAGTTTGTCGCCCAGTGAGATTCTCTATCCAGTCACAGTTTTGAAAAAGTCACACTGGAGGGGCATTGCTGCTCAAGCTGCTCACTCCCGCGCTGCCTGGCCAAGGTTTTTGGCCCTCACCAATGAAATAAATGTACCGTTCTCACAAACTACAAGTGGCACAGCAAAACACACGAAAATCAACGATGACAAGACTTTCTGTTCTGCTGGGCCTAGCGCTCTCCATTCAAGCTGCTCTGGTGACGAGCACCACGATCTCAGCTGGAGGCCTTGGGTTTAACTTCCCAAACGACGATACTTTCAATGCCATTGCAAATTGTTGTGAGTTTGGATGTGACCAGGCATGTTCCTGGGTAGATCAATCGCTCGGCGAAGGTCTAGCCCGTCATCGGAAAACGCAGACCAACTTTGATCCTTCCCGAGTCGATTTTGACCAGCAATTGCCACCGGTTGGCCCAGATGCCGACCTAAATGTCGTTAATGCAAACTGCTGCTGCCGCGACGGTGGCTGCTTTGGGGACCCGCACTTCAAGCTTTGGAACAGTGAGCAGTACGACTTTAATGGCCAATGTAGTTTGGTTCTCTTGGATGCTCCTGATGCGTTCAACAACCTGGGTGTGACGGTCCACCTAAGAACTAAGCTTCAGGCGACGTATTCCTTCATCGAAAGTGCAGCAGTCAAGATCGGAGACGATATCCTGGAAGTATCTAGCTGGAGCGAGTACAGCTTGAATGGTGTTGATGGTGCTGCAATGCCCAACCACTTGGGTCCATTCCCCGTTACTCGAAGTGAGGTATTTAGGAGCAAGAAGGACAGCACCTTTGAGATCGATTTGGGCCAAGGTCAACAGATTGTTGTCAAAACCCGAAAAGATTGGGTCACAGTGAAGATGATCAAAATGAAGCAAAGGGGATTCAAGAACTCTCGAGGAATGATGGGCGACTTTACAACGGGTGCCATGCTGGCCCGAGATGGCAAGACAGTTCTCAAAGACCCCAATGCATTTGGACAAGAGTGGCAGGTTCGTCAGGATGATCCACAGCTCTTTGGAACAGTACTCAGCCCACAGTACCCTGAACAATGTATCATGCCATCATTGCCCAGCAGCACTGGTCGTCGCCTGGGCGAGTCCAGTGTCTCTGAGGATGAAGCCAAATTGGCATGCGGAAGCTTGCAAGGGCAAAGCTATGCCAACTGCGTGTTCGATGTGGTCCATTCTGGAGATTTGGAAATAGCAGAATTCTACGAGCAATTCTAGATGAATGATTCAGCCAAGAAGCAAACAATACATAGCTGTAACTCATAGAAAGAATTACTAGTGCAAACATCACGAGGGCATAATTTCCACATAGCTGGACCGACAGGATAGAGGCATCGCCACAAGACTGTCACTCGGGTGACTGTAGATAGCAGTAAGCATCCTGCAGTACCGATTACGGAGTGATGGCTTGGTTTGGAATGCCAAAGGAGGCTTGCCGACCAAAGCAATCCGTGCAAGACACCAACCTCACAAGTGATTACTGTGACCAAGGTGCAGATTCAGGAATCGCGCAGCAGTACTCCGTGTTCTGATGGCAGCACTTATCCAAGCAATCTTCTGTCATTCACCGGGTGCTCGACCCAACCAACCTCTCCGCCCTCAACACTAGCAACCAGGTAGCTATTTTAAAACAATAGTCTATTGGCATTTGCACCCTGCGTGCAATGCTGGGGTTTTCCACGGTGCGCTGTGAGCCAAAAATAAATAAATAATTACAGCCGTTTAGTTGAATTTTCACCAGCAATTTTCCCTCCCTTTGTCCACTGCACGGCTCTGCCATCTCCAGAAATTCAAGACCGCTTCCAAATTCCAAGGCTGTCGCCGCTTTTCTCTTGTACATGTATGATGGTTTCACCAACAATGCCTCCCGCTGCTGCCGCTGCCGCTCCAGCCAAGAGAACAAATAAGACAATGGACGATCAAATTGTCTCCGCCTTGGTGGCACTCAATAAAGCCATCGAGATGTTGGGAAATGATGGTGCAAGCCACGAACAACGGAAGCAGGCAGCTGATGGTCTTGTAGATGTGAAGACTTTTCTGTTGCAACGCCCCACTACTGTAACTCAAAATAATGCTAACACTTCTCGAGTGTCTCGCATGAATTATGCGTTGAAGAGAACGGCAACCTTACAGAAGAACACAACGGTGCAATGTACCGGTAACCGCCAACAAGCCGATCCTCTGGAAGAAACTGAAGCCGTGGACGAAAACAGTGCCAGTGCCAACCAAACACCAGCAAAAACTACTCCTACAAAACCACTTCCAACCACAAAACAGAAACATGAAGCCCCTATTGCAATGCCATTACCGGAGCCAGCCAATGGAACGCAATACACACGAGTGGAATTTTTAAGGATCATCACTGCCTACCCCACCACTGGAAAAATCAAACGATCCATGGCAATGCAGGAAGCTATCAACAAAAAGTACGTCCCTTTGTCAGCCTCTGGTCTCTACAGAACTCTCAAAAAACTAGAGCAGCACATTGAAAATGGTGGCTCTTTGGAAGACTTCCCGGATGGACCATGGAATATTGCCACGAGAGCAATCCCAATGCTACAAATGGAACTAGCGGCAGTTCCAGATGGATTGCCAGGAAAGTTTTCTCCCTCAAAACCTCCCACCAAAAAGCGGAAACTAGATGTCCCTTCTGTTACATTGCCAAAACCTGCCAATGGAACACAATACACCCGTGTGGAATTCTTAAGGATCATCACTGCCTACCCCACCACTGGAAAAATCAAACGATCCATGGCAATGCAAGAAGCCATGGACAAAAAGTATGTCCCTTGTTCAGCCTCGGCTCTCTACAACAGTCTCAAAAACCTAGAGCATCACATTGAAAAGGGTGGTTCTTTGGACGACTTCCCAGATGAACCATGGAAAATTGTGAAGGTAGCAATCCCAATGCAACAAAACGAACCAGCCGTAGTTGCAAAACCACCTCCCACCAACAAGCGGAAACCAGATGTCCCTCCTATTACATTGCCAAAGCCGGCCAATGGAACGCAATACACACGAGTGGAATTCTTAAGGATCATCACTCCCTACCCCACCACTGGAAAAATCAAACGATCCATGGCAATGCAGGAAGTCCTGGACAAAAAGTATGTCCCTTGTTCAGCCTCTGTTCTCTACAAGCTTCTCAAAAACCTAGAGCAACACGTTGAAAAGGGTGGCTCTTTGGACGACTTCCCAGATGAACCATGGAAAGTTCTTCCATCAAAACCACCTCCTACCAAAAAGCAGAAAGCAGATGTCCCTTCTATTGCATTGCCGAAGCCTGCCAATGGAACAATATACACCAAGGTGGAATTCCTAAGGATCATCACTCCCTACCCCACCACTGGAAAACTCAAACGCTCCATGGCAATGCAGGAAGTCCTGGACAAAAAGTATGTCCCTTGTTCAGCCTCTGGTCTCTACAAGCTTCTCAAAAACCTAGAGCAACACGTTGAAAAAGGTGGCTCTTTGGAAGACTTCCCGGATGAACCATGGAAAACTCTTCCCCCAAGAGCACCTCCCACCAAAAAACAGAAACCTGATGTCCCTTCTATTACATTGCCAAAGCCTGCCAATGGAACACAATACACCCGTGTGGAATTCTTAAAGATCATTACTCCCTACCCTACCACTGGAAAACTCAAACGCTCCGTGGCGATGCAGGAAGCCATCAATAAAAAGTATGTCCCTTTGACAGCCTCTGGTCTCTACCTGATTCTCAAAAAACTTGGGCAGCACATTGAAAAGGGTGGCTCTTTGGATGACTTTCCTGACGAACCATGGTATATTCACAAGGGAACAACAACAAATTAGATGTGAGAAGACTCAGAGCAGTTGCATGGGAAGATTCTTATCAGTTGCAGTCCACCCATCAATCAGCCATGGAATATTCCATTGCTCTCTTCACAACTTGATCTAAGAAACAAACCGGGAAACAGCCAGGAAATGCACCTACGAGCTAGAGAAGATATAACAAAGATAGTAGAAAATGGAGGGAACTGGGGTTTGATTCTTTGGAACTGAGTGCTCCTAGCTAGCTTACAACCTTACTGCGAATCCACACACATTCCCCATGTTCTCTACTAGTCCCTCGTTGTGACCTGCCGCCGCGTGTCGGTACCTACCGCCATTTGGCGGCCATCTTCAAAGTGCTGTATCTTCATCATTTTTAGGTCTTTTTGGCTGAAAAAAGCACCAGTAGCTCGACTGAAGATGCTCTAAAGAATAATGGCCATGGCGCTTTGCTACTATATCGTGTTATCTAATGATGCGCTACGAAGATAGGGCCTTTTTCCCCTCGATTTGGCCAAAATGGCGGTACCGCCACATGGCTGGAGCAACTAATACCGTCGATCCTCGGTGGATACAACAGCAGGACACTGTCCTGCAGTCACTGATAGTCTAATAGCAGCAACTGAATAGAATAGGTCATGGTTAGAAGCTTGTAGCGACGTCTGGAGACTGAATCAAAACAGGGACGTACCTAATCATCAGCACTGCTCACGCCTCCTCTGATTGCTTTCTCAAAGTCATCTTGGAACCGGATGCCATCAGCCATGTCTTCTCCAGCATAGCCAACTCGAACAACAAACTGGACGTACTCCAAGAAGTCCTTGTTGGCGCTGAACGTGGCTTTCAAGCCAACAACTTTCATGCCACGATGTGCAGATTTGGCGTAGAGATCTTCAATCCAAGCATCACAAAGAGTGGGTAAGTACAACACACCTGCCACTGCACTGCCTTGAGTAACACGTCCGGATGCATCCGACACAGACTCATGTCCTTCGTAGCGGACACGATAGACACAGGTGCACTCGAAACGCTCAATACGAAGCTTGCCCTAGATGTGCACTGTTTTTTGGTAGGACTTCTGAAACCGAAAGGACACGCCCTCCATGCAACCAGATGGCACTCCATCAATGTCATTGACAGGCTTCCAGCATCCACGTGGTCGTGGGATAATGCAATCCCTTGAGCGCATGAGCTGCTTCGGAGGAGGAGACAGCACAATGACCTTCTTTTCTTCACTGAAGAGGTAGCCGTCCTGAGCAACCAAGAACCTGAGTAGGTGTGTGAGTAGGAAATGGATGGCGATGATAATCATCACAGGAAGCCGAAACGAAAGGTCCACAGTGATGAGGATCCAAGCAAAGATTGTCGGCAGAAACCTCATGGCAGTCATGAACTCTTGGATGCATCGAGGGGTGTTCATGTTGGCGACAATCAAGCAACCAACCAACTTAAAAACAAACAAAATGGCATGAGTGTGATCGAGAACACGCACGGACAGTCTCAGAAATCCTCCCTCGCGCAAATCAACTTACACTTTCGATTCAAACAATGCAGTTCTCCATCTCCTCATTGGCATTGATGCTCGGCACACACAGTTTCATTGGATTCAAAAGCAGATTCCTTCCCGAAAAAAATCCGAAGAAGCTTCCAAACGGTTCTGGCGGCAACGGTTCGCGCGGTAAGTCACAGGTAGTCTCACAGGTAGTCTCACAGGTAGTCGCACAAGTTGATCTCATTTTCCTCGAAGCAAGGAGCAAGCCATCATGTCTACCTTTCCCACCATCGAAGCAACCGAGTTGGATCTTTCTCTCAACCTCAACGATGGCGGTAGATCCTTTCGTCTGAGCTTCCAAGCCGTCGGCAAGTTCAAGCTTTCTCTGATGGAGACAACCAATGAGACGACTACTGAGTCTCTTCCAGAGACGACCAACAAGTCTCAAAGCAAGAAGGACGACTGGGAAGATGACAGCAAAGTGAGCTCCGATTCCGATTCCGATTCCGATTCCGATTCCAATCGTTTGTCGAGTGTTGCTGAAAGTGACTCTGAAACCGACTCTGACTCCGACCCGTGCATCTTCAGCAACAAGAAGAAGCTAGCCATCAAGAAAGCTGCCATCAAGAAAGATGCCAAGCCAGCCGCTCGCACTACCAAGGTCAAGAAAGAGGTTGTTGAAATTGACGACTCGCCTCCCAAGAAAGTCAAAGCTCCTCCCATCAAGCGAGCACCCGTCAAGGCAGCTGCCAAAGCACCCGTCAAATCAGCAGTCAAAGCACCCGTCAAACCAGCAGCCAAGGCCACTCGTACCACCACCAGAAACCGAAACCTCCGCCGTGGTCAATATGCTACCAGCTTGGTCGATGATGGAGATGGCTTGCCCGAAGTTCCCGCTTCCCAAGAGTTCTGGTGATGAAGCCTTGCACAATCAGTAGCAGATCTATTAACCCAAGTCACAGCGGCGTATCATGTAGCAGGTGACCAACCAGAGTAAGATTATAGCATCCTATGTATTCATTCAATGCCGTCGTGGAGCCGCATCGATTTTGGTGCTCTATCTTCATTGTTGTGCCGTTCTGCAACCGACGGCTGTTCAGTTCGAATCTTCGGAAATCGATAGATGGGAGCGCCCGACGTTTTACTATATAAAGTTTAGTAGACTATGTGACGTGGCAGTGTCGGAGGCAATCCAGTCGAACCTCACTGCGACCACACCAGCACCACTCCGCGAATGTGTATTACCGTCAATTAACTCTCAAGTTTAGCCGAGAGGAGTCAATCCCAACACCAACACTACTCCAAATGCGGTGATGCATAAATAAGGAGAGCAGACCATGTCATGTGATGAAAATTTGGAGCCATGTGGATGGTGGGTGGAAGCTTCAGGTGAGGTACATGCGTTCTCGGTCGATCGATCCGTTCGATCGATCAAGTTCGCGATCGAGTGCAAGCTCACAGTCGATCCAGTCTATCAAAATCAAGGAACATTGACAATGACACGGAGAAAGGGCAATCTGCAGTCAGGTGACTTTGTCAAAGAAAGGGCAAAGGCCGGAAGGCATGAAGTGATTCTCAGACATGACAGGGAGGATGGAAAGAAGCATCAATGGATTGTCGAATTCACAAATCTGGACGGGTCAAAGTCCGAAGAAATGAAAGGATCTCGTGCATTGACTGCCATAGATCAAGTTGAAGCCAACAACAGCGGCGTCACGAACGATGAAGACAATGAACCTCCCGTGGTGGCCACAGCCAACGATGACGAGCAACCCACCTCCGCCCCACCCACGACCCCTTGGCGACGACCACAACGCAAAGCAGCACTCAACCATGCAGTGTGCCCCCCCACAGTCCAACGTGAGCCATCCCCAACTCGCTCGTCTTCGCCTTCGTCGTCTGGACCAGACTTCGATTGGAGCAACTATCAACCACCTGCCAATGATGAAAGCAGTAACGACGGCTTTCCACAACCACCGGATGAACTCTCCGAAGAGGAGCAGTCGACTCAAGATGACTCCAACAACAACGAGCAACCAATGCCTCATCCAAATCCCAATCCAAATGAGCTCGAGGAAGATGTAGCCCTGGGAGAGGAGGATCATATTATGGAGACAGAGGAAGAATTCAAGCTTCAAGAGCAACTGTATCGTCGTGAGAAAGCAGAGCTCATCGCGGAAGGCTGGACCGTGGAAAAGGAAACTGAAAAGGGTCCGTTGGACGTTGGCATCAGAGTTGAAACAAGGTCGAAAAGGAACTACCGACAAGGGATGATTGTGGATCGAAATGATAGCAAATGGGTAGTTCAGTTTGATGGAGATGATGAAACAGAGGACGTCTCACCTCAATCACTTGTTCAGATTTATGAACCAGATGTCTATGAATGTGCACTACGCTAAAAGCTAGTGTAAAGATCTTTCGAGTGTTTTGAGTTTGAGAGAATGAAAGTTATGAGAGGATTAGAAAGCTATGAAAACTAATCAACGAGAGATCCACAATCAAAGGATCGTAGATCTGAACTCCCGCGGGGACTGTAGAGTGTGATAGAGTAGGTTGCGGTAGCAATCCTACTCACTCTACGATCCAAAAACGGAACGCGTGGAAGATTCGTCTAGCATTTTTCTAGTAGCGTGGAAGTACTCACAGCTGGCTAAATATCTAGAGCGATGTTTCATCAACCTAGTATGACTAGAGCGGTCATGAGAACCCTGTCTCAATGACTATTCACGAGAGACTCAGTCATGAGTCGAACTCAAACCCTATCTAGGATCGAGTCGCGAATAAGGCTAAGAGCCGTGTATTGCATTCGCCCCTGACAAGGGTCACGGAAGGCACGACATCAGTCGGACAAGGAGAACATATGAATTAAAGTGCGGGGCACTCTCCGGAGATTGGATGTAGAACTGTGCGTCGCACGATGGAATCCTACAAGGGGGTCAGGCTTGTATGGGTGAAATACCTTATGTTCCAAGTCTGGTAGACTTTGCCGCTACTGGCGGTAGTATGTCGGAGCCGTACAGTGCCATTGTTATTGACTCGGTCTGTGTGGTAAGGACCTTTGGCTGACCTACTAACGGTTCTGATACTGATGAATCATCATAGTACGTTGACATGGTGTTGATGAGGGCACTGTCGTGTTCTCCTTATCGGTGTTTCTCTGGATAAGTCGTTGGCGACGTTCCTTAATGTATTTCCGGTTTGCTTTGAAACGGATGTGGTGAATTTTGTCACGATTGACGCGCGTGAACTTGCGACGAAGTCACTGTTCATCCCGGAGGAGTCTTCTCGACCTCTGCGCGGGACTCACGTTCTCTGTCCAGACAATCGCGGTCATGGATACTGGGTAACCACGTCTGTTTCAGAACGATGGTTACTTCCGTCTGCTGTCTTGGAGCAGCCTTGGTAGTTCATTGGTCCAATGAATTCACGAAGTTCCTTCTTGTTGGTAGGAAGCGATAGTGGATCGCATCTATTATCTTTTTAGTTAAGGGTTGGATTCCTTCTCGAGTAGTCCATTGTCTTGATACTTAAGTTCTTCTTTCGAGGAAGGCCTTGGTAGTGTTGATTTTAACCCCGACTTCTTGAAGTCTTTGGAAAATCATCTAACTTTTCAACGCGATCCGCCAGATCGAAGTCAGTTAGGATGAGTTGATCATCAATGTACGCACGGACATTTTCTAAGTCATGCATGCGTGTTTTCATCGTCCTATGGAAGATGTCGGGACTATTACATAGGCCCATTGGCAACCTCTGGTACTCGTGCTTTCCCCTCGGGAGTGCAATGGTACAGTGTTGCTTCGAGTGAGGTGACAGCTCGATGTGGTAGTGTCCCGTTCAGGTCTAGACTAGTACGCACTTGAATTCATCTAGGTTCAAGAGCAGTTCCTGTATTTTTGGGATAGGATAGGCTTCCGCTTGATCCTTTGTTCGGTTCCCGAAATCAGAGATGAATCGTACAGATCCCTCTTTCTTGGGAATGATAAAAGTTGTTGCCGCCCACTCGGAACGATTCACTTCTTGAGTACTCCTGCCTCGCAGAGACGTTCAACCTCCTTCTTAAGAGTGTTGGTATGGACCGTGGAGTAGGGTGAGCCCTCAGTATATAGGATTAGCGTCGGGACGAAGTTCTACTTCGTAGTCGTCCATTCTGCAACTCTCCCAAGTATCCTCGACTGGGCGAAGCACTTGTTGAAAAGGCATGAGGAGTTCTTGCTCTTCCTTATTTAACTGGTTTCGCTATGGCACATCTGCCTTAGTCTGCTTGTTCGTATGTTCGTATCAAGAATCTTCTTGAGACTATCTGCATGTCGCTGACAGCTGCAGGATCGGGAATGAGAAGTTCTCCTTTCTATCGTATCGCCATCTTTCGAGGGAAAAATTACGCTGTTCCACTCCAATGACATGGTAGTGAAATCAAATTGATTCTTAGGTCGAAGAGAGTGTCTTGACCTATGATACATGTCTTGCGCCCCCAAGTTCATGGTGACGTGTAAATTCCTTCACTAATTCTATTATCGTGGACTCAGGAATCACGAGTGTGCCCTTACACTCGTGCGGGGTTTCAATTCTTTCATAGAAGCAGTCGTAATGCTTGGACGCCCCATGATTCTACATGATAAACTCTTTAGCATGAGTTTGGGTAATTAAAGTTCCGTGATGCTCCTGTATCCAGTAAGCAACAGAGTGTAACGTGGTTTTTGTTTTCCTTCTTCTATCGCTTTTAATCTAACTTCAGACGATAGTTTCGAGGTCTCTTGTCTTGCGACGTTGATGAGTTATTGGCATGGACGAAGGTTAACGATGCTGAACAGTATCGTCAGAGTCTAGTGAGTAGTTGCTAGCCAATTATCTACATTTGCCATAGACTTCAATTAGTGCAAACAAATCTTGTTTACTATTTTAGTGAATATCTTCATCCTTAGGTATGAGTAAATTCGAAACATGGTTCCGTTGAATCATCATCCTGGCTAATCCTCAGCACGGAGATTCTCCATCCGAAAGATTGAAGTCAATTCGGCAAGTGCCTTGTCAGACGGCAGCCTTTTCTTGTCCATCATGTTGATGGATCCAACAGAGGAGTCGTCCTCGTTGTCGCGAGTTGTCTGACTTGCGCTTGGCACAATGGTTGCATTCGCTTTTCTTTTTGCGCATCAGCCTTTACCGCAGCGTTGAAACTTTCTTCATGAGGACAGAGAGTTCCTTCTTGGTGTTGAGTCTTGGCGTCGTCGGACTTGCGTTTCCAAGTCTTGTTCTTGTTGAACGCTGGCTTGTTATCGTTGTCAGGACGAGGACTGAGACTTGGCCTTGAGCTTCTTCCAAGTCATGGCAGTCAGCAGTGTTGTTGAGTGCTGGACTCGTGGGTTAGTCGCCCATTTTTTCTTCGTTCTTGGAAGAGTGGGCGTTGTTGCGAGTAGACTTGTACTTCTTGCGGTTGTTCTTCTTCGAAGGAGCTTGCTTGGCATCACCGCCCTTGTCAAAGTCTCAGGAGGATTTCCTGCGTTCGCAGAATCAATGGTTTCTCCGATAGCTAGGAGCTGAGAAAGGATCGAAGTCGTGTTCGTCCATCTTTCTTCATCCACGAGCGTGGAATTCCATGACAAACAATGTCAATGACTTCGTCATGGTTTCACGTTTGGTTGGGTCCAAAAGGTGGTAGACGAGGAAGTTCATCGGTGTTCTTCCGACTGAGGTTGTTTACATAAGCCCGAGTAGATATATCAGCAGGCTTACGCTTTGCGGCGCATGAAGCGTTTCTGCTTTCAAGGCCTTGTAGGGACAGACCGTTTCGATACAGGCATTTATGCCAAACAGTAATGTCAGATCGTCCAAAGCAGGCTGAGCTGCTCCGTTCCAGGCAGCCTGGAAACGTGCTTGGAAACTGGCTTCGTCTTCACCGCCAGTATGTCGCGTGGAGGAATTGCCTTGACTGCAATCTTGCAAGGCATTATACCACACACGATGGCCTGCACAGCTAAGTTCGTACTGCCTTTGCAGAGCTAGAAGTCATCTCCTTGAGGAGGTTATGTTTGTCGTTAGCGTAGAATGGCGAGCCCGACGAAGACCTTCTCTATACGTCAGCCACTTGATGGTTGACGTGGAGTCTCAGATCCATTGATGATTTGGACCTTGAAGATGTACTTGGCCTGTTAGCTCTGCTGGAACAGTGCGAGTTTGTAGGTGGTAGAGCGAGAATCGTCGATTTCGCATTCATCTCGAGGTCGATGAGAGAAGGATTGGTTTGTCACGAGCTTAGACTCGAAGCTGGTGTATGCGTCTTTGGAATCTTCATGGTGAGGAATAGGTTGAGGGTAGCTGAAAGCTATTGTGTTTGTTAAACAAAATGCACTACGCTAAAAGCTAGTGTAAAGATCTTTGAGTGTTTTGTGGTTGAGAGAATGAAAGTTATGAGAGGATTAGAAAGCTATGAAAACTAATCAGAGAGAGATCCACATCAAAGGATCGTAGATCTGAATCCCGGGGAGACTGTAGTGTGTGTAGAGTAGGTTGCGGTTAGCAATCCTACTCACTCACGATCCAAAAACGGAACGCGTGGAAGATTCGTTGCATTTATCTAGTAGCGTGGAAGTACTCCACGCTGGCTAAATATCTAGAGCGATGTTTCATCATCAACCTAGTATGACTAGAGCGGTCATTGAGAACCCTGTCTCAATGACTATTCACGAGAGATTCGGAGACTCAGTCATGAGTCGAACTCAAACCCTATCTAGGATCGAGTCGCGAATAAGGCTAAGAGCCGTGTATTGCAAATGGAAAGTGATTGAGCACTCTGAGCCGGACTTTGACCCAATGGATCAAGAGTACCCCGATGTTGGTCTCACGTACTTTGATTTCAACCAATTCCAGCCTGATCGTGTTGCCAAAGAGAATCATGCCTATGGGTATCCCTTCTTGAAGCTGCTAATGAAACTTTGGCCCGGAAACTGGAATGCTCAACGAGCTCAGATCAATGATCGGATTGATGCGGTGAATGAAGAGACGAAGAAAAAGAAAAAGAAAAGCTTCCATGTTATCCGAAAGGTTACCAAGCGCGAGTTTTGGGTGTTCGTCGGGCTTTTGATTGCTGCTTCTGCTCATCGACTTGGTGGCCACCTGCTCTGGGAAAAGGACAGAGATATCTGGACGGCAACAGAGCCCATCAATTATGGAATCGATGGCAAGGAAGTCATGCCTGAGTATCGATTCAGAGACCTACGACAAGTCTTTCCTTATGGTTTCCAAGACAAGGATGCCGAAGACGATGGTGATCCCTGGCACATGATTAGGGGCATGGTCAATGGCTACAACTTGGTCCGTTCATTGTGGGTGGCAGCATCGTTGAAGAAGGTTATGGATGAGACGATGAGTGCTTGGTGTCCGCGCACCACAAAGTTTGGTGGCTTGCCACACATCTCATGGATTTGTAGGAAGCCAGAGCCTCTTGGAACCGAATTCAAGACTGTTGCTTGCTCCTCCACTGGTATCATCCTCCACTGTGAAATCCAGGAGGGCGAGAAAGCAATGAAGGCAAAGAAATACGGTGGCGAGTTCGGTGGGACAGTTGCCTGCACTTTCCGACTGATCGAAGCAGCTGTGCACTGTGGAAAGAAGTGGCGATCCAGAAAGCAAGCCGCATTGGACAACAAGTCTGAGTACTTCATTGGAGACTCATGGTTCACAAGTGTGCCTGTTGTGGAGTGGCTCTCCGAGAAAGGCCACAACTATTGTGGGGCAATGAAGTCAAACTATCGACTCTTTCCCAAAGCAGAATTGGAAGCCAAGATGAAGGTTGGAGCAGTGGTTCTTCCCTTGTGATGGAGTGTCGGAGTCCCAAGAATGGACAACACATGTTGGCCATTGGATACAAATATAACAGTCGGAAGGTGCTCTGCTTTCTTGCTACGAAGAATGCTGGCTCAACAAAGCCAGGGAAGCCTTATGTCGCGAAGTTTGCCGATAGTATCGGCAATGTCTGCTATCGTGAGGTTGAAAGGCCACAGGTCATCAGTGAGTACTTTATCAAAAGCAACGTCATCGACACGCACAACCATGCTCGACAAGGTGAGCTCAAGATGGAAAAGAGATGGGTGACACATGACTGTTGGTTTCGGTTGGGTACCACCCTCATCAGTATGACGGTGACTGACTGCTGGAAAGCCTTTCGTCATCATGTTGCCGATGACAAAGCAAAGGAAATGACCGTTGTAGGGTTTGCCGACCGAGTTGCTAGTGATTGCCTTCGAAACAAGTTTCCTGATACAATCGAAGCTGACGACAATTTGAACCTGATGCCGACTCCAGTGTTGACAGTCGAAGTGCCAACTGGCAATGGTGTTCCTGCTGCCGATGGCATATCTCCTATTTCAGTTGCTACCACAATTGAGGATCTTTCCAATGGCCACACAAGGATTGTCAACCCAGATCTCCAAGCATCTGGCAGACCAAAACGGCGAACGTGCCGTGCTGATGGTTGCAGGAAAGAAACCCATTGGTTGTGTGGCAATCAAGCATGCATGAGTGAAGCTTACAATGCCAATGGAAGGCGAGTAAGGGGCATGTTCTATTGTGATGCTCATTGGCCCTTGGAGCATTGGAAAGATCTGCATCCAACCTCTGCCCCGTAGGATCACTGCTTTCAGTCAACACAGTCGACAGGTACGCAGGAAAACCCGACATGCTAATCCTTCTGTTGCCATCGTCTAATGCATTGTTTCTTTTGACTACAGAGCTCTTTATGAAAGGTTTTGGTCGGTTGGTTGTTGTCTATATTAGAGCACCCGCCTTGTGGCGGTACCGCCATTTTTTCCCATGGAAACGAGGCACTAGTCCTGACATCTTCTCTCTCCTCCAACTAGTTTCTTCCAGCTTACCACAACACACACCGCTCCTTTCTTTTGCTCCAAATTCCAAGCCGTTACTTGATCTCCTCCAGCTCACACAGTGCAACTTGGCAAAATCCCTCCACATTTTTGGTAGCTAGCTGCTCATCCATGCCACTATACGGTAGAGATAAACAATACTTGACCCCCCTCGCGTTAAACATGCTCCGTCACCAATACTAGTTTTAAACACGAAATCTACAAAGTGCTTTCGAAGATGTTGGCCTTCCACTATGGCTGACTCGAGTCAGAGTTTGAGGAAGTACCCTTGGGGCGTTGGGTGGTTCCTCTTTCGATTTGAGCTGCGGCTTACTTCTCATGATGGCGTCTCCCAGGTGCAACGCCGTGCAGCTGGAGGATACCGATAGTGGATTGAAATTGAAGAGGCGCCACAGAGAGCTAGCTAGACCGCAGAAGAGCTCTTGTCTTCACTACTTCAATCTTCCAACATGAGGCCACTGACCTTGGCGACAACTGGCACGTCCGCCTCATCCAGCCATGACAAGAATAATTCCTGTCCAACGCACCCTGCGTCAAGCAAACCCACCTTGCGTCAAAATCGCTATAGTTCACGCAGATTGTTGCAATGCATTCCCTTTGCATTCACTCACTCACTCATTCAAATTGTCCCATGTACGTGTTGTTAATGTCTTGGAGTCGTTCCACAAGGGCCGCCAATCGGTAGCGTGTCGATGGCGTCATGAGCATTTTGTGTCGCAGTTCCATGACACCTTCCGAACTGATGTTCTCCAATTGGCTGGCGACATGAAAGCTCAGCCGCCACTGCCGTCGTGCTTTGGGATATTTGGTCGACACGGAATGTTCGATTGTTTGGGGTTGTTCTGTTGGCAATACATCCTCCATGCCGGGTGGTTTGAGACGGGCAATTTCCAGCGGTAATTTATAGCGTGCGGCACGGCACAAGTCTTGCAAGTTTTGCCAGACGAGTCGTTCCAGATCGTCCGTCGTTGGAGCAGATTGGTTGCCTTCGTCATCATCATTCATTGTTGGATCTGGCAGCAATAGACTCTTGATACCGACGACAGGTGGCGGATTGCGTAAAATGAGGTCTCGCTGCAACAGGTCTTCCAACAAGGGGGTGCCGCCGGCGAAGGAAGCTTCTTCTGCTTCTTCTGGTTGTTGTTCTGGCTCTGGCAGTAGAGTATCTTGTTCGGCGAGAAAGGCAAATGGAAGGCACTTGGCAATCTCGACTCCAAAGATATCTTGTGCCTTCATATATTCCGTATCTTGTGGCAATGCCAGAACGATGCTGGGATCACATTCGTAGTCGTGATAATACGAAAAGGCGTCCGCCACGGCCTTGGCTCGTTTCACCTTGGCAAAGTTCTCGTCCATTTTGCTCGTAGCGTCCGACATCCACAAGTCTGTATCGGGTAATATCTGTACATGGGCCACACCATGGGGGAACGATTGCACGACGGTATCCACGACGAACCGTTCCAGTGCATGCACCAGAATGACCAAGCGTCCGTCTTGGATGCGTCGATAATCGGCAATCCGCATCAATGTGCCCACCACGGCCGATCGTTCTGGAATGTCAAATCGCGTGTCGTCTTGACATTCTTCTTGCCACGTTTTGAGTGCAAATTGGGGTTCATTGCTGCGAGATGCTTTGGTTCCGCCCGGCAAGTGCAAATGTCCAAAATACCAGCCATTTTCTTCTTTGGGCGTCGCTAGAATCTTTTCAAACATGTTCGTATAGTGACCTTCGTGCACGTTCAAACAATTGGCCCGTCCCGGTACTTCGATCCATCCTACGCGCCATAAGGGCAGATGCATCATGCGACCTGTTTCGGGTTCCAGATACGGTCCTTCGTCTTTGTCTTCATCACTACTTGTTGTGGCGGTGGATTGATAAAATGTCTTTTGCAGCTGTCGTACCATTTCCATACGTCGTTCTTCGTCGTCATCCTCTTTGTCATCGTTAGATTGCATCAGCCTGGTGGAGGTGGTGGAAGTGGTGGATGTGGCTCTGTCACGGCGAAGACAGGATTTTAGAGAAGGGTTAAGTTGTGGAGGGAACAGTGAGAATCCTTCCACTTTGGGTATCCTCAGAAAGCAGATCTCCAGGAGGATACATGCCACTGATAACCAGAGCATTGTCATCTCTACAACTAATAGTAACAACTAGCTAGACTAACTGTGGTATACCTGGGTTACTCTATTCAAAGGCACAACGAAAATAATGAGAAAAGCAAGAGAGGGAGCAGCGCAAAAAGATCTGAGTCTGAGTCAGAGATCCAAAAAGAAGAGAAAAATGAGGCTTCCGTCATCATCGTGATTTATCATTCGTTTTAGATTTGAGTCCCGCTCGGGATCAATATCCTTTGCCAGGGCTGCGACCACCAGCCATCGGCAATGACCGCAGTGTTACCACAACAGGGAGCTCCATGTCCAGTTGCTTGGAGACCCTGCCCGGAAGACCTCTATTTATAACAGGTGCTGTATCTTTTACTGCACTCTCCTCTGCCTCTCTGTCTGCCAAGCACTCTCCTCTCTTTTAGCTCCCCACCCCAATAATAACTGAAAGCAAATCAATCAAACAAAATGAGCGAGAAAGACTACGAGTCGACTACTGCCGATGGTGATTGTGACAACAGTGATGTCTGTTTGATTTCGAAACGAGACGATGACTCTCTCTCGTCGGTCGAAGGAGACGACGGTACAGAACCGGCAGCAGTGGAACCCTTATCCAAGTCGTCCGTGTGGGGTCTTCCCGGTACTCCTCTGTATAGAGCCATGGAAGATCTCATCTCCTCGGACGAAACCAAGCGTCTAGAAAATCCCAGTGCGGCCAAAGCCGATGAAATGTCCCACGAGCTGCACAAGCAAGTCGATAACCTCATCATGAACCAGCACGGGACACCCGAGCAACAGGAAATTTGGAAGAATGCTACCGATGACGAACAGCATGAGTGGATTGCTTCTTTCTTTCTGGCTGCATTGTCGTGATCATAATATTATGAATGAATCGAATCAATTTGAAATGGAAGAGGAAAAGAAGAAGAACGGATTGCTAGCTAGGAGACTACTACTGGTACTTTGCGATGGAGGCCATGATCTTGCAAGATCATTTTTACAAACAAACAACAATTCTTGCCATTGATTCAAGGTCTTGTCATACAGTAATTATGAGGTTGGTCGGCTGGGGGCGGCTGGGTGACTGATGGCATTGCATTTATTTGTGTAGCCATCACAACCAGAGTGCCCAAGACAAAACAATAGGTGAATGCCAACAATCCAAAACAGTACCTGAATCAGTCTGCAATCCTAAAAAGTAAACTTGTTAAGAAATAGATGATGATCCTCTTTGTAAATTGTAACTTCTTACAAACTACAGCTGACCGTGCCAGCCCAGCACTGCCCCTGGACCTTGGAAGCTCCTGGCTAGCTAGCTAGATTGGAAGACGGCACCGCGGTTGCACAAGCCCAACAAAGGTTCGCTCTGTTATCTTCGCGATGTGTGGTTGTGCATGGCTGTACCGTAGCTGAGGGTTAGCCGCGTGCTCATGCTTTCATTGCCGAGAGCAACGGGGAGCTACCATTCTCTGTCTTATTCGTATAGCACGTTGCTTGACCGGGAATGCTCTCTCTTGCATGCTGCAACCACCCTAGCTACCGCCGTTCTCCAACGGCTCTCCCACCTTCTGGCCATGAAGTGGTCTAAGCAAGCCCTGCTCTGTGGTTTGATCCTACCGTATTGTCTCTGCCCAATTGAGCGTTGCCCTTGCTCGAGCAGTGAATCCGTCTCCCAAGCTTTCGCAGCCTCCTCCTGAAAGCATGGCTAGAGATTAGGCTGAGACGCTTCCCCGGGAGTAGCCTACGCACAGGAGAAAACGTTGGCTTTTGAAATTGAAATTCCTCATCCATACCAGTGTTTCTCTACCATGCATCTACTAGCGAGCTCATGTTCGTACCGGTGAGGATCTGTTGCTACGTTTTCTACCAAATAACATCGTCAACTCGTTCGTTTTTGTTGCAATGGGCGCTCCAGACAGAAAGCTATGCATAACTCCAATACGTTGCTGTCGCACACCAAACCTGGAACGAATTCAGATTATGAATTGTGTGATACTACTGTTACATTGCTTCATTCTAGCAGATTTCCAACCTGCAATTCGGTTTTCTTCTTCTTCAACCATTCATTGTTGCAATGACTGTTTGTTGTTGTGGTGCTCCTCTCAAGTTGAGACTGACTCCCGGTATGGAAGAAACCATCATTTTGGTATTCTCAACACGGCTGACATCCCATTGTAGATTGGCGTCATCAAAGCTCCTCGCATCGCGAAACATTCCTTCCATGTTCTTCACTGCCCCAATATTCCAGGATTGAATGTTTTGGTCAAACGAAAAGGCGTGGAGGAACATGTAGGACATGTCTCTGACGCGGTCCGTCTTCCAGTGATCGAGTGGTTGATTAAACGCTCGAGCCGATGCAAACAATCTGCTGGTGCTGGTGACACTGGAGACATCCCAATCGTTCAATGGATGATTGAACCAATGGCAATTCTGAAACATGCCCGAGAGATCCGTCGCTTGCGACATGTCCCAGCGGTCGAGGGGTTCATCGAAATACCGATGCTTCACAAAGAGATTGGAAAAGTCGGCAATGTTGGAGACACACCACTGTCCAATGGGCCAACCGTATTTCGACGCCAATTCTGGATCAAACTGCTTGGAGCTCTTGTATTGGGCCACGGCGTCGCGGAGTTCGTCGGTCGTCTCGAAGCACTTGGGGTCGTCCAGTTCGTACTGGACCATGTTCATGGTTGCGTCATCCACTTCCACGGCCATAGAAGCCTTGCCACGCACGGCTTGGCTGTGCACTCCGGGTGGTAACGACGACGACACGCTGGATGCAATCAGCAAGAGGTAGAAACGATGGAGGGTCATGAGGGTGATTGATGGTTTGTGATAAAGAAATTCTTCATCAATGAGTAATGTTGCCAGGTGTTGGGATGGCGGCTGTTGGGTTGTGACAACTGTGTCCTCTTTCAGAACGGGGTATTTTGCACTCGTTAAACATTTGATTCACCCCAGCTACGTGTACTTGGGCCGGTGGTGAGCTGAGAGGAAGGTTGGGAGGGGCCCAACCAACTCACAAGACAACTCTCCCAAGACTAGCTAGCGTAGAACAAGCCGCAGGAAACCAGTATCCCAAATATTGCAAACCTATTGGGATCCCCAAATCAGTGGCGGTTGGTTGCCAAGCATGCGGGCAGCTTGCCAGGCTACTAGCTAGCGTGGCAAGCAAGCAACTTGCTTGGGCCTGGCTGCTGTGTTTGTCAAGACGGCAATTTTGGGGTCCAGGCTTTGCATAGACTACGACAGTGGTACTCCAAGGATGCAGCTCGCTCGCTCTACCGGTATCCCAACCACGAATCTCCAACCTTTGGGCTCCATACTTCTCACTCACTCTCAAAGCAAGCCGAAGAGTGAGTTCAATCACTAGAGACACGCCGCACCATTTCTGGCTTTTGATGAGCAAATGATGCACGAGGTCAGGGCTGCTCAGCTTATCATCCTATCTGGTGGCTAGCTAGCTAGTCGTTGGCTACCGGAAGCAAGCTGTCGGAACTTATTGGTGGCACCAAGTCACTTCTGGCTTCCGATGGTTGCCGGGTTGTGGGAATACATAAATCTGTGGGCTTATTCTAGACTAGACTATTCATTCGGTACATGAAAGTAACATCAAAATCCCGATGCTAATGGCACAATGCTGTAGTGGCATAGCGCGAGTACTTCAGAATGGTAGGTACTCATGCGATATATATCGACCACCAGCTTGGTTCAACGAGGGTTCTTTCCAGTTCCGGTGCTGCATGACTGGCTGGTGCCCGATTTTTGATGCTGTAGGCGCAAAAGCAAATTGTTCATTTATCTAGCCTAGCTAGAATTGCTACCCAAATCCAACCTGCTCCCCACCGCTTTCAAACAACGGCAAGCAGCACACAGCTTTGATACACGGCGCCCACATAGCCTCAACCAAACCATTCCTTCCTCATTTATTGTCATTGTTCCATTTCAGATTTGGCCAGATCTAACATGCTACTTCCAAGGAGTTCCCAGACCCCCGAAAGGACCCTGCTGATTGCTAAAGTTTCCGAAAGCATTTTGGTTGTTTGGGTGCATGCTCTGTTGCTGGCGTTGCTGCTGCTGCTGTGGTTGTTGGCCATACGGTTGATTATTGAAGGCGGGTGTTTGCGCCTGTTGTGGGGTACTGACGGGAGCCGTCATTCCCAAGAAATCGTTGTGCATATTGCTGCCTGCGGCTTGACCTCCATAAACAGGTGTGTCTATATCCAACAGGCCACCCGAGGAAGGAGCAGGAGCCGGGTGATGGCCATCCAACAAACTGGAAGAAGCCGGAGCAGCAGGAGTGCCAAAAATGTCCAATGATGGTTCTGGGGCGTGGGAGGGTGCTGGTTGCGGGGGAGGCGCGTGTTGTTGGGGTGGAGCCGAACTGGAGACGTTTCGGGTTGGAGCCGAATGGGAGTGAGGAATGGCAGGTGGTGCTGCTGATCCGGCATTGACAAATTCTTCGTCATCTTCATCGTCTTCTTCCTCCATGCCCAATCTAGTTGCTTTTGCTACAATAGTGTTACGCCAAGTGGGAACAGGCGCAGTGTCCTTTACACAATCCATCCACACAGCCATTGCATCTTTGTCGCGGTCACCTCCAGGAAACAGTGGGCTTTTGAAGCGGAAATGATACCGACCTGGCAACGGAAAGGCATCCCGGATCTGTCCAAGTGTTGGTGGAACCCCAGCATGCCTTGATTTTGCAGCGAGAAAGACATTGGGATATGCTTCATCATCCCCATCTTCTGGGATAAAATAGCTATTGGCGTGGGAGAGACCGATGGTCGAGGTGAGTGAGCAAAGTAGTGCTGACAACGCCAAGAAACATGTTACCACAAAAAGATCCCAAAGTCCAAAGTCAACCCAAAAAGAACCAACATGTTCAATTCCTTTCTCGCCCATCAAAAATGCCCTACTTTTGGACTCTTCATCATCAGCACACGCAAGTCAATAACCTACCGAATTGTCGTCATCGTGGACTAGCTAGCTAGCCAGACTACAACAGGATAGCGGCTTGTGGTGCAACGGCTTGATGCTGTGCTTTTCTTTCGATTTCTCTCTTGAGTGACTCGACTCGACTCGACTCAGTGAGTCCTGTAGGCACTCCGTCTCCTGACGTCCTTTGCACCTGTACTATAAGGGGGGTTTTAGAGTAGGGAAATTATCTACGGAAGCCAGCCGGGGCCAGGCTTAAGCAAAGAACAGTCGAAATTCAGGACTAGGTTCTGTGGGATCAGGGGCAAGAAATTGAGGACCATTACGGGGGCCTGTACTATTGGTATCTGCTTGCATGCCTCTCTCCCAAATAATGCTGTGTGTAAATGTATT